GTTTTAACATGCCTCGTATTATTGTCATTGATCAGATATTTATATGTGAATTGTTCAAAATACTTTGTGAATTGCTAAAAATTCTTCCCCGTCATTGAGTGATTAAAACCTTATTTATATATTTAATTTCTGTCGCGTCAGCGGACAATATCCTCCAAGAAACACTAAAATTAGCTTAGACCTTTAATTGAACGAAATGATCAGGATTAGAAGACAAATGAACAATTTTAATAATAACTGATCGAGGATAAAAGAGGAATGTACAAATACACATAACGATGTCAGATTTATTAATTATTACAACAGGATTTATAGACTGATCATCATTCTAGATCTAGATATCGAACGCTTTAAAGCTTGTGAATCTTACTCGATATAAATGGTTGGGTCAAATATGTTTTCAAGTCAAGTGTAGCTATCGCACTATCGTTTTATCACATACTTTTCGTATTACCAGTAAGAAGTATTATTCAACCCACGATTTTCATTACAACATGGATCTTTTCATTTCGTCATAATCTAAGGAAGTCTTTCGTGAAATTACAATATATTTATAAAACTTCACACACAGCACTTATATAATTATCGATTTTATTTGTTTGGCATCGAGTATTTAACTATTACTTTATAAAAATCTATATTGGAAAGAGTTGCGCGTCATTGTTTTAATTATAAATGAGGGACGGTATTCATAAAAAAAAAAAAAAAAATTAAAAACAAAATATCGACCTAACAATAGGAGGGGAAGCGCATCTAATTCGATGGCAAGTACTTCATACCGTGCACTTGATTTAATCCTAAGTTATACGATATTGAAACGTGCGCTATAAGTTTAAAAACACGAGAGACTCGGTATTTCTACTATATAGTAATTAGTAGTGCCATCCGGATAATCAATATTGAAATTTGGTCAACGCTATTTCTTGTGCGTTCCTACTGTAAATAACATGTATAGTTGAGAGACATTGTACATATAAAATAAAACTTATTTAACGCGGACTATAGGTTTATCTCACAAGATGTATGAACGAGCAGATTTTAATAAGAGATTCGTTGTTTTGCAGTTTTTCATATAAATATTTACATACCGATCATTACATGCTTTATTCTTAATGAAAAATGTTCACCAACAATTCCGTATCTAATTACTTGCAAATGTATTGGGTAAGTATATTTATTAAAGATGTTCAAATCAAAGATTTTTCTATGTCGAATCGACGAAATTTCACCTGAATCAAATCGTTGAATCATAACTTTTAAGCACAAGAGCCAAATATCGATTATATAAAAGTACTGCTAGGCTACACTTTTCTATACGCGCTTTCCTATATTTTAACTTGGAGAGATATCATATTTGCTCATCAAACTATTTTTGGAATCTTTCTTGCGAATATACTTAGCAGCCCTGTACAAAGACGAACTTTGTAACTAAGGCCCTAAAATTGATAATAAATACAGATTGGTGTTGCATTCTAGGTAAGCTCACCTACACTCGCGGCAAGTTCGCGCAGTCCGTTTTTTCATTTATATAAATTTGTTTGTAAGAGCATTAATCCAGCTACCCTACGGATTGTTAGTTCCAGTTCCGGTCGCATCACTTGATGGACTTTCAATCTGCTGAGGAGGTCAAAAAAAGCATCGATGACTTCATTGAATCCAAACCACCATCCTTTTGCCGAAGCGAGATTCGCCATCTGCCCGAAAGACGGCAAGAGTGTATGGAAAATGATGGGGATTATTTCGAGGATTAACAGGTTATTCATTTCCTTTTTTTTTTCTCAAATAAACATTAAAATCATGCTAAAAAGATACTAAACTTATTTATACACAATATGTATAAAAATGTTATTGTTGTTATTGAGAAATGAATACTTTGAAATATTTCATATCTTCATATTTGAAAAATATCAGAATAAAAAATTAAGTACCTCAGAATTATTCACTTTTCGGTGACTTTATTCAGGTACTTTTACATGCAGAATGAAAAAAGAAATCGATTGTGTTAAAAGAATGGTTCCATTAAAAAAAAAAACGAAATTGACTCGGAAACGATCCTGAAATACGCCATCCGATTAAAGGTCACGATATTACGTCCCTCTCTAAATCCTACAACCTTTGTCTGAAACATTTGTTTCTAAAACCTCATGATTTCAAGAAATTTTACTGTTAAAAATAAAACGAAACACTGTGTATGTACACATATATAGATATCATATTTACAAGCTGTCCCATAGTTAGGAATTGATTATTTTGTCTGAGTTAATGAACGCACGGGAACGCACTGACTATTGCGAATTTTGCAAAACATGACATTTCTACTCAGTTTCACTCGTTCTACCTGTATCTCACGGGAACCGAGAACGGTTTAGAATATCCAGATAATAAAAAAATTACTCATTTTTATATATTATCATGATGAATATTGAATTTTGTATTGCATTGTTGATGTACATATATATGCTTCTGCTAAATTAATTGAAATTATATCCAAGCTTTCCCTAGAGATATTTCCACAAGTTATTTTTAATATTAGTGATATGATTTCAACTTAAAATTCTTACATGTTTATTCTTACATGTGTATATTTAAATTTGAGTATATTGCAAACACACACGCGCGCGCGCGCGCGCGCGCGCGCGCGCGCACACACACACACACACACACACACACACACACACACACACACACACACACACACACACACACACACACACACACACACNACACACACACACACACACACACACACACACACACACACACACACTATAGATTGACATTAAATGTGACTTCCTGGACAGATATGGGTATTTGACTGATAAAGTAACGAATATCGCATGACTGGCAATTGATTGTTTACACAATTGAGCCATAAGTTTGCGCATGTTAAATGATAATTATTATCGTTATAAACAACTCGACCACTTGTAATAACTGTTAAACACAAAGAGCAAGACATACATTCTCCCTGGCGTAATGGCCAAGCTGGTAACTCGGTTACAATCTAAAATACATAAAAAAAATGAGATTATATATAAAAAAAAAACCATTTATAATATAAACGAGCAATACTTACAGGTATATTCGCATAAAAAGGTTCCATTTCAGCCCAAATTCGATCAATGTCCATTAAAAGATCATCGAATCCAATAATGTTTATATCCAGTTCTTTGTACGAAAAATTGACTCGTCTACAAACAGCTGCAACTTCAGCTAAATCTGATGAAATTTTTTTATGTGTATAATCTTTCAGATATCCCAAGAAATACATTTACATCTTAAAATTCAACATACAAGGATATAGATTATCCTTTTGTAATTAGAAAATAATTATTATATAACAATAGTTTTTTATTAATAAAAATATATTACTCTAAAGATACCTACAGCAAAGAAAATTATATCCCTGTGCTGAATTTAAAACTTCGCGTAGGACTAATTCAGATGTAATATTGGTAAATATATTAGCTGCAACTTGTAACAGCAATACACAACTTTCCATATATTGTTTCCATTCCCAGTACATACTCTGCAATCGAGTAGCTGGTAATATGCAATAAAAATATTTCTTCCGCATAATATTTCATATATTAACGACGTGTATACCTGCTGTGGAAATTCTACAACTTGATCTTCTTCTATATTTGAGGGTAAAAATGATTTAAGATCTAAGCTAGGCACAGATCCAGATCTTGGCAGTGCTTCGGATGGACCGCTAATCAGTTCTACACTATTTATCGAAATAGCATCCTCTTTTGGAATATTTTTCCCTAAGAATAATATACTACGTGGTTAAACGAAATCAGACTTAAGAAGCAAAAATCAAAGTGTAGCATTATAAAATCACTAACCTGACTCAATTCCGTCATCAAGTTTCAGATTATCGAACAATTCAGACACAAAGTTCAGATCTGCCAAACTACCGTTATCAACATTAATATGAGCCTTGGGCTCAACATCTGCAAATACATTATTAAAGCTTTCGGTATCCAAAGTATCGGATATTGAGAGATTAACAGTCGGTTGTTCCGCAGACATAAATTCTCCGAATTCATCAGTCGACTGATTATTAGGAGTCAGATCTAAGTTTGTATCATTTGCAGATGTTTCCTGAACTAATGCACGCAATGCACCATATTTATCTTCAACAAGTTGCAAGCTCATTAAATCTTGTTGAGAAGAATCAGACATGTCTAACATGACAGCCTACAGATGATAATTAACACATCAACAGAAGTTATATAAAATTTTGTATAAAAGCATACTTGCTGTAAACAATTTACCTTTGGTGTTAACTCCGCTTTAGGTAATATCTCTTTGTCGCTACTAGGATGTATGGTCATGTTTGCCAAATTATTAAAACTATTGTTATAATCATTAGGCATTTCATTATTTCTTATTGCAGTATCCTTGAGTATTACAGTTTTAGATTGATTCTTTATTGCACATTTAGGAAATAGATCCGTCACAGATTCCATCGCAGACTGATCTTTACTTTGATAGAGAATATTTGTGGACGCAGTTGTACGAATTTGTGTATTAACTGGTCTTGTGCCGGCTTTCTTTGCGACTGATTTCTTCACTCCTAAATTGTGATTAGCAAGCCTGCTGCCGATCGCAGAACCTTGTTTACTATCCCAATTCGGTATTGTAGAGACACTAGCGATCGGTGCACTCTGAAATTCTGTAAACTCATCATAGGAATCATCAAAGGACGATGCATCGGATGGTACATCAGCTTGAATATTGGACGATTGCTTGGCATCTTTAAACATATTATTAAAATTGTTTCCAGCCGCGCTAGACATCTTGGTATTAAAACAGGGCGAGTTTCCCAGATTGTTTGAGGACACGTCAGCCATCATATTTCCATGGATTCTAACTTTAGTTTTTCCCTTAGTGTCGAAAATACATTTTCCTTCTGTATTATCTGTATTACCAAGTTGGGCCTCTTCGTTAGCAAAGTACTGGTGCTTTGGCATATTTACTTGCGCAGTGGTTTGCAAATTCATCAAGCATTCTATGTTCAAATACGGCGTCGGCGGAAAAGGAAGTAAATGTAATATATCGAGACTATTGAAGGTATAGGATGTCTGAGCAGCAGCCACAAGGGCTAATACAATATACAACTCTTGCTCGGTGAGTTGTCCGGCATATTTTTGATTAGCCAGGCTCCATATGTGACCAAGGACATCCGTGGGAAGTTGGCTGGTAAGCAACAGCGGAAAAACCTTGTTGGTATCGACTAACAGCTCGGACTGCATACCGTTTGACCTGACGCGATCTTCTCGCACGGCTTCCCAAACCATCTTATAAACCGGCGGTAAGGTGGTTGAATTTGTCCATAACCAACTTGGCAGCTGATTCAGTCTCTTGTTCGCGTGATTTTTATTCATATTTGCGTAACGAGAGGAATTTGCAACGGTGAGTCGTTTCACCGCTACCAAAGTTACGAATCACGTGAACTCGTCCAGCAGTACAATTCTTCCATCCTTTAAGCTGCTAGCTCGATACATATATCAACATAACGAGAAAATTGTCGTTTAAACGTCGTTGTCACATCGTTGGAATGTCTTGAACTTGCGCGAGTACTTTATCAGTATGGTGTGACGTTCACTATGGCGACATGAATGCCTCTTCACGTACACAGAGTCTTTTCATGTTGATTCACGATTCTTCTTTTCTTCCTGGATATCAGTTCAGTAAAGCTGGTTCTATGTTAGAAATTTACCAATCATAGTCGATTATTTTCGATCGTAGAAAATCATTGACTGTGATTGGCCAATTTTTTGCGATTGCACGACTCTAATGTAGAACCAGCTTAAAGGTGCTATTTCATGCAGCGAAGAAACATATTATCCCCACCGCAAAGCAACGTTGAAAAGCTGCCTTTCTTTCCATGAGGCGTGTCTTCACTTTCTGGCTGTTTTGTATATTGCGCGAATAAAAAAAAGAACTAAAGTAAGCTGCAAAAATAAATTGTACATATGATTTTCCGTGAATTCCCCCCCCCCCACCCCCCAAGCTGTTTGTGGGACCAATAGCGGGCCGAAAGCATTACGAAGCTCCACGAACGATATTAGCATTAGGGAGAACAGTAAGCTTGACTCTGTATAAAAAATGATTTGTTTCTGGAGATGTCCTAGCAACGACATCACTATTGATGGCGTGTTTCTTTTCGGTGCTGTGTTGTTCGCTGCATTATTCCGCTTTTAGAAATCAGTCGATCCTTGTCAGGCTATTTTCATAAATATTTCTCTTTATATATACATTTCATATTATACTGTTTACCCTATGATCATACAGATTAATTAATTAATTGAAATATATTCAATGTGTTCGATAAATATTATAGATATTCGACGGTGGTATTAGTTATTGACGGTTCTACGCGAAACTGGCGGGAATGGGTACGACCAGTTACTCCTGTTGATCTCATCGCTAATTTCTTGAGGACTGTCGGATGGCTCATGCGACATATACCCTCGATTAACGACACCCTCGAAATCCTCCTTAGCGGCGTGTCTATTCTGAAGTTTAGATGACAATTGGCTGAAATATTTTCAAAATTGTATAAAAGATGAATGGTAAAATATAAATTAAAAAGGCCTATAAATTAAATCGCAAACCTTATTATTCGATCACCGAATGAATCTTCGATCTTAGGAACTTTTCGCCTAATGTTACGCGTGTCAAAACTCTCCTCTATGATGACATGTCTGTCATACGGTGTGTCGTAATCAATTTCGAGAATGGTTGAGAATTGGTGAGGAAAAATTAAATCGATGGCTGTTATTATAAGTCCCGCCAGAAAACACGTCGCACCTATGAAAACATCGCAGTCGTTTATTTTACATTTATGTGTAATATCATAATCAACCCTTTGGCGCAAAACACAAACCGGCTAATAGCACCAACCAATAATTCCAACCGAAGTCGAATGAGAGGATCGATCCATCTATATGAGCTATCAAAGGTTCATATGGTAAAAGTGCGGTATAAATTAAATTTGTCAGTAGCATACATAGACCCGTAAAAATCATACTGAAAGCCCCATATCGTGGTACTACCATAAGCAATAAATTCATCATCATCCACGAAGCAAAGGAAGCCCTACGAGAAATTTCTTCAATTTACCAATCTTAATCCATAATCAGTACAGATTTGATGAAAAGGAAAAAAATTGTCTATATAAAGTATACCATAGCATTATCGAGGCGTAATAGCCGGCTTCGCGATATCTGCCGCCCCAGGAGAAACCTTCTTGATGAAGACTGAAATATTCCGCCAAGGACACGATGGGAAATGGCGCGCCCTGATAAAGAGCCTGTTTGAAGGAATTAGTCATTTCGTTGGAGCTCCGCCACCAAAACCGTTCGTTGTATTCAACATCGCTGCTTTCCTCGTTTCCCGGCAATACTACGAAAATAAAATCTAGTTGACATATTGCTATGTCGATTACGATCTAAATTCTAATGTTCTTTTATATTGCTCTTAAATCTCTACAGAAGGTTCCAGAAATAGGTCGCCAAACTTTAAGAGCATATTCTACTCATTGTAAGGATGAGAAGAAGTCATATAAACTTGGGTTCGGAAACGCTTCCTTTCCAAATTATAAAGACTTGATTTACGACATGCCACCGACGTCTCATGGAATTGTCTTTCTTCGTTCACCTTCTATTAGAAGTGAACGACAAGTTATCAGATGTAGATAAATACTATATGATTTTTATTCATCCGAGTAAATATATGTTAGTAAAAATATGTTAATCCTTTATACGTAACTATTTCGGTAGTTTATATTATTTTACTTTTTAATGGGATTCATTTCTATTCGTAATCTAATAACCATTTTTAAGATAAGAGAGAGTGCAATGTCGAATCATAAAAATTATTTTAGGCCATGCTAACAGAAAAAAAATGATTGACAATTCAATAAAATTCAATATTTCAGACGTTTTTTTCAAAGTCTCGCACGAAAAAATTTATTAAAAATTTCCGATTTATTCTTTTTTCTACGCAGAATTATTATTGGTAAAATCATCAGTTACGACATATAAATTGTATATATAAAATTTCTAGCGATGCTTACGCCTGTACGTTATATTAATGTGCATTAAGCCGATGTAACCCCCTATGTCGGCTGTCGTCTTTTGTTTGGAGAAAGCACTATAGCTGCTGACAATAGTAGTGGAACTCGTGTGCCAGGATGAGCCATATTGTGCCACTACATACATACAGAAAGCATAATAATTATTTTTCCGCGCATTAGCACCGTTATATTTACGATTATTTTAATCAATCGTCTCAGTAAGATCCCGCAATTGACGTCGACAAAGAACTTTATCTATGCGATATATCTAAGAATCAACAGTAGCTTGACTAATTTAAGAGACTTATTCATACAGAGTTTCAGATAATTTTACTTTAAGCAACATCGATATTGATTATTTCACGATCTTTCCAAACTCGATGGTAATTTAAACGCGAAAAGACATGCGCACGCTAAATAAAACAAATAAATGATAACATAAACAGAGCAAAATACGGCTTTGGACACATCGAATTTAATATCCAACGAACTCTTTGAGACCGTAACTTGGGAAATACACAAACCTTGAATCGTCGCACCCACGAAGAGGCTCAGCGTGACCGTGAGAAATGTGGTTAATCGCTACGGCGAAGAAATATTGAATTTACACGAAATTGGCTTAACCAATGTATATTATTCGTTTAAGTAGTGGCTTACCTCTTTCCTAACACCCGGGAATATGACTAGAAACGCTGCGAACAAGGTGCCGAATATCACGAATACAATGATGAGAGGAACGTCACCTGTAACGGGAGTGCGATTGCTGTAGCTGTAAAGTGTAGGGCCGCCATCGCTGCGAAAGGCGTCGAACCATCCCTTCATCTTCTTTCAGTTCTCTCAGGTTCTGAAACATTCCCATGCAAAACTTCAATGCAGATCCTCGATTTCACATGATAATTGTTGTATAAATTATTTCTTTGCATCATATATTTCCGTTAAATATCAAGTACCCGCTTTATTTAGCAAAATGAAACAATAAAGAGTACTGACAATGCAGAAATGTATAAAAAAAAAGATCGCAAAGTTTGATTATGTTGGAAACATTTCGATGCTTTCTAGGTGTCTTCGGGATTTTTTGGGAAATGTCAGCTTGCTTTCCCCCGGTTGATATTATGAACAAGGCCTAAATTTAAGCTGGGAACGGTACGTTATTACAGAATCGTGATCGCTCGCGGTTGTAGCGAGCAAAAAGAGAATGTCGATATGTTTTCATATATATTCTTAAGTCCCAAGAGATTTTGGGGGATATTACCTACGGTTATTAGGTTCGCCTATCCAAGATTGAAATTGTCCAATTCGCCCAAGGTGCGATGTCTTCGTCATGCATTGGAAGCGCACGGAGGATCAAAGGCGGTGAGAGTGCACCGGAGTAGGTTAACAGGCTCTACATGGAAAGCTGTTTTCACTAACGGACGGACGACCTCGTGCATTACCTCGGAGAAAGGGTGATGCCGCAGGTGGGGTTATCGATGGGAGGGAAGAGAAAGGAAAAAGATGGAGAAGCATCCGCGTGAGGAAGGTTTACTCTATATCAGCTGACCCGGTTTCAGGATTCAATATGTCACGTTTCCTGTAACGTTTGTCTGAAAATTGGCCGTTCTTTTCATTTCTGCAGCTAAAAATAGGGGTTCCCATTTGAAAATTCCAAGTTGACCTTGAAATAACCCCTAAATTTTATCCTAGGTTCACGTCCCGCTTTGAATCCTACTTTATTCTTTCTCTTACATCCTACTCCTTCTGAGATATTTCGGGGACTTTTTTCTCACCTTGTATATCCTTTCCGTTAAATAATTAATTCCTCACAAATCATTGCGAATTTTGTAAAATGGTACATGATTTTTTTGCTGTTTTATCCTACACCACAGGAGCCAAAAGTTTTGGACGTATGTGCATACGCGCGAGTACATTTTTCTCACGTTACTATAGTCAATGAATAAGTGAATATGAATTGTACAGATATATCGCTTTTTCTTGGGCGAGAAATAATACTTTTGTTATTTTTGAAACTTTCCGGCTTGAATTAATATTTGACATATCTCAAAACATTATATTTGATATTAATTAAATTAATAGTATAATTTTCTTCAGTAATTCGAACTTATCAAATGAAATTTAAGTTTCCATTCAAAATACAATCGATCATTTATGTTGAAATTTATTATATCTAGTCTTATACGCGTGTATGTACGTACACATGTACAGTCTACCAAACACAAATCTACATGACATATTGTAATACAATTATTTAACAACCAGGAAATTTGCTATAAATTAGAAATATTTCTGAAATACCACATATTGTATACCTAGAGAAATTCTGTATGCGAGGAAAACAGATTACCTTCTTAACAAATTCAATGGTTAAGAATAATACAAAATGTAACAACTATACTATTCTGCATATTTGTTAACAAACTGTTTAAGCTTGTCAGTATCTTGAAGACCGACAACTCTCTCCAGAACCTTTCCATCCTTCATAGCAATGAGTACAGGTACGGATCCAACCTAAAAAATAATAATTAAATATACAAAGATGTTTTCTGACACTCCCGCAATTAGTTGTACACGCTTTGAAAATTTGTCAACTTATTTTGGTATCAGTTTGTATATTTAACCGTTAATATGAAATAATTGTATTACATCTGCGTAGAAAAACTTACATGATAATCAAGAGCAAGTTCTGTATTTTCATCAATATCGACTTTGGCTAACAGTATCTTTCCTTGCTTTTCGGCAACAATCGTTTCTATTCTTGGGGTTAACATGCGACAGGGATTACACCATCTGGAATAATAACGCTCAAATTGACCTAACTATAGAGCAATTAAATAATCTTGTGAAACATTTACAATATGTATATATAATACGCACGTTGCAAAAAAGTCCACAATAACAGGTACTTTGGAATTCTTCACACGTTCATCAAAATCCTTGAGATCTTGTACTTTAAAAGTAGCAGTTATCATCTGTTCCTGAGCAGGTACGGTAGTATATGCCCTGTTACGGCTCAGGATGCTGCAGATAGTTCGAATTCCTAAACGCTGCATTTCTTGTTAATTCTTCACTGTTAACAATTAAAATATAATAGAAATATTATGCAATATTACATATGAAATTCTTAAACTTTGTAAAATTCTTTTGTATTGTTCTTTTGTGTCACTTGTAGATAATTATCTTTATACGACAGTTCTAAAATTAAAGTGGATATAACATCGAAATGCCCATGGGGCAAAACACGAGAGCTCGGTTTTCGGTCAGTTAAAATTTTATTAGGTGATAAAACTCAGTAGAAAAAACTTGGAATATTATTTAACAAAATATGTTATTAATTCAAACGTTCTATCGAAATTGACCTTTATCGATAATGACACTTTATTATTAAGAACATTTCCCTAACAATTATAATTAAGCAATTATTTCATCATATATATATATATATATATTTGGTCGTAAAAAAAAGCAATGCGCAATTCATTCTAATCTGCGCATTAAATGTTACCTGTATCTCAATTTATAAAATTATTTTCTGCAACTTTTATAATTTTCTTGTTTTACTTTTAAAAATAAATCTCTTCTTCGTGTATATTTTATGATAACTATGCGGTATATAATCCGTCTGCCTTAACCATAAGGTGCTTTTCAGCAACACAGCGACATAGTGGTGTGTTCAGCGAACGAATGTATAAAGGCCTTCATACATGGATTGCCGTCAAAATGTGCCGTAAGAATTAGCCAATGAACGAACATATAGGGCCGTTCAACCAATCAAAAAGCGCAAGTTTTATGATTGGTTGTTGCAAAGTGTGCAGTAAACTAATTGATCAATTGGATTCATACAGAAATAGATCGACTGTGGTTGGTCAATTAGCATACTTTAAGACCTCCACACATGGATTGCTGTAAGACTTAAACAGTAATGACCAACCAATCAGTATACTTCTTTAGGTTTACGTATTCCAAGCGATGATAAAAGTGACGGTAAGTTTGGCCTTATGCAGAAATAACTAAGATTTTAACTGTTTGAAGTATTAGTTACTTTAGCAGTTTTCTTTTTCTGCTTTTCCGTCAATGTGTGTGAATTAAAATCTTCTGTTATATACACTTTCAATACCGGTAGTGAATATCGGAACGCGGCCAGGGTAGGATTTCTGAAGGCACGCATAGACAAGCGATGACATTACATGCTCCATGAGCGTCGAATAGTTTGCCCGCACTATTCCCTGAGTGTGATTTTCGAATAGACCTCTTCTATACCGCCAGCCTGTCAAGAAATGTGAAGTTGATGTTTACGAAACTCGATCAGCGGTAATGGTATCGGAGCGACGAGCGGCCCATACGAATTAGAACGCTCGAAGAAGCCCCCCGAGTGATATCATTTAATTTCTCAAATGCAATCATGGCACTCCGCAAAGTAAAAGGAAACTTCGAACGAATGTTCGACAAGAATCTGACGGACCTGGTGCGCGGCATCAGGAACAACAAGGAAAATGAGGTGATTCTCGCGTGCTATGCCCAGTCTCCGATGATAATGTTATCCATATTTTAATCTAACCTTACTTTTCTCGTCCGTTTTCTCACCACTTTCTGCAAATTGACTCAAGGGATTCTTACGATTTTTTCTGTCAGGCGAAATATATCGCGCAATGCATCGAGGAGATTAAACAGGAACTGCGGCAAGATAATGTGGCAGTCAAGGCGAACGCTGTAGCAAAGCTAACATATGTAAGTTTTACATAAGGCGCGGAAGTCGACGTTAATTCGATTTCAACAATTTAATTGGCTATATCCCAAGTGTTGATAACTAATCTGCTGTTCAGCTCCAGATGTTGGGATATGACATCAGCTGGGCTGGCTTTAATATAATAGAAGTAATGTCATCCGCAAAGTTTACTTACAAACGAATTGGCTATCTTGCTGCGAGTCAGAGCTTTCATGCGGATACAGAGGTAAACCTTGTCAAATTATTAAAGCTATCGAAATATTGCTCTTTATTGCTTGATTTACTAATATTTGTTTTTCTTGTTATAGCTGCTAATGCTTACAACAAATATGATTCGTAAGGATTTGAACAGCCAAAATCAATATGATGCTGGTTTAGCACTAAGTGGTTTATCTTGCTTCATAAGTCCAGACTTAGCACGTGATCTGGTTCATGATATTATGACTCTATTGACTTCTACGAAGCCGTACTTACGCAAGAAGGCGGTTTTGATGATGTATAAAGTATTCCTGAGATTTCCAGAGGCTCTGAGACCCGCTTTCCCCAGGTTGAAGGAAAAACTTGAGGATCCAGATAGTGGTGTTCAAAGCGCAGCAGTAAACGTAGTTTGCGAATTAGCTAGGAAAAATCCCAAGAATTACTTGAGCCTAGCACCCGTCTTCTTTAAGCTAATGACAACTTCTACGAACAATTGGATGCTTATAAAAATTATCAAGTTGGTGAGTATTATTACCTTGAATTCTTGGCACGTTAGTGCCAATATTCTTTCATACCTTTTTTCTTTTTTCCGTTGAACATGAGATGATCATATGTCTATCTTAATCAGATTGTTTTCTTTCTTTCATAATGCAATACAATTCGTTATGCATATATTTTTTTTCTTACTGTAAGACATGTTGATTTTTTTTCTCATGTTCAGTTCTCAACTGTAACTCTGATTGAGCCAAAACTGGGTCGGCAACTTACTCAACCATTAATTGATCTGATTTCAAGGTTCTACATTATTAGATTTCTTTCTACTCACATATTGTTCCTCATAAAAGCAAATTATTATTATACCCGTTGCAATTTATTCTTATATCTCGATCAGTATTTGTAGAATACTCATACTTTGCATATAGAATTTTATTTGATCTGGGATACTTTATTTATTAATGAATTTAACACGTTTGCTGCCACTCCAGTTACGTTATTCTGGTGTCGTGTGTGCAATTGGCCTTAATTTTTATAACTATAGCTCTAATCGTTTTATAAAAGATTATGCAGATTTTCAAATCTCAAACAATATGCGACACCTGTCAGTTAAATACGGAAGCTTATACAGCCATTTAAATCTCTGCACACATGTGGCGGCAAAAGTGGTATGTTAATACCACATATGTGGCACCGAACGTGTTAAATGCGCATTAAAATTTGTATAGAACATTTTTCCAAATAATTTCTAGAATACAACATAACGTTATATTTCCAGTTTGGAGCATTGACACCTCTAGAACCTAGGCTTGGCAAAAAGTTGATAGAACCCCTTACCAATTTGATACACAGGTATCTAATGTATTTTACCGTTAAATATGTACAAATATTATAACATTATCCCTATGAGACACCCTGTATATACACAGTATTAAAAGAGAAAAAAAAAACATTCAATATTTATTTACGGTAGATAGTACAATATTGAGTAAAAAAGACTTTAGTAAACATAGGTTTTACAAATGGTTGAGCTTTTGTCCTGTATTTATGAAGGTTTTTCTTTCACTCAGTGTGTCTACCTTATGAATGATTTTTTAAAAATACTTCGTTTATTTTGCGTACTTTCAAGTTCGATATATACTTGACTACATTCAACCGTAATCGTTTTCTAGTACGTCGGCAATGTCCTTACTATACGAATGTATCAACACAGTAATAGCCGTATTGATCTCTATATCGTCCGGTATGCCGAACCACTCCGATTCGATACAGCTGTGTGTTCAGAAATTGAGAATACTAATTGAGGATTCTGACCAAAACTTGAAGTACTTGGGACTACTTGCGATGTCGAAGATACTGAAGACTCATCCGAAGAGCGTTCAAGCTCACAAGGATCTTATTATGCAATGCCTCGATGACAAAGACGAAAGTATAAGACTGCGTGCCTTGGACTTGCTATACGGGATGGTATCCAAGAAGAATCTAATGGAGATTGTTAAGAAGTTAATGGTGCACATGGACAAAGCTGAAGGCACTACGTATCGTGATGAATTGCTCTCGAAGATCATTCAAATTTGCTCACAGAACAACTATCAGTTCATTACCTATTTTGAGTGGTGACTATCGAAGTTCTTTCTGCAAATCTATTCGATAAATTTGTGCGGATTTTTGCGAACGTTTTGCGATACTGCACAACCTTCGTTCAATAACGTATCGATTGTTTCTTTTGATGATCTAGAAAAATGAAAGTCTTATTCATTGTTCTAACCTCTTGATAACCTATAAAGAACCGAAGTTAGAAATGTTTCGAAATGTTAAAAATCCGTTCGAACTTATCCAACAGCCCGAGTGGATTGTATAGCTTTCTGTATATTTTCAGGTACATATCTGTATTGGTGGAGCTTACACGAATGGAAGGCACCAAGCATGGACCATTAGTAGCAACTCAATTACTCGACGTAGCGATTCGTGTACAAGCTATACGAAAATATGCAGTTCAACAATGTGCCTTATTGCTTGAGAATTCATATTTATTAACCGGCCAGCCGAGGGCGACAATGTCCGAGGTTTTATACGCAGCGGCGTGGATTTGCGGAGAATTTTCTAGGTAAATATTTTGGGAAAACTTTCTCAATGATGTAATTACGTAATAACGTCAAATCGACAGCGAATTGGAAGATCCTTTGGCGACACTGCAATCTATGTTGCGATCACAAGCTTCTAGTTTGCCAGGGCATATACAAGCAGTTTACGTTCACAACATATTAAAGCTGGCCGCGACATCATTCGCCAAAGCAGAAAATGAGGGAGATATGGAAACCACGGAGAAGGTATAGAAATTCATGTATAATGAAATTACTACGTAGTAAGAAGATCAGCATTGTGTTAATGAAACATTCTACAGATTTATGGATTGAAAGACAAAATAACAGCTTTCGTCTGTAGCGGCGATTTGGAAGTTCAGGAAAGATCAAGTTCTGCATTGGTACTGCTCGAATGCTTGAAGGAGAATCCCGGTCTTGCACAGGAATTAATGGAGACTTTCGACGGTGAGCTCAATCCAGTTGCACCAAAGGCTCAAAGGAAAGCAAGTATTATATTATCAGGGTTAACTGATTCTTTATACGTCTGTCGTATATATCTGAGAAACTGCATTTCATTTTTATAAATTGACAAATTACTTCGATCAAAATTTCACGGTATTCTTCAGGTTCCAATACCTGAGGAATTGGATTTGGATTCCTGGATCAATGATCCGCCTTCAGAGAGCTCAGATTCGGAGGATTTAGATATGAACGATATTTTTATCAAGACGGAGAAGTCGAGCGATTCCAAACGGGAATTGGGTGAACCGTCGGTGGAAGAACTCGAGCGGAGGCGCGAAGCTAGAAAACTAGAACAGGAGAATAATCCTCATTATTTAAAGGGCTCATTTAAGACTTCTGCATCATATCACAATTCATCGAGCATGTACGAAGATTTCGATAACATTCCCGTCGCGGAACTGGACATCCCAATCTCTTTGAAAATCACCAACTTGCACAGTTGTCGTGACATCAGTATAGACCGCGGTCATAAAAGGCACAAGAAGCACGAAAAGAAGAAGAAGTCGAAGAAGAGCAAAGGTAATAATTATATACACAACTTTCATAAACGTGCGCTGCTAAACACTTCACTACTAAACATGCTGTGTGCACTAAAACGTGAGATTTTCTTTTTTTTTTTTTTACATTGTTTTCATATTCTTTTATTTCATATCCTTTTAGGTAAAAAGTCTGCATCAGAGGATGAGCAAGATAACGGTTTACCGTTACAAATAGTAAATACGGGTATAGGAGAGCTACCTCCGGGAGCAGAAATAAGTGACAGCGACGATTACGATTTAGTAGATGCGAACGACCCGCATAGAGCTTTGAATATTGATCTGGATATGCCCTTGAGAGACGATGAAAGATTGCTCGTCTTAAAACATAGAGCTATCGAAAATAATGTCGCGCGAAAGACCGAAGAGAAAGGAGATAAAAAGGAGAAGGTAAATTTTTTGTTTATATTAATCCTCGCTTGGCATACTGAATTTTTTAGAAATTTGTCTCAGTCCACACATTATTTATAAAGTAGACGGGTTTTTTTTCTCCCCCAAGTGAAGACGATATGTTGATTCTACGCAGAAAGAAAATTCCCCGAGAAAATAATTTTTATATGTGCAACAATTCAAAATTTAACATCAATATAAAATCTTAATTTTTCTCTTGAATATACATTTGAGTGCTAAACTAGGATTAATAAGTGTCGTAATATGAATTTATTTACTCTTTACGTCTCTTCTTCAAGGTAACTCTTAACACAATCTGTTCTTCATATTTGATCAATAGGGGCACAGGAAATCTAAAAAAAAGATGAAGGACGCAGCGGAAAACAAGGTGATCAATCAAAGAGAATTGCCCGACTTATGGTTGGAAAATAATCCGGAGAAAGTGCAGTACCCTGCGGTTGGAGAATATACGGAAGTGTCCAGCGAGCCGCAGAAGGCAGACAATAAGCGTAAAAAGTCCAAGAGCCAAGACAAACATAAGAAATCCAACGAAGACGATGTGAAACACCGAAAGTCGAAGAAATCGAAGAGCAAGAAGGAAAATAAGCCGTTGGATTACGAGGAAACGGCGGGAATATCTACTCCCTCTAAGGAGATACTACCGGACTTGAAGGACGACATCACAAGTACTGAATGTAACGCGAATCCTTTACAGCAGAGTATCTCCTACGAAGAGTTAGCCAAGAACAAAGTGATTTCTATGACGTACGAGTTGAAACAAATCCCTCACGAGTCAAATAAAGTTATCATATCGATTTGTATCACGAATATAGGCCAGGTGCTCGTGAGAGAGTTAGTTTTTGACGTTCCAGACACGTCGTCCCTCAAATTAGTTAGGAATGTAAGTTCGCATGCTCCAACATTTTGAGTTTCCAGCCTACAGCGGCTTGGAAATACAAGTTTTTGGTCAAAACTCTGAATCATGATGATTTTTATGATATATATATATAGAAAATATCTCGAGGAGAAAAGTTACTTTCTCTACATGATTCGTCTTACTTCGTTTTTAGATAAATAACTCGATTTCGAATGGTTTCTTTTAAACGGTGCGTTAATTTTTTTATCGTGTGGATAGATTTCATACGAATCTATGAGAGATAAATTATTAGGTTGGCGTACACGAAATGTCGGATTTTTCTTGTGCATATTGGCTATATTGCACCGAAGATATATTATAATATGTTTGGCAAAAATATAAGTTAGTCGATGTTTGTATCAACATTATCAGTTTTTTTTTATCTGAAATACGTATTAATCTCTAAACCGCAATATCGGTGAAACACGCATTATTATTCGATATGAATTTAAACTCTCAACTTGCAACATTAACTTGCAACATTTCGTTCCGGATATGAATCGCTTCAAAATGAACCTCGTGATAGGCCCGAAACAATTGTTGACAAACGGTGTTTTGAAAACTCTGTTTGAAAGAAAGATGAAAGGAAAAAGAAAAAAAAAACAGAGGATACGTACTGTCAATATATCCGACAAATGCATTGAAAAAGTGAAGATACAGCGCCCTTACAAGTCCGACATTTCATATACACCAACCTAATACTTCCGAGAAGCGCAAAACAAATATAAAAGATGTTATTAATGTAAGCATTGACGATTATTTTGAGTTTCTTTTCAGAAACTTTTAAAACTATCTTCCTAAAACTATTGACAAGAAAGAAATTCTTCCATTGTAAGATTATTTTAACCGCAGATCTAGTTATTACTTTGCTTCAGAAAGAAGAAACACGTGAAGCATTTTTCTTTTTAACACATTAAATATATATAATCATACTATTTAAATTAATATGTAGCACAATTTTCACGACAGCGTGATAGCTATGACCAAGGTTACTATTGAACATAAATTTTTAACATCACGCTTATTCACGAAAGAATAATAAATGATTTATGATTATTTCATTATATGACGTCGTAAAATTTATATCTTGCTATATGGTGAAGCTTTGCAAAAATGAGTTTTGGCCAGGAAATATCTATCTTAAACTATTGTGATGCGTTAAGATTAGGATATATCGTTTCTTTCTCATTGCAGCCTGGAGACGAATTTGGGATAAAACTGCCGTTCCAACTGCCCTTGCAAACTAGCAAAGAAACTCAGTTCACCGTTCTAGTCTCGGACGTAACGTTCGCTCAGAGACTAAGAGGTACACTGACATATATGTTTGAAAGTAAAGAGGGCATGCAGCAAGAAAAGCTCGATTTCACCGTGCACTTGTCGTGTAGCAAGTTTATGGTCGGCCATCTCTCTCACAAGGACATTCTCACGGAACTTCTCAAAAGCGGTCAATTAGTATCTAAGATTAGGAAAGAAGTGACGCCTATTCAAGATTTCGCTACGGTACTGAATGTTATCTGCCGCAAATGCAATCTCACTCTCGTAGAGCAGATCGAGGATACTGCGTCTTTATATGGGCATTCTTTGAAAGGACATCATGTGTGTCTTTTGTTAAAATTTAATGTAAGTCATATACCGCTTTCCTCTGTATAATTCGATGCCAAATTAAAATACACAAGCGTTAATATATCATATAAATTTTTGTCGCGTCGATTTTATTCGCTTTATCGGGAAAAGGCTTGAACTTGTGAAAAGTCGGTAAAAGTTGATGTCGTTCAAAGTATCTCGTATTCAATTTATACCTGTGGTAACATTTTACCAACTTTTCGCAGGTTCGAACTTTTCTTCTCGTTAAATTGAATAATCGGTTAAAAAACGTCAACAATCATATGGTGCGGTGTTTTTTAATGTTGCAGAAAACGACGGGAAATCTAGTGATCGAAGGTAAAGGTGACAATAACTCATTACTGTCGGGAATTGGAGAGGAGATACTGAGAATCCTGACATAATGCTGATTTAAAATCAAGTGTCTGTATCTTGCAATTATTGATTCCTATGTATACATTGCAGTCATGTTTAATATACATTCGACAGAGAGAGAGAGAGAGAGAGAGAGAGAGAGAGAAACATTTCGATGACTGTGTCCGTTATACATGAAACAGCGGCTAAAGGAAGCGTATCTGCAAGTCTTGAATATTTTCTGAAAAGATCTTACCTAAACTTTACGTATAATCTAGATCATAAAATTTGTTAAATATACGAGATATATACATATGTACACATACTATATACATACATCAAATATATGTACACACATGTACATGGCTATATGTAACGCGTGAGGCGAAGGAGAGAAAGGGGGAAGGAAGGAAGGAGAGCTTATATTTGCCAAGAATTGAAGACACTGGAGTAAAAGTAGATTAATGTTTCTACATACTGCGGTGCGCGTAATAATGGAACAGGATCACGAGGATTTCAATTGTCTCTTAAGATATAATTATCCACTTTCAATCGCAAATAATATCTTCCAGAAAAAGAAAGAAGAAGTTGTGTAAATTGCTCCACTTTCTTATCTATATGATGTTGTATTTACTACTACGCGCATGTAATAATTGGAGTGATGATGGCTTACGAATAAAATTTGACTGCTAACGCAGCAACACTTTGTATAGTACGGAAATAAACGTTGCAATAGAAACAGTTGACCCTACTTTTATGTTCGATGCCTTCAATTTTTGCGTTCTGCAGCGGATATCACCACCGCATCGCTACTGTTGAGATATATTTTATTATTATTTTGTAAAATGTATGAAGTATAATATATCGTCGTGTTACGATGCGTCGATCTTTGTAAACGTTCATTAACAAACCGTGGGTAATGAGAGAGCTTATTTTGCACTTGACGCTTCCGTAATAATATCGATAATTAACGATCTGTGTAAATTTAACATTTAAGCAAATTGTGAACTACTTAAATTCACAGTCACGCAACGCGCGCGCGCGCGCGCGCGTGCGCACACACACGCATGCACGCACGCGCGCGCGCGCGCGCGCACACACACACACACACACACACACACACACACACACACACACACACACACACACACACGCACAAAACTTACTTGGTCACGCGAAAAATTACGCTTTTGAATTTTTCAGCAAGCCGTTGCATCGAGTTTTATATGCTTTTTCGGTCAATCTTTTATCTCGTCGTGCCTTTCGAGCGTAGACAAATTTTTATATTTAAATATAAATTCTAGACTTTTTTTACATCAACTATTAAACTAACATTTAGCTATTAAATGTGCCAAAAAAAAAAGAAAAAAAAACATGATCGTGGTTTAAATGCTCAATATAATAATCTTTCTATACCTGAAGTGATGTCGATTTTTGTCGTGTATTGAATTTTAAATTAAGGAGAGTCGCGGATAATTAATAATTCACATTTAATGAATATTGACGTAATTCGTGCTACCTTGGGAGATTTTCCTCCTTGGCAAAGCAAGTATGCACGTTGAACATGACGTGTTCTACTATAAATTATGATATAGAAATAACGTTTAATATTGAACAGCCAGTATTATTTTATTAAGGCTCGTCTCCCTCCGTTGTCTATATTAGTTTTGTGACATCATAGGCGAGAAATGACATGCAGTAAGTTCTTTGCAACATGTAGTTTTATTTTTTAATTTTCCCTGAAAAACACAATGATTTCGTAATCTCGTAAGATGTGCAGAAAACTATCGATATGTCACGTAAGATCGCAAAATAAACAACGGGTCATTTTTCAGCTATCACGAGTATGTTGCAAGAAACTTACCGCATGTCATTTCTTGATGCTTATGATGTCACAAAACCAATATGACTAGCGGAGAGAGTCGAGCCTTCATCATGCATCTGTCCTTCGAGAATCCTTCAGATAAGTTTGCAAATGCGAATGACCGTTTAACTACAACATCTCATTATCACCGAGTCTTAAATTGTTTATTACTCAATGAGCAATGAAATCTCGGTAAAATTCAACGTTTCATTCACTCACACGAGAATATTCCTGCAACTGAGAGAACAGATGAAAATTCGGTGACGAGAGAAATGATATGTCTCTGTTACCGCGACTGAGAATATTCGTGTGAACATTCAATTGCATTAAAATTCGATTGAAATTACATAAATATTCTTGTTCCTGCGTTTTCGCCTGGGAAATTCAGTTACACCAATGAAATTGTTTTTTCCATTCAGAGGAGACACGTATCGCACGGTCGTAATGAGATTCCCCTGTGTGTGCGCACGCGTGTGCAATAAAATAGATGGAGAGGGTGGATCTCAGTGAGAAATAAGAAATCGAAATGATATCGAAATATGGACGTTGCAAAGACTCGAACGGGCTCGGTTTAAAAGAAACTTTCGACATCGAAATCAGCTCGATTTTCAACATATCCCCAAAAACTCCGCTGGGATTTTTTGGTCTACCAACCGTTTTAGCTATTTAGACTTTACGTTAGAGACATCTTTCGTTATTTCCTATGTATGGCATTGGCATTTGGCACGATTTTGTTCAAGCAACAAACAATGATTTCAGCCAAGCGGACGAATGTGTTACAACAAAAGACAAATTTCATTGAAACAAATGTCGATTTATTCATTTATTGAAATATATCGATTCGAATAAAAAAATTTGGTTACATTTCGCCTACTTCTCGTAATATATATTTTTCAAGTAAATATACAAAAATCACATATTCAGTTAACACATTGCTGACCGGTCACGAGTTAACTCGTGTCTTACTGCTCAAACGTTGCTGACCGGCCACAAGTAAACTCGTAATCGATGCAAGATACATTTGCGCGATCGAAACAAGATACATTTGCAAAACCTGTTGTGTACCATTACACGTAGGTGATTGCTACACTGTTTATCATACCAAAAAGAAATATTAAAAGTTAAATATTAAATAAAATTGATTGGAGTTTATTTATATTGTTTCACTTCCACATCCAATTACGAAATAATAGCCGATGACATGAGATAAATTTTAAGTAAAATTGCCGGTCAACAATGTGTCAAAAAAGTACTAGGAACTTTGGTTTAAAATTGATTTTTAAATAAAAATGTTATGATAATGATTAAAAAACAATTTTTTTTTATAATACCTGAAATGCATCCTATTTTACAATTTTTAAAAAATTCGTAAAAATTTATTTTCAAGTAAAAAAAATTATGATAATTATTAAAAAACATAATTTTTTTTTCAATAATACCTAAAATGCGTCCTATTTTACAATTTCTGAAAGTTTAACAAACATTGCTTCATCAATAAAAATGTAATGACGATTTTAGTAACGTGCAAGTTTGCCCAAAAACGTGCGGTCCTAGGCGTATGTCTTACAGATTTCTTAGCGGTCCGCAATGTGTTAACAAAATGGTTGAAGCAAGAAATTTTGTTTCATTCAATCAAATGGATTTCTCAGTATAAAGTAAATAAGCTTTTCAGTTGCCAATTAATGTGGGAATTGTGAAACTTGAAAAGATCTTCAGCAATCCATTAATTTTGCTATTCTTCTCAGTAAGAAATGACCTATCGAATCGGTCTATATCGAAACGACGCATCAAAAGTATTGTTCCGAAACGAGATTTTACTTATAAACGGATGTACACAGAGTTGCGACACACAGAACGCGGCAATGCGGAAGTTGCAACAGTAAAATTAAGAATAATAATATTTATTTATTGTTCATGTCAATTTATTTAAGTTTCAACTTGAAAACAAGTTCAAACGAACGTTGAGTTTTTCTACCTTTGCCAGCACCATCGAGCTAATTTCGCCGGCCAAGATATGTTTCGACATCCTTTCGTTTCGACATTCTCATTGGGATACACTTTTTACATAAAAAATATTATGAAACACTTGTGTACGAATTATTCTCGTTTTAAGCTGTATACGCTTCTCATTTATATTAATATACACCCGGGTGAAATAAAGATTGTTAAACATTTCGAAATATGTACAGAGGACGGGCGAGAATGATTCTTGATTTATGTCATCTGCACTTTCATACGATGAGAGCTCGTCTGGGAGGCGAAAGACGCTCCATAATTCAACCACAATTCATCGGCCTTATATTACACCTACGCAAAACTCATGGTCATGCGGCGTCGTGTTTCGGCGAAGAATCATCATTTTTATCGGGCATATAATATCAGAGACACCGTTCATATCGGGTCATTATCTAAATGCTTTTAAAGTTCGTATAATATTAATCGATTTATTCGGAAGTAAACACGTGACGCAAAAAGTGACCTCTATCTGAAAGGATACTCAGGAATGCCGTTTTTTATTTGTTTGCGCTGTGCCCACGAAATCCGTCAGTCTGATCACACACGCACAGCGAGAGATTATCGTTTCACTCGTTGCCATGGAATGAACGGGGATAAATTTTTCCTTATAACTTATTAATCAATTAGAATGCGATTGATATCCGTCGTTCTCTTTTCAAATTCATTTGAAAAAGCAGAAGAGGAAAAACAATTCAATCCCCGTTAAATTGCATTCTAGTCACGTTTGACGTGTTGTATTTTTCAAGATTCGCTGTTTTGATTTTGAATATCAAGCTGTCCGAATGATTTATCGTAGAGTTCGAAATCCTGTATTATTTATTTTTGTTGAGAGACGTAGCGGGAAGTGAAAAAATCGAGCGTGTCTCGAAATTTGCAAGATGAAATTAATGAATTTAATATATAAAAGAAGTATCAGTGCGCGAAAGAAAAGGCTTTGATCGTTACATTTTTCTCTTATCATTGACAAAAGATAGCACTCGTCGAGATAAAAAAAGTACGATTATATCGATAGGTAGAAATCAATAATCATTCTGTGTATGGCACGACGAAATATTCTATTCATTACACTAAATTATTCGTATCGCAAAATCACATTCCATATATATCTCGCCCGCTCGCGAGTAACTTCGTTGCGATAAGAAACCGTTAAAGTGCTAATGAAAAAGTTATTAAGGTAAAACATTAAAATTACTTTCGCGCTCATTGAGCGTTTATTCGATGACGCAGTAAGTAGGGAGGATTAGTAATAGTCACGAGATCTATGCTATCTTTGCACTTCAAACAGAAGCACTACTCGTTACATTTTTTTTAAAATACGGATATTGCAGATGCGATAGCCGGTGATTGAGGTAGTTGGTCCGTAAATTTATTTTCGTAGGAATCTTTTCAAATTTTAACAACATTACTAATCGGAACATGATCTATACATATGTAAAGGAACACTTCTTTTCCAGGAAATTCATAGTTTTTGAGGTATTGAAAATTTATGATGCTGTAATATCGGGAAAATCTTTAATAGTAGTTTGGACTTTAGAAAAGAACCGTTTTCAGGAATTTGTTGTACAAAAAGAATAAATTAAAAATCCGTGAATAGATACTTATATAGAAGTTATAAAAAAAAGTTTTATTTTTTCGAAAAAAAATAACGGTCGATTCGAACAGATTGTTTCTCAGCGAGCGCCCAATCGACGTACAAGATTACGATGAGACGGTTTGAACAAGAAACTGAGAATCTTTATTTTCTACATGACATTGACTAAAGTAGTATATAGGGATTTTCAGAAATATGCTTGTTTGTAAAAATGGTGAGCAGTTGGAAAAAAAATCTTACGAAAAAATTTTGCACAAAAGTGAAAGTTTCAAGTGAATCGTAATAAAAATGGTAAAAGTTACGCCTATTTAAAAAGTATCGTTTTGAGAAAAACGCGCTTTTCAATATGATGGTGTGAAAAAAGAAAAGATTAGTCTGCGCCATACAGTTGTCTATCGGACAGTATTCTTCTTTCCGGTCTGATTTTAAGGGGCTCTGCCTTGTCTGCACAGAAATTATAACAGGCATCTGTAAAACTTGCATAATTCCTATTATGCTTATTAGGCCATCATTGCAATATCCTCTGCAACATCAAGGATTATTTTTCCACTTGAGATCGCTTTAGGTATAACGCCTCTCTTATTAATTTCGCACGACCGTATAGGTCCCTCCGATCTCGTGCGCGATACGAAGACAAAGAATGAAAAGAACGCCACTATAATGTAACGCGTCTAAATTTACCGTGCAAATATTCCTCTTCGTCGTATAAGGAACCTCACCTTTGTTCACGCTCCTGTGCGTTTCCGCGAGAAGTCAGACGCTAATAGCGCGGCGCGACCTGGAGGACGATTCTCACTCGCTCGATGTTTCCCGCGCACAGGAGGTCCGAAAATGACCCACCTGGGGTAAGTGCACCAGGTGTCAAAACACTGTCATATCCCGTCGGCGGGCTGGTCGACCGACCGAGCATCCCCCCTCCTGGCTTGTATTACTCGGCCGAAACGGTACCGCATGCTATTGATGCTATATAAATAATACTTCGCGCCAAGACCGAGATCAGTCGACTTGCGGCGGCCGTACCTGCCACGATGCAACGCACCTTCAAAGATTAAAAAAATCTCGCTCGATTCTTCCCCCTCTTTATTCTTCTTTTCTTCTTTTTCACTTGTTCTCACTATCCTGTCTTCACTCTCTTCCACTCACATTTACTACTGTCGTACGCGAGAACTCATTGGCGCACCCAGTGATCCCTACAGGATGTCGCACGACAATCTGGGATTTACATCAAGTACGGTGAGTGAACGGCACGAGAACTTATGCGTCGCTTTTCGCTTAAAGATCCTTGCTGCACGTGTTTTAGAGTGTTTTGGGGGGGAGACAGCTGAGTAAAGAAATAATTCGAGTCATTGATTGACGTAACTAATTGAGCGCGGCAGACGGCTCTTGCCGATTCGTTCTGAAAGTTCTCTCGGCAGTGATTCGTGACATTTTAGCCTCGAGTGAAGCATGATACACACTCGTGAAAGGAGGATGATACTGAAGGATCGTTTAGAAAAAGATATAGTATCGCAAATGCATTTATCTGATATAAGAAACGTAGCATGTCGTGTCCTCATTCATTAGAAAAATAGTACGAGCAACAGAGAAGAAAAACGCTGCCAAAATCCATAATTTCAGGAAAAAAGCCGCTCTTTTTTTCTTTAAGGATTTAAAAGAACTTTGGTGCCGATGAAAAGTGTATAAGACGATAAAGTGATTGAGATAGCGGTGACCCTTTCGCTTATTTTTACGGAATCCTTCGTTGGAATGTTCTAATGATGCTGCGTACGTTGTAACGTGAACGTATGTATAAAAGAAAGCAGCAGAATTACGTAAGGCCCTTTATTCACGTATAATTTACATGCCATTATTTTTACAAAAAAAAATTGTTATCACCTTCCCGCTTGTCATTTAAGTGCCGATAGCGGCGCATGATACATTATTCTGAGGCAATGCGCGGTATACCTAGCTTTATCTAAACGTGCATAATACAGATAACGCGTACAATAGTGTTCGAAATATTTCGCGAGTTGTACAGCCGAAAAGTATAGCGCGGAATTTTTCGCAGGCTAAAACCCAAAAATAACAAGAATTTAACCACTTGAGATATCTTGAAAATGCCAAAGTCGCCGTGGCTATCACAGATAAGGTGTACGGAAATTACATTTCGGGCACAATAACAACATCTGATAATTTATGCGACCGCGCGGTGAAATATAGCCGTCGTTGCTGTGAGATTCGCGGAATGAACTTCTTTTTTTTTTTTTTATAGCGATGAACCGAAGCGGGATAATAAAGAATCAAGAACAAACTGTAGCGGCCGATGTTTTCGATCGCGCGACGATCTGATTACGAGAGCATGAGAAGTTTGCGCCAATCGAAACTATTGCCACACGTCGAAGGACGATCGTTCGTTGCAAGTAGTCGACAATGTACGTTTCTTTTTCTTCTTTCTTTTACTCGTCGGGCAATAATTGGCAATTCAAACTGTTGCACAATGAGGAAATGAGCGGACGGGCCGAACTGGTCGCGAAATGTCCTTCTCCCGTGACTTTTTTCTGTTCCGTTTATTTTTCTTCTCCTCGCCGCCGCCACTGTCGAAGGCAACCAGGTACATGTCCTTTCGATCGCGCGAAAGTGTCCGAATTGTATTTTCTACAAGTGTTACGTTTCTCTCCCGCAATATAGATTTATAATGTTGGCATCACTCTTGTTAAGCAACGACGAGATGAGGAAATCAATCTTGTTTTCACACCGAATTACCATCGCGTGCGACAGAAAGGAGAGGGAGCATTGTTAAGACAAAGTGTAACATTACAATATGCGCGATATCAGTGACGCAACGCTCATACAGATCGACATTGCATCATGATTTGCATCTCTTCAGATCTGCATCTCCGACGTATCTTTGATGAATGTCGAGCGTCATGGAAGGTTTTCGTTTATCTTTTCGATTGCCCACCTCCGGTTGATAATGATCCGACTGATCATTTCCCTCTCTGCAAACTCCCTACATGTTATGCTTTAACTGTTGATTAATTTTACTCCCCTCCTTGTATCATCTTTTCTTCTTGGAGTCGTTAAAAGCAAGGACAATACTTTTCAAGACCGGAAAATTGGTCTATTTTGAAACACTGATAACTCAAGATAACCCACAAGATAAAGTAAGTTGTTTGCAATTTTAGTTTGAGATTTTAAAGCCACGATGAAAATGACACAGCAATTGTTTTCATTCATTCTCTCAGATATTAGAAATAATCGCAGATTGTGCTTTAATTTATGGCGTGTATGATTTTTCGTACGGTAGGAAAATCTGGGAAGAAGAAATCTATAAAAATATCCCTTCAGTATGTCAATAGCGGAATTTGCAAAAACAATTCTGTTTTGTTTTTCTTTATAGAAATGTAAATTGACGTTGTTTTTTGCACATATTAAAATATGTTTTTGTAAATTTTCGAAATTCTGTTTCTGGCATATTTTTGATAATTGTTTCAAGACTACATGGAAAAAAAAATTAGTATCTAGACTTGTATCTGCAATCGGTGAGATCATTTCAACAATATTATAATTTTACCGCAATATTACGATAGTCCATTAAAGAGCGCACAATATAGTTATTCTGAAAATAATTCTTGTTGAGACATTAAAAGAAAAAAACACTATATAAAAATAAGATATATTATTTTGAATAATTCTATATTTGATTCAAATTTACGTTTCTCCAACAATATATGAACATTTTCACATCATATCAGATATTTTTGACCGTCTTCAGGTTCATCCTTAGAGTTGCATTGTAGCGATCCGTACAGTAGTAACTTGAGACGATCTTGGATGTAAGAGCTGGTTATTATAAGAGAGAAAATCTCGGAAGCCGAGGGTTGTTGATTGCATGTATGTATGTACTGCTTTGCATAATTAACTTCTAACAAAAAGTTCATTTGATTTTTAACTTTTAACTGAGTTACATTTTGTTTGTGTAACTTTTAACGTCAATGCATTTTTATCTCTTTTTTAGTTGCTTTTTAGGCAATTAACTTTTAATTTGGTTAAAAAACAATCTTATCCAATCCTCATGTTTATATTAAATAATATTATATTTTCGTTTGATTAATTAGAGATAAAAATCCACTATCGCGAGGGAATCTGCGTGCGCGTATAAACGTTATGCATGTACGTTAACGACGCATCTCATTATTTTTGTGCGTAGTACTCTGTTTTGAAGGACGAATTAAATGGCCGTATCCGCGCATTATGCAATTTACACGGCGCGGCAAGAACGTTTTCCCATGTATATTCGCCGCGTTAACTGCGTGTAAAAAAGGCGGAGTGAATGATGTCGGCCAGTAATTTTCGCGTCAAGATTTCGCAATTCTCTACGCGAGCAAACGAGCGAATAATCAATCAATTTTCGAAAGATCAACACATACCTTTTTGATTTTAATTCTAGTTTGACACTCATCCGGCAAATTGGTCCAAGCGAGTAAATAAGATTCCATAGCTGTTGAATCTTGAATTATTACATAAACATGTAATTATTTCCTCGAAACATACCAATTTCTTTCTGTGTCGAATCGAGATACATTATTTTCTTTTCCGTGTGATCTATCTCTGATAATCTATTTATTATTCTAATGATTGCAATCTTGTCTGATGATTGAATAAAATTTTTCAAATTTGTACATTTACAACTGTAACATCTGCACACTAAATGTAATAGTATAAATATACTTGCCTATAGTGCCTATAAATATAGGCATTTAACACTATAGTCCTATTAATAGGCACTTTGTACATTTGTTTTCGAATACTTTTGATTTTAAATGATAGGACTTGTTAAGATCTCGTGTGTTTCATGGGGCAAAAATGTTGGAATTTTATTGAAACTAAATGCCGTGAAATAAGAACATTTCAGAAAAGTTACGAAATCTTAAAGATTCAGTAGCTTGCCAAAGCAAGCAGCCAAAAACTAAGTAAACCTAACTTGAATGCGTTTTTATTGCTCGTTGATTGCGGCCGAAAATGCTGTCAATGAACTAACCATAGCGAAACACATTACTAAGAATGAGAAGTTATCTATGTTAATATCTTTACTTCCTCATTGAGGAGAGTGACGACCGAAAACGTTTAAATAATTCTTCGAAGGGCCCGAGATTTAAGATACTTTAACTCTCACTATCTTTATTTAAAGATTGAGTGAATTTATATTTGATTCTTTCATCTTCATCAGTTAATTAATATCCTCCGTCGCGCTTCATTTGCCGATGGAATCCTTTCGATTTTGACACGAGAGATTCATCTAAGTTTCATTTATTCAACGCAAAAATATCTCATCCCTCTGAATTTTCACTCGAAAAGTGGCAGCCGAGTAATATTTCGAGCAATTGAGTAATGTTTCATTCTTATAGATTGAATTCTCCGTTCTGAATTTTAAGTGGAATTTTACTTTTCATTCATCTTAATTCCATGTGAACTTTTTCGCTGAGCTATCGGTTGAATATATAGAAAATGAATGAATCACTAAATTCAGATTGATTAATTAATATCTTGGATTGCCGTATTACTTGTTTTGAAAAGTGTGCAGCTATGAACATAAACTGACCCGTCACTCCAATTCGAATGATTTTTAATTCGTATAAATTCTTCACTCTGAATCGTCGAGTGAATACTTTTGCTCGAAACTGGACAGTGAATGTCACGGAAATTCCACGGAACAAACAAATTCACCTCTAACAGATTGAAACATTCACTCGTATGGAGTCAGAATTCGTTTTCTAAGCTTGAGTGAAACATTCATTCTTACGAATGACAATATTTTGGAGAATACTTATTTTGAGTGACATACGACGAGAAATTTAAAGAGTACGTCCTGACAGGCGCTGAGTAATATCTGCGCAATCAATATTAGAAACGATTGGCCGTGCCGATTCAATTGTTTCCACCGACGGAAAGAGCTGGATGAAACCCCCCCGTTAAATTGGCATCTATAACCGCACGCAACAGCTGCGGTCAGCGGAATATTACAACAGAGTAACGCAAAAATACGAACGTACTTACTTTGCGAGCGAGCTATCAATAAGACGATCTTGATCGATCATTGTATGGGCGTTGTTCGAAATTACCACGTGTGAACCTCTCTCGTGCTAAACGTAACGATTTCGCAAAAAATATACGATCGTGAGTACGATCTTATCCCTCTCGTACGAGCGCGTAAACTCGAACATATCGTCCAGATCATCATCGAAAATAAATGTCACTTGTAATTAATACTTGCGGGGAATACGGTGTTACGTGTCAGATAGTAAAATCAGACCCAATGATTAACCAATGGCCAACTGTATAAACGCTACCGACGGCGTCACGCTGATTGTGACGATCATGATATCGACGATGAAGGATATCGTAAAAGATATCGAAAATCGTCGCCGATTCAAAATATGTGTCGAGTCATTTTCGTGACAAGAGAATTCTTTCATCGAATGCACGGAAGAAGAGAACATTTTGAGTACGTATTCTCAATACGTTAGATTAGACAGAAATGAGCATTATACAGTGTTGAACAGATCAAACTTGCATACACGAAGAAATTGCGCGAAAAATATATTCTTGTTATTCGAGATGAATTCTCTTGAATTCCCTCACAGAAACTTAATACTGAGAACTTATAGGGAATTTACAGTGATGAAATACTGGCAGTATTTCAATGATTATTTAGCCAAGATTTTTAACCCTTTGCACTCGAGGGCTCCGGAGCGGAGCCATTAAAAATTTGTCTCTTAATCATTGGTTAATATATTTCAAATTATACATGTAGAAAGATTTTTTTTCTTGATATAGATAATAAGATCAAAGTAATAAAAAAAAAAATACAGATTCAGGGCAGTATCGAATCATTTAATTAGCAGTTAGTCATCCTTTTGCTACCGGAGCACTTGCTTAAACAGGTTCGAAGTTCAAGGTTCAATGTACTGTCGCTAGGTACAACAACAACTTCTCTATATATCTAGTGGGTAGACAGTTCTGACATTCAATTTCCATTGAAGATTTACCGATAAATTTTCGTCTCTTTTTTGTCTAGCCACTACTTAATTGGTATAGCTAGTAGGAGAACTTAGATGATTAGCTAAGCAAACTAGACAATAGATATTTAATTTCCACTCAAGATTTACCGATAGTTTTTAGATTATTTTATGTAATTTTTCCTTATATTCTCGTAGGATACTCTCCAGAACCCAAGGAAAGTATGGTCCAAAGGATACCAAAATGAGTAAGTGTTCGATACGTTTAGTTGATTAGAAAAAAAACAGGACGGTAATTGTCGTAAACTCTGCATCAAATATTATTCAAAAGCTTTCACATGAAAGATTTGAAACGGACGGACGTCAGATTTATCTCGTCACTTACGACAGTACTTTAACCGTTTAGAAAGTAACAATCACGATGGATTTTCACAGAAACGACTCGAAACCCTCCTACATTTTGGAGATGGAAGAGAAGAAGAAAAGCGCGCACGAGCAAAATTACGCCGATTACGATCCGTATAATTACAGAATGGTGGAGCACCCGACCACGTAAGTATCGATATGTAATCATAATTCGCTTATTAAATAGATGATTATATTATGAATAACGAAATTTTGCAAAAGACAATGTTTTTAATATATTGACGACAATTTTTCATTTGCTAACATCATACATGCGTAAAATCGTGACAGTAGATAAAATTAAGCAGAAATCACAAAATCGGCAGTATTATATTACAAATTTGTTATTGAAGGAGTCGCGTAATACGATCGAAATGATATTACCTATCTTCATAATCTAAAAAAGGTTAAGATTAATCATTTTTCCAATGTGAAAAGATGAAAGCGCGTTAATTGCACGTTAAATAATGGAATACTCGGTGCGTTATTGTAATTTTCTATGTCACAGTAAAACATTAGATCGAGACGATATCAGCATTTTTTATCGTCTCGATAACGTATTCTTATGATATGAATTCCTTTGACACATATGTAAAGTTTACACTGCCAAATCCCTCAATTGATAAAACGATATTTAGGACGCGCGTTATCTCACTTTTTGTTTAATGCCAGATTGTAATCGCGATTTATCGAGGAAGAATCTGATTTAGGAGCAATCTGAATAATTGATTGAACTAGGAGACTATAAATGCGCAATTTGAGACGATAACGAGAAGCACTTTCTTTGCATACAAAATGGTCATGTATCGAACGCTAAGCGTCTTAATTAATTTTCTACATCCAATTTCCGATCTGACGACGATTCGTCTTGCTGGTGAAAATTCAACGAGAAGTCTCTACTTTCGAATCATCTCTATCGGTTCTTTTAATTGTGATCATTTTTATATATGGAAAACGACAAACAGAATGTAACATTTGTTCGTCATTTGTTTTAGACGAGAAAAGATGTGAAAAAATTTCCGATATTTGTGAAAGATTGAAGTTTTCTCGGACGAAATTTCTTTACATTTCCGAATGATTAAAGAAGAAACTACAGCTTATTTATTTTGGTGAAAAAAACTTTCCTTGGCTTCTCTGTTGAATACTTAATGTATCCTAATGTAAAAACAACTTATTTGGATGGTGAAAACAGACAGATTAAGATAATGACCAAAGTATGTCATTAGAATTGAAGTTACTTTGACCACTGGGTTGGAAAGTTTTGCGAAAAATTCGATTTTCCGATCTCCTCGTAAAGCCGATTATTTTTCAGCAACGCGGAGACGATGCTACACCTGTTGAAGGGTAGTCTGGGCACTGGGATCCTCGCGATGCCGAAGGCCTTCTACAATGCCGGTTACATCATCGGCCTGATCGCCACGTTTATCATAGGATTATTCTGTACGTACTGTATGCGAATCCTCGTACAATCGGAGTATGAGCTGTGCAAGAGGCTGCGGGTGCCATCCATGTCGTATCCGGCGACCGCGGAAGCTGCGTTGGCGGAAGGACCGATGTGGCTGAGACGGTGTTCCAGAGCCTCCGTGTGAGTCCGAATAGTTCACGATTCCAAGCGTGCGGCGCGATACTTTCACCGGTACATAACGAGGACACGTATTCGCGCAGGAATTATACTCGCGATAATAATAATAGCTGTTCGACGATAGATTCTTTGTATGAACATTTTTACGAAATCGTCGAATCACACGGAAAAAATTTCAGTTCCTGAATAGGGGCCGGATGAAAACTCGCAAGACTCTCATAAGACAAGACAACTCATAAGAAATAATATTTCGCAACTGAGAAAGAATTAACCATAGGAGCTAAAATCTAGCTGTGAAAATGTGTTTTTCAAATAAGGACAGCTAACTCTGATAAAACTGGTAAGAAATGTCGGATTCTGCAAGTATTTACTATAACATAGACTGGTGCAAAGAATTCCATAAAAATATATACCAGAGGGATATATAAAATTATCCCGAGATCGGTCAGCAATGTGCATAAAATCAGAGAAAACACACATCGAACGAAATCCGACTGACTCATTTGAATTTTCAAGTGAAATTTCACTCCGAGAAAAATTTACATCTAACATTACGTTCGGAATTTCTCAGAACGCTTCAGATTTCGGCTGGAAATAGTCACTCGAGGATTCAAAGCGGAGAATTCATTCATTCCGTACGTGAGTGAAGAATCGCTCGAATTATTCCGAATGAGATTTTCATCGGGAAATTTCGGCAAGAAATTCTGAGAGCTGGAAATCGATTCTTCCTTTTCTGTGTTCGCAGTCACATAATAAACGGCTTCCTAATGATATATCAGATGGGCACTTGCTGCGTCTACGTGGTATTCATCGCCAGCAACCTGCAACTGGTGAGTATCATTTTCAGCATGTGACTCAATAAATCTCAATTTTTGCTTTCCACTGAAATATTTCACGCGAAAGGTGCAGCGGCATTAGAGTAGGTACACGCGTAAGTAGGGGTAAAAGGGAACAATCTAGGTCAGGGAAATACGCCGCGGGAATACGCGAACGGACAGTCGACGTGTAATTAATACATGCGCCGTTCAGTCAAGGTGAGATAGATAGATCGATCATTTTCGACAATCCACCTACAACTTTTCCTTTTCATTTCAGCAATTTGCAATGGTATTAAGAGCAAAATATTTATTAGCTGACGTTATTTATCTTATATTCTTATAGAATGATTATTGGAATGGTTTATTATGGTGGAATATCTCGGTCACGCGAGACTTGCTGCGCGCGAACCAAGTTTTATCACGAGGGATATATGATTGCACGGAGATATCGTTCACAGTTTCCATGAATTTTTTTGCCAATGTGCCGATTTGTTTCAAACATTTTTCTTAAATAATTCAAAGAGAGGGAGAGAGAGGCCGCATTGACGGAAAAAGAGGACGATCTAATCGTGAGTTAAATCGCGAGACGAGAAACACAGAATTGTCACTTCCTTTTCCGCATGCGGTCGTCAATGTGATTAGACATATTAACGGATTTGAGCGGCTTCGTTATCTGCTCAAGGACTCGTTAGAGCATTTCGGCGATTTCATTTAAAACCTCGATTCTTTACGGCGCGTGCCATACTGTTTAACACATCATAAATTGGTTTGGCTCTTCGGTTTAAACGAGAAGGAGAAAGAAAGAACGTGTTCAGCTTACAATGTAACCCTATAATATTATTTAATATTCCGCGTTTAGAATATTAGACGCAATATTCTAATATACTCGAGTAATATTATTTAACGTTATCTTGGAAATATTCAACTCTATGTGATTTCACACAGATATTGCAATTGTTTTATTATATAAATAAAATCGAGATAGTTCTGTTTGAAAACATGTTTTATACAAAAAAATTCTACATACATGTATGACACAGAAGTCAACAACTGTCTGCGATTGGAAGTGATTACAATGAGAGTATCTTTGCCTTTCAGGCGCTGAAAACATGGATTAATCTGGACCTGAATGTATACATGGCGATTATCTTGTTGCCCTTAATCCTCGTCAACTACATTAGGAATCTGAAATTCTTGGCACCGTTCTCGACGCTTGCGAACGTTCTTATGTTCGCCGGATTTGCCATCATACTCTACTTCATTTTCCGGGAACCCTTGTCGTTCAAAGATCGCGCGCCCGTCGGAAATATCGCAAATTTCCCACTCTTCTTCGGCACCGTCCTTTTCGCTCTCGAAGCTATTGGCGTGGTGAATAAATCTGCTCAAATATGTATAAGCGCATGAATTTTGCAAATATAATAACGTAAATGTCGTTCGTTCACAGATCATGCCGTTGGAGAACGAGATGAAGACGCCGAAAGCCTTCATGAAGCCGTTCGGTGTCCTCAATCTTTCCATGAGCGTCATAATAGTGTTGTACGCTGGCTTGGGATTCTTCGGATACATACGTTATGGCAGTGACATCGAAGGTAGCATTACGCTCAGTCTGCCCACCGATGAAAAGGTGGGCAAAGCGGTGCAGATTATCTTAGCCATCGCTATCTTCTTCACGCATCCCATTCAATGTTACGTCGCTATCGACATCGCGTGGAACGAGTACATCAGCCCTGCGATTGGTAAACATCGCTTCAAACTGGTCTGGGAATATGTGGTTAGGACAGTTATAATCCTGCTCACTTGTAAGTGATCATTCATCGAATCCGTGGATTTCGTTAACAACAACGTGCCTCTTATGCGTTTTTTAAGTTTAAGTGGTACGGCAGATCAAACGTTTTTATCGATTTTTCTTATTTCACTAAATATTTAGAAGAAAGATATTCTCGACAGGTTTTGATAAAATTATTATATTATAGAAAATGAGAAAAAAAACAATTAGTAATTCAAAATTTTTATTATTTCCGAAACAAGGCTTTTAATGTGCTTGTGCGAGCTCTTCTTTATAAAACTTATGACCTCAAAAATCAAATGTTGGACTACACTTGAGTAACTCTATATTTTACATTATTTCCCTTTAAGCCGTTTATTCTCTTGAACACGTTCATTGCCAATCACGCGATATCGCGTGATGCGAGTTCTCACCAAACGGCCAATCGCGTAATAGATATTTAGAGTATATAAATCTTATGTACATAATAATAAAAGCATATAAATAATATATTAACTTATTTTGAGCACAATAAAAACTAAATGAAAAATTTGGCCACCACACGAAATTCCAATTTTCAGCTTGGCAATGAACGTGTTAACTACGTCATTTAATTATGTGAAATTATTATCATCTTGAATATCTCCGGAAAAGAAAGATATTTTATCAACGACAGGATGGATAAAGGTTATACTTACAGAATGTGTCCATCAATTTCTGTTGGATAAATTTTTCTTGCGAAGATATTCCAGGTAGTAATATCCGCGACGTAGAGGAAGAAAGGAAAAACGGGAAAAAAAATGTGTCGTTTCAGTTGTGTTGGCGATTACAGTACAGCAGCTGGATCTCTTCATCTCGTTATTCGGTGCGTTCTGCTTGTCGGGTTTAGGACTCGCTTTCCCGGCGATCATACAGATATGCACCTTTTGGAAGATCGCGGAACCTAGAGAGAGGAAGATCATGCTGGCGAAGAACATCTGCCTGATACTAATCGGAGTCCTGGGTTTGATAGCAGGCACTTTCTCGAGTATCAGCGAGATCGTGGAAAAATTCTCAAAAAAGTGATGACGATTTGTGACCAGGCCGTGCAATGATATTGCAATCGAAAGGGGGGATAAGTCATTCTCCGCGTGAGAAATGAACAGTGATAATGTGATACGTAGTTTGAAGTTCATCATTCGCCAAGAGTAAAAAGTGGCATCTAAAAATGAGCGTGCATTTAGAGGCTTTAGCCGTGCGAATAAACATCATTGTACGACACGATGTATCACACACAGAGAAAACACGAAGGAGAGGGGTGAAGTTCCTAAGTGCGCTTTTAGTGCGGTTTCACGGGCGTTCATATACATAAGACTGTTATGACGTGGCAGGACCTGAGCAGCACACGTATTCGGCGCGTGCAGCCGGTATGTAAAAAAGGTTTCATTGTACAGAAATAAAAGTAATTTTATTTTCATATACTGTACCTCCTCTTTCGCCATTTCTGTGGAATCGCTTGTATAATCAAAATTACATCGAATCGATTCGATAAATTATTTCTCGCTGAGGAATACTATTATTCAAATACCAGATATGTTAATAAATGACGTCCAGTAACTATAAATAAAATGACCGACATATGCTTTGCTATCTGAGTACATAATGATACATCTTACGATATCCTCCGGATATCTTGAGGGATATTCGTAGGATATCACTTCTTCTGTGTATCTACTGGATATCCATGTCTTAGGATATTCTATGATTATTGCGATAACCCAAAATGATATCTGTCTCTCAGGTAAAGTGTGGGTAATAATATGATTTTGACGCTATTTCTCGACTTAGCGAGAAATATACATCGAATTGACGTTAAATCGACGCTGAAATAATCGTTACATCAACGAAGATTTAGCAATATTATTCGCGCTATATTTCCGTTTGTGCCTCTTGGTTCGAATTTTTTAATAGAATCAAAATATACAAGTGCGAAAAATACATGAAAATATGGAAAAATCCGACGCCAAGATTATTTTTCTAGTAACATGTATGATCGGAGTACATACTCGTATGTTCACAGCATACATCTAATATAAGCGGTCCCAGTCAAAAGTATTGAACATCAGAGTGCAAAAAACGATTATTACTTTATTAGATTTTAAACATTACGTAACTTTGATATTCATTGAAATTCTCTTACTAGAGTGTCAAAGCTGTATATCAAAAATCATATTTCTAAACATTTTATGTATAGATTTGTCGAGCTTCTTCATGTTGGTATTAATCATTACTTTTCTAACAGTATTGTCACGGACTAATCATCTTAACTTCCTAGTAATCTCTTAATTTGTAGTGCCCAATCTAATCGCGTGAACTTCATTCCTTCTTAAATAGAATCCCTTGAAAATGAATGAGGAAAACAGGCTCGATTCGGAAGAAGCGATGACAAATGATGTTCATACTGCTGAGGAAAATGAAAAGGAAGAATAATTAAGGGAAAGGAAGATAATAACGATCTCTTTAATCATTGCCATGTTCTATTAATATTACTTACAATGTTAATGTTGATAAACCTGATACAAATATATTCTGTGCCACATTTTGTACTCGTAAACATTTCTTTTGAATTTTTTTCTTTTTGTTGTATATGCGTATGTATATATTTATACTTTGCTGGATATACCGCTTTGTCTCCCTTACATTATTATGCACAATATACAAACTATGATGAAAGAAGTGAGCGCGCGCGATGCGCTCGAAAATCAAAATCGTCGCGACGAAACGAACGTGGTAACTATCCTTAATGGCAGAAGCGCTGCGATAAAAGTGCACAAAAGGAATTAATGAAACGTCCGATTGTTCTGAACAATCTATATAATATCTATACATTCGTACAAAAAAAAAACATTTCACTTTTGCAGTATAAAATTCAAGTGAAAAGGATCAATAAAGAATGTAAGAAAAATAAAGAAGGCGACGTCACGATGATATCGTCCCTTCACCAAATAATGCTATAACACTATATAAAATTGTGTGTGTGTGTGTGTGTGTGTAATAATGAGCGCCTTTCTCAATTTGGCACAAGAGTTACGAGTTACTTTTCGATCTTTGGTTTCAATAAATGGCTAGAGAGAGATAGATAGATAGATAGATAGATAGATAGATAGAGAGAGAGAGANAGAGAGAGAGAGAGAGAGAGAGAGAGAGAGAGAGAGAGAGAGGGAGGGGGAGAGAGAGAGAGAGAGAGAGAGAGAGAGCGGGCGTAAATCTAGAAATCTGGAAGCGACACGAAAAATTAACGTGGACGTAACGTTGCACACGAAGGTGATACACACTGCGTCTGTATCACTAAATGATACATTGAGCTATGATATCGCTGCAGATATGAACCAAAATATATCGGTCTCTCGAGAAGAACTCGATATCGGTGTATATATAAAGTTCATGACAAATATTTATACATTTAGGGTGTCTCATCGCGCAACAACGGCGTATTCTGAAGCTTAATTGAAGTTGAGAAGAATTGATAGAAAAATATTGGGGCATCAATACTTTTTGAACTATAAGTTAATAAAAAATACTGCAAAATAAACTTGAGGAGGTCAAATAAATAGTAAAATTATATTTTTAGTTAATTCCAGGCAAAGTACACTTGAACAGAATTCCCAAGATTGAAAGCTTATTTATACAACGGCATATACAAAAATTAAATCTACGAAGTTAAATCTTAGATAGTCAAATGCAAGGCTGAGAAGTTATTTTTTAAAAGTAACTTGTTATTGTTGTTCAGCAAGTATATAAAATACCCAATAATAGTTATAATAATTAATTTTCATTACTATTTTCATCAAATTTTGAAGACATTTTTTACGATTTTTTACAATACGTTATCGCTCATCCCATATATTCTATAGGGTACACCGTTAGGCGTATGAAAATATTAAATATGCAAAGAAATGTGTTGGGTGTCTTGCCATGCCAAGATCGGAGCAATGAAAGCAAACTCGGTTAATGTCCAGCCAATTAAAACAAAATCGGTAATAGTATCGAACATAAGAATATTATAACAAAAAATTAAAAAAGTTCATCAGTTGGTTGGATCATCTTGTCTTCGTAGGCTAGATATCTTACCACAAAAAGCTCAATAACTTTGAAACAGCTTATTTAAAGTGAATAAAATTATAGTGCTTTTAGAAGGTCTGAAGAAAGGCAATAAAAAGTAGGGAGTTCCATTAAAAAAATTCAAGGTGACTTTGACAACGCCACCCAAGTTTAAGCTGTTCAGTAAATTGATCTTTTTAAACCCTACAACATTTATCTGAAACAGTTTTCTATAAAACATATTCTTCGAGATATTTCGGGGATTTTTTCTTCACCCTATATATATATATATATCAATTCAATATATATATATATATATATGTATCGTGAGTCGAGCTACGTAAAAGTGAAAATTTGAACGTCATATTGAACTTCGATAATAAACATACCGATTTTTGAATGAATCAGCAAGAAAGTGTACGTCTCGTATGAACGAATATGTACGATATTGAATTTGTAGATATTGTAATAAATACACATACTTCTCTCGGCAATCCGCTTGCCGAAATACTCGTCGTCACGTATAAAGCTAATGCCGCCTATGACATACATAATAATGACTAGAATAAAAATGAACATTACAATTTATCACCATGCAGATATACTTATAGCTACCGTTAGGCATCTTGATTGAAATATCTTGTTAATGACATCCCAGATAGCAAACGGTATATTTGATACATACATATATGTATACATATATATACGTATTCTACGTTTGTAGAAAAGATAATGCGTTACACAAGTGACATACCGTTCAGATAAAATTTGCATTATTCGCTAACAGATCGCTGGGAATTTTGAAATCGCTTCCTCCCTGCGCGGTTTAAAACGGCGATAAGGGGGTATGCTCGGGGAGATTTAGCGCTGTTCGCGGGACTAGAGAATAACAAACATGACGTCACTAATGTGCTACGTTATAACCGCGCACTATAAACGTTATTCCTTCCGAGGTAATGCAATGGTAGCGTTAGCGTTTGTAAGCTTCGTGAACACCCAAAACGTCAGGATTCCTGAATGTCGTACATTGTATCCATTATTCTATTCCCGTCCCACGTAGCGGACAGTCGCGCGAAAAATAAGTTTCGGTATGTCGAAACCGAGTTTAAACTGCGACGATTGACCTAACCTAAAAAGAAGTTTGACCTAACTCGAAGAAGAACAAAAGAAGATCCAAAACGACGCGATAATTCGTTCTTTTTAGCTCCTGAAAACATTTTGTCTCATTCTAACATATTACACTAGTTCAGTAGTGCAACTAAAAAGAACAGACCAAATGCTAACGCTACGTTAGCTATCACTTTCGCGCTATTGGCCTCACGAACAATATTATTAGTGTCTGCGTTTATAGCGCTGATAATGTCTCCCCGCACTCAAAATAATTCGGTGTGGCATTCGAGTTGGTGTCCTTCGAGGATATTGTGTCCGACGTTTTGTAAACATTTCACTTCTTCATATAAGAAGTTCTGTACAGTTTCAGGTTGATCCTCACCTTGAAAAAGTGAACTGAAATATTTACGAAACGTCGGATATAAATCTTGAAAGACGCGGTGCCAACTCGGAAACCACATCGAATATTTACCCGCATCGCGAAAATTATAAATTATAATTATAATAAAATAATTCCCCAAGAGACCGAAGAACTATCTAGGATGTTGTCACCAAAGCCACGTATTACACAGAGTATTTCGCTTACTTCATTTCTTTTCGTTTTCCTTGGGAGTATAGATCCGAAATAGAAGAATATATAAACTAGGAGCTATAAGTAACAACACTTTTAATAATCTTAATTATCACGGACGTGGCACTGGATCACGATGTGTCTTTGCTCCTTTCTCATTACTCTTACCCTCTATAGACGTTAACACTCATCATACTTATTCCGTGTTGCTCAGAAGGAAGAATAGATAATAAATAATTTAACAGTTATGTCATTACGGACAAAAACTAAGGTTTCTCCACTATCATATTCTGGAATAAATTTCTCTTTGTAGAATCTCGCTACTTCTTTCTCTTAAAAAAATAACGTCCACCCTCTTCTTTCTCCTTTGAACGTCATGGATGCGCATTGTCGTATATTTATCGCGTTAAACTACGGTGTGGACGACTGTCTGCGCTACCGTGTGATATTATTGATTTCTTTATTGATCTTTCTTCTCGGCGAAACCTCTTACGGTTCTCTCATTGCATGTGATTCATGTACGCAGACCGGTATAACAATCTGACTGTCAAGTCGTGTAATAATAGTAATTAGGATTTTGCAGTTATTTTCAGAATTGGGAAAGTTACTTTTCAAAGGTGATTCGTTATCCATCGTTATCCATAGGGGAAAAAAAAAAACGTTACCATTATCGTTACTCGTCCGGGGAAATTCTTGTTTTAATTCTACTTTTTATGAACACGATGAGCGTAAGATTTCTTTGGTGCTATACTGAAAAATTAATTTTTGTAACTGATACCAAAATATTTGATATTATGGTTGACCATATTTTTTATTTGCGTTCAATATATCACGGAAAGAATAAACTTCATAAATTCATTTAAGTTAGCGCAACCAAATTATTTATTTAGTATCTTCTGGTTCCTTAAAATTAGTTATCTTTTTTTACTGGAAAATGGCCTTATTACGAAAGATATCACAATAGTTTTAAGTGTACAGAAACATATCTGTACCTGTAAAGGCGTCAATATGCAACAGCGTTCGTAGTTCGGTGGGTAAAGACTGATAGTAAAAGTCTGACTCCCGATAGAAGTAGCTTCCTTTTATTTTTATTAAAAAATTAAACCTTTTTTTGGTTGCAGTAACTAAACAGTTTGTTGAGCATATATTAACCAAATTATTTAGTTAGGTCTATTAAGTTGTGGTAGACATGAGTTATGAATTTTTCAGTATATATATGTATATATGTATATATATACACACGGAAAAAAGTTTCTTTTTTCTCTTCCAACTATCTCTCTCATCTGTGCCCCCGGAACCACTTTCGCATTTATTCCGAGGGCACAGTGATTGAAATTACCTGAAAATGAACGAACCAAACACGTTTTTGATCGAAGAAAACAAAATTTCTCATTATAAGAACCGAGTTTAGTTTATAGAAACCAGAAATTCTATTCCTTTCAATCAAAATGTGTTTGGTTTGTTCATTCGTCAGATAACGTAAACTTTTTTCCGCGTAGAATATAATATAAAATAACTCGTTGCCGTTATCGTTACTCAAGAAGTAACTAGTTGGACGGAAAATTTCGGGAGAAAAAAGGGAAAGAAGTGACGAGGCTGGCGATAATTTAGGTTTTTATAAAGTTTTGTAAAAGCAGAAGGTTGAAGTATCAAGTTGGGCTAGTTTTTAGCCCGCTATCTCTGTGGAGATTATTGTTTGTGAATTTCTAACGATTCTCTCTGTATTTCCTTTATAAAAGGAATTCTTGCAAAGAAGTTACAGTTTACTCCTCTTCCCAAAGAAATAAACCGACATGTTGACGAGATTCCGGAAACAAATGTACGAAGGACGCGACACCAACTCGAAAACGAATGACTCACCGCTGTCCATACCATGTATTCTACATAAAAAATAATAAAAGTACCTTCCAATCACATATTCGTTACATTGTTATTAAAAAAATCATGTTATCAACAAAATAATAACTTGGATTAAGTTATTTTAACAAGCCAACAAAAGTCACCGCGGGTTATTGTGTGATGAACAAAATTATTTCTTATGTATAATTTATAATATGAATAAAAATTCAAACGTTTCTCGGTCGAGTTTAAAAATAATAACTAACCGTTGCATTAAAGAAAAAAAAAAAAACTTACAACGGCGACAACGTAGCAAATTACTCTGCTACCATTCACATTCTGCAATTCTGCAGCCATTCACATCATTCGATATATTCGTGCATCGTGACTGTTTAATGAAACGACAACGATACTTCGACTATTATTCAGAAAACGTGGCATCTCTAACATAAACCATAAAACTATAAAAAAAAAAAACGTAATATTTGATATATCTTAGTCGCTTCGTGGGATAATATTCGACAGGTATGTTGCATGCAATTGAAAGATTCTGGTAACTCTACACCTGATAACGTCAAGAATATTATGCCGGTCTGCGTACGCCCGACTTGACATGCGAGACGATCGAAAGAATAAAGTATCATTTTGCGCTATTTTACAAACGTCGTGCGTGAAAATGGCAGTTCCCCTCTGGAATTCGAGCGTATCGTAAAATGAAGCGGCGTACACGTGGATCAATGAGACAATCAATGCAGAGTCGCTGGGAGCGATTCGCGAAAGGACCCGTCCGGAACGAAAAATGTTGCCGGGGAGACCAGTCGCCGTGAAACGAATTGAGAACGATCAATAATAACCGGGATAATGGTGATATCCTGTTCTCGGAGGATGATAAGGAGCTGGACTTACAGGGTAACTAGGATTGTATCCAGTCAAAGGCGGCGGAGACAACATTCGGCCGTCGCCGGTGTCAGGTACCACGTGCGTCGTCGCCGAGCCAGCCGACTGCGGACTAGTGATGACGCGGGTGCCTGATCCGTGCAAGTGATGAGTCCTGGAGAGGCTCAGGTCGACACTGTGCCTGCCGCCAGGCGTAAGGTCCAGACTGACCACCCTCAGAACATCTCCGTGTGGGTAAGGCGGCGGTGGTGGCGGCGGCGGCGGCGGTGGGGGCGGCGACATGGAATAGTTGCCGGTCCTGCTGAGGTCCACGCTCTGCCGCTCGCCGATGTCGTACAAATGATGGTGATGGTAGCGTGCGTTCTGAACACCGAAGCTATGATGGAAACTCCGGGCGGACATGTCGAGACCCTGGAGCTCGCCACTGTTGAGCACCAACGGCTCGAAGTTCGACCTCTCCCGGATGAAGTCTTGATCGAGCGGATCGTAGGATTTGTAGGAGGTCGACAGATCCAGCTGCAATGCCTTTTCCTTCACGGAGAGGCTGAGATTCTGCGCCACCGCGTCACCCTCGTCGCTCGACAGGTTGTCCGTCGGTACCTGATGATGATGATGCATGTCCTGATAGCGAGGATTCGGGGTGGCGGACGGCGACACCAGGTCCTCCTGCTGCATGTGGATATAGTTCGGCGACGAGACGCGCGGCAGCTCCTCGTGATGCAGATACTGCTCGATGTTGTGCGTCCGCGAGGTGTTCATGTAGTCGACCGGCCGGTGCAGATGATAGTCCACGTGCAAGTGGCTCGGAGGAGTGTGCCGGTCGTCCGGCGCGGGCGACATCAGCTCCTCCTGCTGTTGTATGTACGAGTCCAAGTGATTCGGCGAGCGCTGCGGTATCGGCGACTGCAGGTTCGGGATGGTGTACAGGTTGGTTTCGCGATCATTGTCCTCCAAAATCGGGCTGGACACCGTGCCGATGTCCCTCTCCGCGGCGTCCAGGGCCGCTTCGACCAGGAGGCTCGCGCTCTCCGTCCTACGGTACACGCTCAAGCTCAGCTTGTTGCCGTCGATCAGGGTCTGCGCGGTCGTCACGATGCGCGCCGCATTCTTCTCGCCGCTGTCTTTCCTGTCGTCTTCGAAGTCGTACACGTCGGAGGATGGCGGAAGATGAGCGCTCACCAAGTCGGACGAGGCTGGCGGGTTGAATTCACCCATCCACTTCTTGCTGCCCTTGCTCTGCACCTTCGCGGACGCGCCGTACAGATCAACTTCCGCCGTCCGTTGCACGTTCTCCATCGTCGCGTCGATGTCGGCGGACAGGGCCTGCGGCGACACGGCAATCTGAAGCTCTTGCTCCGATTTGTACTTCACCGTATTCGCACCACCACTTTGGAATTCTATGATCGTGTTGTGAGCTGGGTTCATCGGCACTTCGACTTTCAGGCTGTTTTCCGAACTGCAGTCGTCCAGAGACGGTAAACTGTTGCTGTTGTCCTGCTATAGACAAGCAAGAGAGGAAATTTCGCCGAATGTTACTGCCTGATGAGAACGGCATTCGGTCGTTGCTGGATTGATCTGACCGGAATATCAGTTTGAATGTGAGAAAAATTAATCGGCCATAATTTATGAATATATTTCCTTTGTAAGAGGCGCTGAAGGGGATTCATCGTATGATTTTATATAGAGACTGATTATACATATATATATATATATATATATATATATATCAATCAAATAAATATTTTATAATAAATACTTCAAAATATTATAGTTTTCTCCAAAAAAAGAAACATTTTATTTGTTTGTTTTAGTTATTTCACTCTTACCTGTAAAATTATTGATTTTTTTTTCTTATTTGATCGAACAACGAGTGAAGAAAGAGTTACCTGTGAATTTCTTCTGTTAGAATGAGCGGTCTTTCCGCAAGGCATGTCCTCGACGAGGCCACCACTGTACGCGTCGAAGGTATACGCCACGGATCTCTCAATTTTGGGCATCATCTCCTCCGTAAGGCCGTGCACTTTCTTGTAGTGGAATTGCAGGCACTGTTTCGTGGTGAAGGCCGCCGTACATTCATTCTCTTTGCATCTAGAAAAGGGAGATATCGCTTACACAAAATACCGAACGCTTCAATGGGGACAAAGAGGCTTGAAATTTGAAAAAAAAAATTGATTTTCAATTCTTTTCGGAGTTTTTTTTTTTAGAAATTCGCCCATTTATTGAATTCAAAAATTAAACTTAGAAAAGCAGAACACGTGTGAACCAATGCACGGACGGTCTCAAGGTAGGCGGCATTTCGTCGCGGTGCGTAATCGATAATTGGCCTTGGGGATTCGCGCCAAAAACCCAGTTGATTCCTACATGAATCTTCACAAATCACGTGGGTTCCTGTACGAATTTTTATTATATGGATTAGCATGAGCTTCATTGAATTTCCATGGGAATTCATCTGGAAATTTTTAACAAGGATAAAGCAACACTTCACCATGCTATTCAAGATGCGATAAACGCCCTAAGGATGACCTGTTATTTAGACACACCGTTACAGCCAAAATGCCAATGAGAATTCGTATGTAGTCACAGTGATATTTAATGAAATATGAAAATAGGACAATAAAGTTGTCGGTGCGATTATTTTATATCGGAGGATAAAGGATGTTCGACAATGCATGCGCCGACTAGTTCGTTAGTTCGACCCTGTATCAACAATTATTATTAACCAATTCTCCCACAGTTAATTAAAGTAAGCCTTTGATTTTCTAGAAAAATAATGTCTCCGCCAAGAGTCGAGCCTGGAAAGTCGTCGCGAACAAAGTCGAGCAGACTGGTCGAGAACTTCCGCGGGCTTACCTGAAAGGTTTTACGCCGCTATGCGTAAGCATGTGTATTTTCAAGTTGCTTTTGTTCTGGAACATCTTCCCGCATCGATCGCAGGTCGCTGCGGCGACGACGTCTTTATGATGAACTTCTTTCATATGGCGCTGCAAAGCTGCACGGGAGCCCAACAGTTTCAAGCACGATTTACATTGAAATTCCCTGAGCACCTCAGCCATATCTGCAAGATACGCTTCGTTTAGCGTGAGAAAATTACAAGAGGGAAAACGTGCTCCTACCGTTGTGCATTCTCTTGATGTGCACTTTTAGTTTCTGCGGTTGACAGAACTTGCGCCCGCAAAAGTCGCACAATGGTCGCGATCGTTGCGGGTTTTGCGCGCATCCGTAGGTCCTATGCATCTCCAAGTAGTTAAGCCTCAAGAAGAACTTCTTGCAATATTGACATTGGTACGCGCCGCGGCCCGCGTGCAACTCCGCTGCATGTTTCATGATGTTATCCTTGCCTAGAACCGCAGCGCCGCAAACCTGTAGAACGAGAGAATTTCTTTTAAACAAAGAAATAAGCAAGCGACTTTCTTCAATCTCGACGGTTAACTGCGAAGAAACAACAGCTTTGTCGTCTAACAATAACCAAAGTGATTCTGTTAGCCAAATAGATAACCATTTATAAAGAGAGAACAAACTTGTTCGCAAACTCTCTTATTTTCCATATTGGTAACGCTGCAAACTGAGTTAACCAACACAGCTGCTGACGTACGTGTCTTTTCATAAACTTCAAAATAAAGGAGTGATTACCTTGCAGTGATATTTCCTTATGGTCAAACTGTAATTGGTATCGTGGAAGATGCAACAGTGCAACCGGTAGTAAATCGGGTGTGAGAAATTGAGGTTACATCCTCCGCAATCTGAAAGATAACGTGATAACGCAATCGAATAGAAAGTGTGGTTTGTCGGCGAAATTTACGCACTCGTTTTGTCCATCTTGTTTTTTCTCGTCCATGCGAAGGATTGCGAGTCCGCCCAATAAGTGAGCTCCATACCCGATATGATGTTCTGCGTGGTAACAAGATGCAGTTGACCCTGCTTGGTAATGACCGCGACGCTCCTCTTCTCTTTCGTCTCAGCTGGTCTGATGTATCGAATCCAATTGCTCTTCAGCGGATCCGTAGTGCTGACGTACACACTCTTCCCGTTATTATCTACCTGAAAGGAAGCAAATTATTTGCACGATTAGTTATCCTGCGACAATAGCGTTGAAGACGTTCGAGGGGGGTCACAATTATGACGATGACATAGTTTTTTTTTTCTTCAGAGATTTAAAGATCGAGATACATTTTTATTTCTTAATAGAATTATTTGTTTGCACGATTTTATAGCCAACATCGAGAGGGAGTTCAGCAATCTATGACCTTTAAGTGATCCTGAACGTAGAAAATTATTATGTTTGTTGAAAAGATTCCAAAATTTACACAAGTCCTCTCGCTTGTTTTACGCGAGTTGCGGCGGGATGCTATACATAAAAAATGGAGTAAAAATCAATATTAAGAATTTAATAAATAACGTTTCAGAAAACGGATCGTTCGTTCCGAATATTCTCTTAGATTTAGCACGGACTCAAAAAGATAATATTCAATGGTTGCTCAAGCGTTTCCTGTGAAACGGCAGTTTAATCTAAAGATGGGACGAATCAATTCAAGGAGAACTCAGGGGAATAGATCGTACGATAATACCTCCCAGATATGACGCATGGAGAAGTCGTCCGGGATGTCCATTTCTCTGATCGGTATGCCAATGAGCGGGCCCAACTTGGCGTACATCGGCACCGAGTTCTTCACGTATACCCCGAGGCCGTGGTCGCTATTGGTGATCCTCAGCTCAAGACAGTCCGGCAACGAATCCCTCGCATACAAAGGCCGGTCCGTGTCGACCGCCAGAAGTTTCTCCTCTCTCTGCACCTTCTTCTTGCACTGTTCGCCGTGCAGCGGCTCGTCGTCCGACTCGAAGCCGTCGTCCGCCAGCCTGCCGTAGCCCTCCGACATCGGGTCGCTGGTCTTCACAGCCTTCACGACCTCTGCGTTCTTCTGATGCCTGCACAGCCAGTCCTCGTAGGTGATCGCATCCGCGATCGTGTACTGCGGCGCAGCCAACGGACAGGCGTCTTGCAGGTGACGGCTGTTGCACTCCTGGCAGAGCTTGATCCTGATGGCCAATCTCTGTGGCTCGTCAGTAGCACCTTCGGCGGTCTTGACGGAGCTCGCCGAAGACGATTCGGTCTCTGGCACGGGCGTCTCCTGAATGGCCTCCTCCACGACGACGATACCGTCCTGGGGCGCCCTGCGCACGTCGTGGTGCTTCTTTGCTTTGTGCTCGTTCGTATGCTTGTGCTTCTTTCGCCGATGTTTGAGTCGGCCTTCCGCCTCGTCCGCGCCGACCTCCGAAAGATCGTTTTCGTCGATCTGGGCGCCTTCACGCGGCTTCTTTCGCCTTCTCTTCAGCTTGCGATCCTTCGACTCGTCGTTGTGCGACTCCTCCTGCGACTCTGTGCCGGCTTCCGTGCGCTTTGATTCCTTGGCGAAGTCATCCTGAGACAAGGCGGACGCGTGTGACTTAGCAGTTCTAATATCTTCTAAGGTATCTTTAGTGGACTCCGCGCCGGGCACACCGGTTTTCACGTTGCACCTGCCGCTGTCGTTACTCGTATTATTTACATCGCTTATAAATCTTATACTATCTACGTGCTCAGTCTTTATCGTAGCGGCTTCAACGACCTTCGTATCGAGTCTCTTTACGCCTAATTTTAATTTAGCGTCTAACCCACCGCCAACCGTCTCGCTTGTCGCGTTTTGCTCCGGTGCGTCGGTGGGCACGTTCACGGCGTTCACGGGGCTGCCGTTCTTCAAGTGCCGCCGCTTCTTGCGTTTGTCCTTGTGATGCTTCGTCTTGTGGTGCTTCGACTTGGAGGTGCGTCGCACGTGCAACTTGATCACGTCGTCCAGCACTACCGACGATACATCGCTTATCGTACCGGCGGGATGCACTTTGATCGCAGACTCCTGCTTCCTCAGGCTCCTGCGAATGAACATTTCCTCCGCTTCCTCCGTTTTCTTCTCATCTTCTGCAGTTTTAATTTTGAGAGCTTCCTCATCGCGATCCCTGGCCTGGCTCGCCATCCAATCCTCCGCTCCATTGCATTTCTCCTCTTGCCTGTGTAAGAGAAATCCATTAGCATCTAAAATATTGATGTTACAGAAAACCAAAAATTCAATAATTCCGATGAATCTTCTTTTTTTCTTACGCTGAGAAAGATCATATTCATTTTTTCAAATCTTTCTACGAAATGAATATTCTCAATCTATTTGAATAATTATCCTTTACGAACCTTTGTTACGTATCTTATGCAATCGAAGATAGTGTTTGTTCAATTGATATCTTCGCTTATTACAAATATTGATAAGACACTCGTTTCTTAAATCATTTTTGGTTATCCTATAATTTCTCTTTTCAAAAAGTAAATCTTTATTTATAATGTCCCTAAACGAATCGCAAGTAATATATTTTGTTAATAATAGCATTCTTCTAATTGTAGGATCTAGACAATCCTTAGGTGAAAAAAAAAACGGGTCATTAAACGATCTCGCACTGGGAGATATATCGAGCATAGAATTAAGATGCGAGGATTTGTCACAACAGTGATAACAGGAATAGCCGCGAGTAAAAATATATCGCCTGATAACTACAATCGATCAGCTCGACTTTGCGAGTTTCAAAATACCGCGGCCAAGTAGCACGCGTTTTTCGCAGCATTATCGATCCGATCGCCCCTCCTTGCCGTCTCTAACCGAAAAACCCGCGAATCGTCCCCCGCAAGATGGCGATTCAATGGAACACTCACAGTAGACACAGTAGAGGGGAGTCGCGTGACAGGTTGGGCTGTCGTGTCGCGCGACGTTATTGACAGACGCAGCGCATCGTCGTCGTCGGTGGCGATTCACGAGATCGTGACTCACAGCAACAACGACGCCGCCATGAAAGAAAGCGTACCTGACGGTGGACTCCGCGAGATCCAGTAGGTAAACCGCGACATCTTCGTCCGTGGTCAGGCCCAGACGCTTCTTCAACGACAGCCAGCGTCTGCCATTCGTCACGCCGATGTGTATGCTGCGAAAGTGCTTCGTCGTCACTTCCGGAGCAGCCGTCGTCGCCGCCGCTGTACCGGGCAGCGGCGCGGCGCAGCCCCCGTGCTGTTGATGCGGCGACTGCTGCCCGCTACCTCTCGTGTTCGCCGGTTCCCTCACATGTCGCGTGCCTTTCTTCGGCATTACTACATCGTAGAGGCCGCTATCCGATCGGCTGCGGGAATCTGGTGTGGTGTATCGGACCCGCGAAAGGGCACCTCCACGGGAGGACGCGCACCGATATTATCCTATCCTCTTTATGCTCACCGTCGCCTGTCACCGCCGCCGCCACCACCACCACCTCCACCTCCTCCTCCTCCTACACCGCCTCCTCCGATGCCAATGACGCCACCACCACTACTGCCAATGTGCCGCCCACCCTGAGACGCGCGCGTCCTATCCCCTTCGAACCTCTTTCTCTCCCTCTCTCTTTGTCACTCTCCTCCAATCGTGGATGAAACCGCCGGCCATTTTGTTTTATCGATTACGCGGCCGAGATGTGCGACAACCCTGTGTCATTCTCATGTATATACCAACATGACCGACGGCGGAACTGTATCGATGTCTTGACACTAGTCCATCTTCAATCCTGTTCCATTTCCAGTGTAGAGCGAATTTATTGTCCTAGATAAATAGAGCAGCGACAGGTGCGGTCGATAGATGCGATATATCGAAAGCCGCCATCTTCATTCTCCGCATATCAACGGTCTGTTCTTTTTAGCTTGTGCAACAAGTTAGACCAAGACAAAATAGTTTCGCTCCAACTTATTGCACCGACTCAGCAGCTAAAAAGAACATACCAGGGGGAGAAGCCAAAGCAGCAAAATGACGCGTGAAACATTGGCTTCGGCGCCACATATTGGAACTGGCGGATAATTGACAAGCTGTAACGATCATTTCATTCACGGATGGAAACAATGTGGCGTTGAATCACGTGATTTAGATAGCCAATCAGTGTGTGGTTTCGCTTCTCTATTTATTTAGAAAAAGATTCTTTTTGGCCTCACAAGTGCCATTTAAAATCAACCATTCTGCCGAAACGTGCAAGACGAACTTAACCATGTAAAAAATTACACGAAGTATCGCAAATGTGTATTATTTTCGCTGTACATCTAATTATAATGGAAATTATCTACATATATATGTCAATTGGTTCTTAAGAGCTATTAACGATATTACTTTCCTTGAAAAAGGCACCGGATATCTTCCTCCTGCTTCGTGCATTAATTCTTCTTAAGTATCTTGGTGAATTTACGAAAGAATTCTGGTCCATTCCAGTATCCCCTGTAAAGCATCGAGCATTTGCAATAATTTTCTGTAAAATCTCGTATATATATGTGTGCTTGCAATCATTCACTTTCATCGACTTACCTCAGCATCAAATGCCAGTATATGAACGGAAAGACATGTTTCTTCAGCAGAAACATGAAATAATATTCTTTGCCTTGGTTCACGGGAAAAGTCTCCAATGGCTGTAGATTGTAGTCGAACTCGGCTAAGATGCATTTGCCGTAACCAGTAACTAGAGGACACGACGCGTAACCATCATAGACCATGCTTGTCGGTTTACCAGCCAAATCATCCAGGATATTCTGATATAAGACTTTTCCTTGTGCGGCTACACAATGAACGAATGCTGCTTAATTCTATCTAATCGCACAAAATAATTTTGTAACTTCAAAGAGAAAAGAGGATAACAGCACGATCTTCTTACCTATCGCAGCCATCGTCTTCGAATTCGGAGTGTTCGTACAGTCGCCTAATCCAAATATATTGGGATATTTTACATGTCGCAACGTTTCAGGGTCGACGCAGAGAAATCCAGCATCATTGGTCAATACCGGGTGTTCTTTCAAAACTGTGGGGGGTCCCATTGGAGGCGTTACATGAAGCAATGAGTACTAATATAATGATGAAAATAATATTTTTAATTGATCGGAACAATATGTTTAAAGAAATTGTTTGACATATTTCTACAACAAGAGAGAGCATATACCTCTTCTACTAATGTTTCTCCCGGCGAGTTCAGTTTCTCAAATGTGGCTTGCCGCTTATCAGGATCTATTTCCAGCAAATTTGTTTGGAGATTGACAGTGATATTTCTTTCTTTACAGACAACCCAAAGGGAATCGGCGTATTTCTTAACGCCGAAAATAACTGGCAGTGCAGTATTGTATATAACGTTGATGTCATTTCGTACCTTATGCTGAAACGTTATTATTAAAATGAGCAATTTCTTCCGTTGTGCCAAGTATGCTAAATATATACATACTTTGCGAAAATAATCCTCGGCGATGTACGCGATCTTTTGAGGCGCACCTGGGCATTTAACCGGAGAATTTGGAAATGTGAATATCGCGTTTCCTGCTTTCGTCTTTTTGATTTTGTCGTATACTTGAGTGACGGTATCGGGTCCGTAAATAGAGCAAACTTCCATGTCGGGGTTATGTAAGCTGTCCACCAAACCTGGAATCTGCCAAAAGTCCCTCAGTGAAAATATCTCTGTTGTCTAAGTAGTATCTCGCACCCCTGTCTTAACTATGCTATATATAGGTTCATAAGACGCGGATACTACTTAGATTGTCTCTTTCGAGGCCAGAAACAAAGGCACCTGCCAGTTTGTTATATAGTTTATATTGTAAATAAATGCTCTTACTTTATCCCAATACAGTTGCAAACCTAGCGCAACAATCATTATATCATACTGTATAGTATCTCCATTATGTGTTAGAACTTTGTTAACATCCGGCTGAAAACCGACGGCCGAATCTTTAAGCCACTTAGCATTTTTTGGTATAACATCCTTCATGTGTCTTCTAGATGTCTTAAAGGAACTGATACCACCACCAATTAGAGTAAACAAAGGTTGATAATAGTGCACCTAAAAAGTGATATAATTCTTTATTAAGAGAGAAGAAAATATACTGTGAATATATTTATTATTAACTTACGTCATTAGGTTCCAACACAATAACTTTATTTGGATCATTTAGCTTCCTGGATAACTTAGCAGCCATAGTACAACCAGCAGTACCACCTCCAACCACAAGAATCTTGCAGCTGAAACAATTAAAATTCTTTCTTGAAAACATCATGCTCAATCAACATCTCTTTCTGTAATATACTTACGAATAATGGAGCTGTCTACATTCATCTCTGAACAGTAGGCTTTTTGAAAGCGATAGATAATTACGCGAAAACAGTAGATAGGACATGATAAAAGTTGAGTGTGACACTTTATAGCAAAGCAATATCTACCTATGGGGGGAAAAATATGCTAAATCAGTAAAATTTGTTAAAACAGATTTGCGAATGTGATGATGCAGCTACGAATATTTGAATGACTGTTATAACGTATATCAAGAAATATCAAAAACCCCCTGATAAGAATTATCATCAGTTACGCATTGATATCAGGGATTATTGAAAATCCGTACCTTATGTACAATGTGCATCTGGAATTTTTCACTTAAGGTCTTTCTTCCTTGTTTTCATTCGCCGAATTTGTCACATTTTATCTCTCGATATCACGCACCAGTCTCGGAGCAGCAACTTGTGCGAGTCGACGGAAATTTGCCTTCGTCGCACAAATGTAATATCTAGCATATTATGCTTGCAATAAATCAAGAATCTCTTAACTGACTTGAAAGAAAAACTCCAACTTTTAGTTTAAGTCGATTTTATCAGTTTTATCTCTTTTAACAAATCTTATCCATTAAATTCCCAATATTGGCTTAAGCACCCTTAAAGGCGCGTATTGACCAGTCGATTTTGGAACGTGTGAATCTAATTGGTCAGTTAGCTTGTATCTTATTGCGACTATTGTAAACAGCTTTTAAGAGTTTATGCCAGAACGCCACTCGACGAATATGCGTAGTATATGATATAAGGTTCCAGAGAATGTTAAAAGTAAGATCGTCCCAGAATTGTGCTGAATTAAGTAAGATGGGAATGCCAAATTTGCGTTCTACCAGGGCAGCAACGACTTTGTCCAAAAATAGTTGGGTTCAAAACGAACAAAGGGTCCGGAGAATCATCGAACAAACACATCCATACTTGTCAGCGATTCGCAAAAGCCTTCGCACGAGACTTGAGTCCTGGACCGATATTCATAGTCAGATCTTATATTTAAGACCGTCTTAAGTTCAGATGTTCTACGACTCATTTCATTGGCTACGAAGCATCTGAAGATAAATTTAAGACAGTTTTAAATATAAGACCCGACTATGAATACCGGCCCTAGAGAAGCGACGACAGATACGATCGATAGGATATCGGAAGCCGCCATCTTGTTTTTCCATGACAGTAGTCATGTTCTTTTTAGCTGCAATGTCGAACTGGTGTAATAAGTTAGAGTGAGACAAAATATATTTGTTTCACTCTAACTTAATGCACCAGTTCAGCAGTGCAGCTAAAAAGAACAGACCATAGGAGACGTCAAAACAGGTGAGCTGCTCTTGGAAACTGGCTTATGGATAATAAAAAAAAAGGCAGGTTAGTACTAAATGACGCGTGAAGCATAGCCCACGGCCATATTGGAATTGGCAGAAAAGTTAATTAGGCTGTAACGATGATTATTCATCCGCAGACGGAAACAAATATGGCGATGAATCACGTAATTGGTTCACCAATCAGACGGTTTCCCTCAATGTCGCTTCTCTATTATCTAGAACTCTATAATATATACTTCTTATTAAGCCATGCAAAGTTGCAACCTCCCTGTAACTACAATGCAATATTCGGTGCTGTGAGGGTTCGAATATATCATTCCTCAGTTAGTAAATTTTTAAAGAAACAAAATTTTTTTTCTACATATATAAATTATTCAAATTTTTTATTTCATTTTTTATAAATAGTTATAATAATAACATTTCTTGAACAACAACTTTGTTTCTTAATCATTATATTCGTCTTCTTATCGTTTGTACATTTATATAAAGTGATTAATAAAATGACTGATAAAATAATGCACATTATCTATATAATAGAAAGATGTTGATTCTCGTGCGCGGCAATAGAGAAAAAAGCTTGATGAGAATGTAGATGAATCCAAAAATACTTTATATCTTAATTTCAGAGAAAACAAAAAATATAAATCTCTCTAAGAAAACAAAATAGACGATATACATTATGTAATAGCATAGCATTTCTAATATTTCTTAAAAATTGCGAAGGCTACACATGCATACCCGCACATGTTTCGCATCACATCTCGCAACGGCGGCGGATAGCTTATAACTTTGTGATGAAGTGTCTCCTTCGTGTTAAGAATATTATATACGAATATTATTAAAATAATTCTTTATAATATTTTAAGAATAAGTCATCAAAGAAGAATAGTTAGAGTGAGTATCTAGGAGCCTTAATCAAATAATAAGGAAAGGATTGTGACGAAACTCTCCCTCGTGATATTTTTCTCGCGTCGCTCTCGTCAGTCGATTATCGCGAATCTATTTCATCCCTCACAGCGCAAGCCTGACGCTCGCTTTTCCTCACCCTCCGCCAGACGTCGCTGAAGATCATTATTATATGGATCGCGCGGAAGGTAGTTACCCTAGTCGACGTGACCCAGATGGAATCCGTCCTTAATTCTCGCAGACAGTGGAGGAAAGCACGAGACACTGTCGGTCGACGCGGTCGAACGCGCAACCTACGGTCGTCGCGAAGGCTACACACATCCACCCCGCGCATATTTCGCATCACATCTCGCAACGGCGGCGGATAGCTTATAACTTTGTGATGAAGTGTCTCCTTCGTGCGACAGACGGATGAGCTCGAACGTAAGTTGTATGTGTGTGTGTGGGAGTACAGTAGATCTATTTTGTGATTTTTAACGACATGTCGTTAAATATTACAGTATATGTATACAGAACACTTTCGCACAGTCGTGGCTGGTGCGTGTCTAACACGTGTTTAGACTCGCATAAATTCCATCCGACAGGTTATTAGCTGACGGTATTTTATTCGGAATCGAGATGACACGCTTTCATCGCTTTTTGTATTCAGGTCAACGAAATAATCGTCTGCGATTATTCTCGTCATCAAAGTAAATTGATGACTTGTCTACGTCTGAGAAGGGAGCGTGTGATATGAAATATTTTTCGTCTCTCCTTTTTTCACAGTATCGAAAAGATGTGATATTTTATGTCGTGCTAAAGTAACGTTACGCGTATGTTCTTCTCTACGATCAAGATTTCAAGTAAGGGGAAAGTGCATTGGCGGCGATTCGCCAGTATTACGTAATACCGCAATTCCCTTTTCTTAAAAGCTTTTCTTGAGGCTGCCGATTGTATACTCAATTCTGAGTCTCGAATCCGTGAAGAATTCACTCCCGATTTTTAATTCTCCGTCGAGAATTTTTCGTGCGACCCAGGCAACTTTTACTTTCTGAAATATAAAGTCCGTAAGATATTGACGTTTGAAACTATCGCGATAGAAAGAGGGAGATTAAGAACTTGGATATAAATTTGATCGTAGGTAAACTTTCTGCACCAAATTCGCCGAAACGGACATTCCCATCGAAATAGATCGATCATTCGGCCGGTTATTTAGAACACTCGTACGGGTATACATTCTTAGGAAGAAATACGGCCGTAAAAAAGGAATGTTTTTACGCGGATTACGCTATTTCTTCGGTGTGTGTGTGTGTGTGTGTGTATTACACAAAAAAATCTCGGTTTCTGCAATAGGTATCAGATGAAAATTTGAAGATAAGAAATATTTGTGTGTTACCGCGACTGAAAACATTCGTATGAACATTCAGCTGCGTTAAAATTTGGTTGAAACAACTGAGAGCAATTCACTGAATAGAAACCTCTCGCAGAAATCTTTCTGTTTCTACAATCGAGTTTTCATCTTGTTCCCGAGCAACAGAAAATCCCAAGTTATGCTGACGAAATTATTTTTTTCCGTGTGCACGCGCCTCATTTACTGAACTGTCGCGGTGCTGTCAATCGGTCACGAGCAAGGTCTAATTTTACGTGACTTTCACAGTGGTTTCGACACGCGCGAGAAGTTCATCGTGCCATTTTATGTCATGTTAACCACAAATATATCTCGACGGGAGTGTTTGTTTGTCGGTGCGCTTATATAACGCGAAGTCTCATGAGTGGGAACTTGAGCGCGAGATAAACGTCCAAAATCCATACAACAATGTAATATCGCAGTAGTAACGATATTGCTATAATAATATTACAAGGAAATATATCAATAATATTACATAAATATTATTATAATATTAAATGTTCGCGAAAATTCATTGCTGAAATATTTCTGCGATATTTCAGTAATATTACAGTGATCTGCCTGTAATAATGTGGTAATATTTGTGCAATATTACAGATATCGTTCTACGACTGTGCCTCTTTGATGCTACAAATGATAATTTTTTATCTGTATGTTGAGAATTAAAGAAAGATTTGCATCTACCATTAATAGAGAAAAAAATTGTCATTTCGCATCCCTCCGTGGTTTCGATGGATCACCCATCCAACCTTCTAACGCGATCGTTTTACCTCAATGATAGAACGACTAGTATTGACTCCAGTGGCGATCCTTGTATGTGATATTTTCTGTATACATTAAATAAATGGGAAAATGCATATCAAATATTTCTCGATACTGATATCTTTTTATAAAAATTTTGATATTTTTGATATTAATATCTTGATGAAAAATATTAAATTCCTTTAGGGTCAACCTATCCCAAAGCCAATTAAGTTCTTTCAGGTTATAAAGCACGATATAAATATATATTGTTGAAAAGTTTGTTAAATTATAATCGATAAATATAATTTCTAACCATAAGATAGCGATAAGAACCAATATAAAATTCCACATTTATTAATAATATAAATGAATTTACGAGATTACTTCCAGTGCTAAAAATGCAATTTAACACCATTATTTCATAACCGTTGCACATAATGAAATGCAACTTACGTTATATGTGTTTTCTCACTTGCTTGATTCTGTTGGAAAGTAGTCGAGATATAAACGATGTGTCAATTTATCTCTGTTACAAACTAACCGCAGATCGACACCTTGTGCGTCCTTCTCTCTTTCCTTCTTCCCGCTTTTTTTTCTGTCCACGTGAACATTTTTCTGTTCGTACTCTGCGCACAGATATATATATATATATATGCGTGATGTTGATACGCGAGCGTCGGGCTCTCTCGACACAACTGTCGTCGGGCTCTATGAGCGCTGCCTAAATCCGCTGGCGTACATTTACGAGGAGAAGCCGTTTTAACTGGCTGTATCACGTGACGAGCTATGCTGAATGCGTACATCACAGTAGAAATTGAAGTGGTGCGGGGCAGTAGTCGCACGGACATCCTCGGTTGCCGACGCATTAACGCCGACTGGATAGTCGTGCGCAGGATCGGGTTACGTCCGGGGGTTGCGGAAATCGTCCTCTTCATTTTCGTCTTCGTTTTTGTTGTTCTCGTCTTTGTATTTGCGCTTCATCCGGTAAGTCGAGTCCGGGTGCTTCCGCGACAGTCGAGTATTCTCCTTGCCTCCTCGAACATACTTTGCTCGTACGGATCTTTCGGCAGACTTACCTGCCGACTAATTTCGCGAGCGAACGAGCGTGCACGTGTGTATGCATGTATATCTATGTTGGCTCTTCCGCTTATCATTCCTTAAGATTTTATTCGGCGGGAATATCAGCACGGCCCTATGAGCGTTTTCAAGTTCGCTCTACTACGAATATATCGCATCAATAGTACCTTATTATCGTCGACAATATAGCCGGTTATTATTGTAACATTAGTCCCCTTGGTTATCTATCTTGGTGTCATTAGCCAGATGACACGTCAGTTAATCCTGCCGAGTACTTTCTCTCTCTCTCTCTCGCTCATGCGATTATTTTCTTCAAATACTCGTTTTGACATCCGCTCGGTGGATTGAAGAAGGTGGGTTAGGGACATTTTGCATTTTTCAGCGATCGTGGCGCGACGTTCCTATGGGAAAAGCATCGTGAACGCATCGTGCGAATCGTCTGATCATGTCTATTGATTAAATTTAATCGCTAACAAACAAGAAGAACAACCGAGTCATCTCTGAAGCGCGTCGCGAATTCGCCTGAGAAAATTGGTTTTTTTAACCCCTTGACATACAATGACGTCTGGGAGACGTGATTCATTTTATGTACCATTGTAGACTTTGACGTCTCCGAGACGTCAAGAACTGTCTCCGGTGACGCCGTGCAATATATTATTAGATTATTCAATTATTTCACTTGTGATTATTCAATTGTTTCACAAGCTTGCACATAACCGTTCATTGAGCAAAATTAAATAGTATTTTTCGGACGCATCAAATTCCGTTTTATTTATATGTCAAGGGGTTAAAGCTCTAATGAACTTTTTACGTTATAAAATCGACGGAACTTTTTACGTTATAAAAGCCCCGTTGTGCAATAGTTGAATCATTTAGCTGATTCAATTGATATCGTCTTAGTGGCCGGTTAAATACCCGTAAATGGCAGATTTTGTACAAAAAGATTCCGTCATCGTTTAGCGTCCGTGCCGTGCGTGCGTCACTCGCTCGATACCGTTTCTTCATTCAATGGAAAGATCGTTCGAGCTTGTTTCGTCTTAAAATATCCGCATATTAACGAGAAAAAAGACAATGACGATAATATTGACGCATCGATCGTAATTTTAGCGGTCATCATTCGGAGAAACAAATGGACCGATATTTAAAAAGCATGAAAATTTCCTAAAAAGTCATCTAAATCCGAACACCGAGACAAATGCAATTTTCGAGATATCGAAATATTCGAGATATATCGGAAGGGCTCATACGGCTGAGTGCATTGATATCTTATAACTCATTTCTCCCAGAGCAGCCAGAGTGGATAGATATTAATACATTTGTGTGTAGTGTTTTAATAATTCCTTCTCGAAACGATCATGTACTTCGACGTTGTACATTCACACGAACCGTAAGAATATTATAATAATCTTGCCCGACTAGAACATATTTATAACATCGAAACAATTTCAAGGCAGTATATTAAATAATTAGTATGCTATTTTATTCAAGAAAACTTTTATGCGTGTATAATTTGTATAAAGAATAAATTTAGAATATTATCGTTACTGCCGTTAGTTTCCAACGAATAACGGATTGAAGGATATGTGCAGTGTAATCGACCAGACAGAATTCAACAAATTGAACAATTAAACGGATGGAAGAATACTGACTGCGGGCTCGGAGCGGTTATGTAGACGTCGTTGATAATATACATATCATTTTAAACGCGGCCAATCGAAATTGCGCGTGATATCGAATGCGTGACAATTTTCAATGCGAAACTCAACGCTTCCCTTTCCTCCTTGTAACAATCATCATCAGTAGGCGAAAATTATGACGTGTTATCCGATTTGCCACTTTATCGCGATTATTTATAGAGAAGAAACGCGGAAAATTGCATTATGCATCGATCGTATCGTGTCTGTCAATTATCGCACGTGCGCGATTTGTTATGCGTTATCCTGCATGTGACACGTTCATAAATCCGCCCTTGAAATTTATTTTCGACTCTGTTGATCTGCGCGAACGGCTCCATTTATTCATTTTCACTTCTTTTTATGCCCGCATTGCTATATTTCCTACACAAAATATTACTATATAAACACATCTAAATAAGAATCGAACATTAGTTCATGGGAGAAGCAAACGTCGGAAACGTGAAGAATAACGTAATCATAAATAACAACTGCAAAATGAAAGTGAAATAAAAATGAGTAAACGCGTGCTTTCCTCCTCGTAATGTCGCGAAGCTCGTTTATATCGTGTTTGTCACTGAAATAGCATGACACCTGTCAGGACGGTCCCTGTGTTGGCAAAGCAGAATAGACACGACCTAAATTTAATGGGACCTGCGTGGGATACGTTTCAGTCCCATATTATTCCAAGTGCGAGGCCGCACAGATCCCCCTGAGTGGATGCCGAGGAAGTAAAAATTAGGAGATCGATTATCAAACCCTAACCCACGCGTGAATAACTTTTTAAACACTTCGACGGAACAACTGACGGGGTTTGTTCTATTTTTTCTTCTTTGTAACGGGCTGCCATAACTAAATATATACGTACAAGGAAATATCAGAAAAAAAAAATGTTGATATTTTCGACACTGCAACTGCTCGTCATTTGTAATGTCAATGTGAGAAAAAAAATTTTGTTTTAGATAGCGTAACTATTGTGTAGTACTACGTGCGTCTGTGAGAACAGCAGTAAAACAAGTTATTCACTGTGACCAAGCAGTAATAATTGTGTCGTTTGCGTTGTAAACTTTTTCACGTTCAACTTTTTCAATTTCTGTCTAGAAATTGTTTCGACATTATATTCTGGCCGAGTAATAGTACCTTTCGTTTCATGTGAATAATTTTATCTCCAAGAAAAATATCATTTGAATCGAACCTATTTTGCCATCTTAGACTCTACTGCGTTGAAGGTTTAATATAAAGCTAAAATTTCGACTCAAATTCGCTCATCTCTCTTTGTGAGGCGCCGCAAAGGAGGGAATCACATGTCCCAGAGAGTCAATTGAGTACAGGAGGTAGGTTTCTCATTTGAGTGGCGTGCTACTTCACACGAGATTGAAGAACGCGTAGGATCGGGGGACGCATTTCAGCGCGGAAATGCGGAAAGCAGGAGGAGCGCTAATTGTATAATGATCCACAATTTTCCTTGGGCATTTCCATCGTGACCTTAGAACGGAGGCATTTTCTGATTAGATCACGGTTGTGTTCATAAACCAAAATTTCGCGTCATTAGCGAGAAATCTTTGTGAGCGCAACAACATTTGAATTACAACGAGCAAACGATAACAATAATAATCAGTCATCGGAAATAATTCGGCTCTGTTTTCATACTGTCTTTTAAACAACGGAAAAGGCCGCGTCACCGAGAACGGATTTGCATTCGCACGAGAATAGACTTTGTCCCTGCGTGCGAATTTCAGATTAATCGGCCGCTCGCGCAAAACGTTTCAAGGCGGTAAACGACCGAGAATGCAACCTTCAATAAACGTTAACCTCAAGTTGTGCATTTGACCTCAATGCAATAATTAAGAGCAATCAGTTTGTAAGGAATGCGGCGTACCGTAGATTCGCGAATTGATATTTTTCCATTATTGCTCCGCATCCGCCAATTGATTAAAAATTTAAATGTACCGATTCGGGTCGGTTCTCGCGCGCGTCTGACGGATGCATCTCTTAATCCTACTTCGTAATAAGCAGGCGCGCGCTAAATCAATGTCTTTGAGCGATGCGATCATTAAGTCCGTGTCAGATTGAAGGTCGCAAATTAGAATCAATTAATTCCGATCCACCAAACTTTGATTAATCTAATCGACGAATTAAAATTGTCAGTTAAATCTTACCCGTTAACGCAGATAGTTATTAATAACTTTTTCATTATTATTGCACGTCAAGTTGTTAAACAATTGGCGATTCTTATTATTAAAGGGATATTCTACGAGAGTAGTTCGAAAAGTTCTCGGCCTGACAAAGAAAACATACGATTTTTGACAATTTTTTTCTTCTTTTTCAACATAGTCTCCTTTCAACTCTCAATGCATTTAGGCCAACGATATTTTAACTTTTTTTATACCTTCGGTATAATGCAATTTCCCGAACTCTGCAAAATACGTTTGCCTCAGCGATGACCGTACTTGAAGTGAATCTTTTTCCAGCGAGCCATTTCTTCGGGAAAAGTCACTGAGGGCTAAATCTGGTGAGTACGATGCAGCAATTTGAAGCGTAATTCATGGAACTTTGCAATTGAAGAAGTGTGAGCGGATGCATCGTCGTGATGGAAAAGCACCTTTTTCTTTGTCAAATGCATTTAATAGCGTCGTCCAGCAATGCTACATAATAGTTGATATATAATGCTACATAATAGTTGAATAGTTGATGGTTTTTCTAGATAGTGAGCACCACACCCCGCGAATCCCAAAAAATCTGTCACCTTTCCGGCTGATGGTTTTCTTTCGAGCACTTCCACCCCGTTCCACCCATTGTTTGAACTGTTGTTTCTTCTCTCTAGTAAAACCATGTTTCATCAACAGTGATGAATCGTCGCGGAAACTCTGTTGGATTGCGTTTAAACATATCCAAGCATTCTTGAGAAACGTTCACTCAAATGCATTTCTGATCGATCGTTAGCAAACGCGACAACCATCGCGTTTTTTTTCATGTGCAAAATGTTCGCGTAAGATGAACACGATCTATTGAGATGTCAGTAAGCTCACGTACTTTCGATCATTTAACACGGCATTGTGGATTTTTTCGATGGTTTCCCTATTCGTTTTTAGGCGACGTGAACGTTCATCGTCGAGAACGGACGAACGACCCACGTTTGAATTTAGCAGCCCATTTCTCCAACGACGGAGAATCTTTCAAAGTAGAATCCAACTCGTTTTTATTTTCCGTTAAACCTTTTAAAACGAAGTGTTTTATCATTGCGCGATATTCGATTTTATCCATTTTACGAGACACACCACAACTTGTTTGCTCTAAACTCGACCACCAACAAACCAACTGCTAAATGCATGTGTCTGAAATTTTACATCCTCCAGAAGATCTAACTTGAGAAACATCATTGCCGTTTGATATTATTAGCACCGTCTGTCAGGCCGAGAATTTTTCGAATTACCTTCGCGGAAATTATTTAGACTCTCGTTTGTTTAATTATGGACTTTGTGTAAAAAAATTCTTTGTAGTGACGCGTAAAAGCTGAGGGGAATTCGAGTGATCATGCAGAACTCGAAGGAGGAGAGTATTAATATGCAGCTGATCGCTTCGCAAAGTCCTTACAAGGAGAACAGTGAAGTCATTGCGAGTGCAGTAAATAATACGGAAGTCGTGTTATCCCCGACCGCAAATACGGAAGATTACGATCCCCACAAGCACCGTAATCGGCCGAATCCCACTTCGTGAGTACATAAATAAATACAGAAGTCGTTATCGAACAAGCGCGAATGAATTCTTCGCGGATTAAGTCATCAGCGAAAATTGTCGTTAGCAGCGGTTGTAGAAATTAATTTAATTATAAAAACCGCTGCCAGCGAGCCTCTTGTATAAATTCTCTCTGTCACGAACGAATTTTTCTCTCTTGCAGGAACGCCGAGACCCTAATTCACTTACTGAAGGGTAGCTTGGGCACGGGGATATTAGCGATGCCGAATGCGTTTTGCAATAGTGGTTTCCTGGTCGGCGTGATAGCCACGATTATCATAGGCGTGCTGTGCACCTACTGCTTGCATATACTCGTCAAAGCGCAGTATAAACTGTGCAAGCGATTGAGGGTTCCTATACTGAGTTATCCGCACAGTATGAAATATGCGCTCGAGCTAGGTCCTCGATGTGTGAGCTGGTTTGCGCCCTACGCACCGTAAGTACCGTTGTCTTTTTTCTTCTACGGCTGAATCGACACTGCTGTCGACATGAACCTATTCGATGCAATTCTTCTAGCATAATAAATCAATATGTTGGGTGTGTTAGAGACGTATCTTGTTATAAGAATATTTCTTGATCTGCCACTGCGTTCATATAGAAGATTGCAATATTACAGAGAGAGAGAGAGAGAGAGATTTTCCTTATAACATTCACGTATAAAACGAACGAATTCAATGACACTTTTTGTCTACCTTGTTCTTATAGTCACCTCATCCGATTTTGCATTTTACGGAGGCATGCACGAGTCCATAATGTAAGTGATTGAAGCACAATTTAAAAAATGCTGTTGTTTCCAGAGGACTCGTAGACGGGTTTATGGTAATCTATCAATTGGGAATTTGCTGTGTTTATATCGTATTTGTAGCAACAAATATAAAACAGGTAAATCAATCACAATTGCCGCAGAAAGATTTATAAAGTAAAGGAAACCTAAACACCGAACATTTTGTAGTCGTACAGAGAGAGAGAGAGAGAAAATGTGAAAAACGTCGCCCACGATAAAACGCTTTACCGTGATTGAGATTAATTTTTAAAGACACAAACACGCGACAATTGAATAGAAAATCGCGTATTAGCGGCAAGTTCAGAGAACACGGCGGATTCACGATGATTTCATTAATGAACGCAGGTGGCAGACCAGTATGGGGACTCTTTGGACGTTTCGACCCATATGCTCATTTTATTGCTACCGCTGATTTTGATAAACTATATTAGAAATCTAAAGTTACTGGCGCCGTTTTCCACGCTGGCGAACCTTATCACATTTGTCGGCCTCGCCATGACACTAGTATACATGTTCGAAGAACTACCGCCGATCAGCGAGAGGGAAATGTTCGGTACATTGCGAAATTTTTCCCTCTATTTTGGAACGACGTTATTCGCGTTAGAAGCCGTCGGCGTGGTAAGTTTGGAATTAGATTTATTTTTCTTCCAGGCAGTCGACCGGTCCTCGCCGGGAGAAATAGGGAAAGAAAGAGAGAGAAAAGAAAAGAAGGAAAAGAGACCTTATGTTTTGTTTTTTCTATATATATGCACACGTATGTACGATGAAAATCGACATATGGAGTAATATGCGCGCGCAAAGGCCCTAGTAAAATGTATTCCTTGTAATCATATATCATAGGTATCTTTCACAAGCTCATAATTTGTGAAGTTCCCTTCTTTCTTAATTAATCGAAAAGAAAAAAACTAATTGCTCCTCATAAGAATTTCCAATATCTGCCTTGTGAGTCTGATAATCTTAATAATTACCTGAACCAAAATAAACAGATTGAAAAAAATGGCGACATTTGTAAACGAAAAGTTCGATGACAAAATTGAACTTTCGTGTCAGAATCGTCACAAAACAAAAAATGCACGAAACAGTTTGCATCATTTAAGTTATAAAATATAAGTATTTATGAATATTCATAAGTGTTACTTAAATATAATTAAATATATACCGAAGTTTTTATATTCAATATCCTGCAACAAAAAGAAATGTCAAAGTTCGCCTAAAAATTCGTCGTCTAAACAAGAATCTGCCCTTAATTCTCATAATGGAAATTTTTTGATTAAGAGAGAAAGAAAGGACATGTGTTAAATTATCATAGCGATGTTCTCTCCTCCAAATGTCTCCGAAAATGAGCGAACGAAACGAGAAATTCGTTCGATTATTATTATTATATCATCGGTCTTATTATTATCGCTCCGCGGCGTTATTCAAGAGGACGACTGTTCCGCAGATTATCGCACTGGAGAACAACATGAAGACGCCACAGTACTTCGGCGGTTACTGCGGCGTGCTGAACATTGGCATGACTGTGATCGTCATTCTCTACATAGCAATGGGATTTTTTGGCTACATTAAATATGGATCCAACGCCAAAGGAAGCGTCACTTTCAATCTGCCGCAGGAGGAAGTGTAAGTGGAGCGAAGTAATCACATCCCAATTACCGGCAAGACGAGCGGCCGAGAGCGTGTGGACTATGGTTCGCAGAGATTGCTTTCGCACGATCGCCGCTGGATACATCCCTAGTAGAGATTGAATCTCGGTTAGGCGTCTAGTCACGAAGTAGTAAATTTGTGTTTACACATCGTTACTAGCCAGTAATATAATGTTCACTTCTTCTAGATAATGATTAGTGATAAATAAGTTGGTTAAAAGAAAGAAATTACGAAATAAAAGATCATAAATTGCCGGGGAGTAATACTTACTTCTACTTTTTCATGGAATAACGTATTCTCAATTTTGACTCTCTATCTCATTTTCAAATNTTAAAATAAATACAATAGACGTTGGAAGACAAATTTGCAGGTGACGGTGCTTCAAATTTATTAAATTTTATTGCAAATTGCGGAAGGTTTCGTGAAGTATTGTAAAAAATTGTGATGAAAATTGGGAAAAACCTTCTTTGGGAATAATGTTTGTTATTTTACCAGAAGCAATCAATTGTTTAATATGAGAAGTAATGGTGATTTTGAATATAAAATCAATCGGATAATTTTTACGTATTAAGATGTCAATTATAAACTAGAAATTTTTTCCATAAAACGAAATATGTGAAAGTCTTAAATCTCTATCAGCCAAGGAAAAGATTACTTGGTTCATCAACAATATAATTATGTGTCTCGGAAGACCGGATTCATAATGCCTTTTGGATATTACAACTGAAAAAGTAAGGTTGAACTGTTTTACATTAAAAATTCAATAAGCGACCGCCACCTTCATATTTGGCTCCTGAAGTTTTTATTATNCTGAAATTTTTATTATATTGTATTTGATTGTAATCTGTCTTCTTTATACAATTTGTTTTAAAATAAATAGCGGCATCTGTTTTATCATGCATTTAATATGTAATAAACAACGGCTGGAATTCTATATCATTCACTGTAATAATCAATCAGCAACAAACTAGCCAAAAAATTTAATATGTGCTAGTTATTGACTCAGACTGATTCGTTATATTTCTACTCAAGTGGAAACATTCCGCCTGTGTCGCTCGGACCTCGTTACGAAAATATCCGGCTGATGAAAATACCCTGAGAACCTTCGGAATCTACCGATTTAAACACGAAAGATTTGTGTGTTTTATGTATTTATAAGCAGCGATGACCGATGAATATAACGTATCTATTATCCTTCGATACTTAGTAATTTATATCTTTTTATTGCAGTATGGCACAGAGCATTAAGATAATGTTCGCAATTGCGATATTCATAACGTACGCCCTGCAGGCCTACGTGCCAGTTGAGATTCTGTGGAATACCTACTTGGAGCAACGAATACGAAATCGTAAATTATTTTGGGAGTACGTGTGTCGAACCGTCGTTACCTTGGCCACGTGTGAGTACCATTCAAAGTTAAATCTCGCAAATTAATACATTGGGTGCATGGCTATATATATATATATATATAAGAGAATGCCCAACTCGATCGAAAGGTTGAGCCCAACTTAGTCCGTGCTAATAAGTTATTGGTAAAATAATGATTAATATACAAGACGAAGAACCTTGATAAATCGATGCTAAATGTATATAAATATGATTTATGACATATACAGCTTTGATATTATCAAAGAATATTAAAGTTACATAATATTTAAACAAATTCATGAAGAAATAATTATTATTTATTTTGACTTATTATACTTTTGACTATCTATGTTAGATACATATACGTTACTAGAGAAATAATCGTGACGGATTTTTCCATATTTTTCGCATTTTTTCCGAAGAATTATGGGTGGTAAAATTAGACTATTGATGATCTTATAATTTTTCAAGAATATTTCTCTTTTATCGTCTCCTTGCTTTTTTTTTTTTTTTTATATTAAAACCGTAAGAATTTGGTCGTTGGAAACACGATGGAAGCCATTTTCATATCTATGATATATAAATAAATGCATAATGTTAACTTTGACTTGAATTATGTCGGCACGGTCAATATTTTTCTAATTTTACATATCTTGATTAATATGTTGAAGTTTGAAATATTCTATTAGATATAAGATTTATCATAATCTTTTTATATATAATGAAAAAAATAATAAAGTTAATTACATGCAAAGTTTGAAAGGATTCCTAATAAAATAAATTTACGGACTAATTGAATTAAATGAAAACGTACAAGTTCTTACACGGCTCTCGCAGAACTGATCATTTTAAACTGATCATTAAAGTGATCATCGAAAAGGAACGAACGAATTAAATTACCCGTAATAAAAGATTCGCGAAGAACACGGTCTTTGTGGACCCTCTAGCTCGTCTTTGTCCTTGCAGTCGTATTGGCGATCGCCATACCACGGCTCGGTCTATTTATTTCTCTCTTTGGTGCGCTCTGTCTATCCGCTCTCGGCATCGCTTTTCCGGCGATAATCGAGATATGCGTGCTTTGGCCGGACAACGATTTTGGTCCTCTCAAGTTCATGATGATCAAGAACATCCTTCTCATCATATTCGGTCTGGTAGGTCTCGTGGTAGGGACCTACGTCAGTATTGTGGACATAGTGAATTCTTTCAAGTGAATGTGCGCGTCCACAACAAGGAAAACAACAAAAAAAGGAAATAGAAGAATAGTGCGGATATTTCAGAAGAGAATATTAGTTGTTAATATGGGGTTGCGCGCGAAAGCGGCCAGCTTGTTGAAGATCCTCCCCATCCGAAGCTCTCGCCACCAGTTAGATACTTTTACTGCGATCAGTAGACTTTAGCGCGACAGTTGACCCAAGAATATCTTCGAAATCTTGTGACAGCTTCCGGCATATGCGATCCCCGGAGGTGCGATCTGTGATGAAAAGCTTTTTCTCGAAGCGTTCGCCGATGTCCATACGTGCGCGTGTACACGGGGGAAAAAATACCGCTATGCTAATAGAATTAATCAGCTATGATATGATTATACTTGTGACGTATACGTAACTATTTCTAGAATAGTAGCCCTTATTAATTACCAGGGTTGGAAAAGTTACGTTTGAAAAGTAACGCCGTATATATTTACGTCCTCGCTGCGCGTAATTGTTGATGATTTTTTATCATCCGCTTTAGGTTAGCATACTTTTCTTGCAATCTATTATGCGCTGGTAGCGGACCGTTTACGTATATGTGTGTTTACGTATATGTATATATGAACACGCAGCCAGCATGGTTCCTGGTTTTTTTTAGTCGTTTGAAACGTGGAAAGCTGTACATATCGAAAATGTGACGTCTAAAACTAGCTTTACATACAATAGTATACGAATATCGCGTAGTATAGACATTCACAGAGAGTTTTCACAGGCGATTTATCGAAGGCGGGTTCTTGCTTATAAATTTCGGCGATACGAGTACTTAGAAAACACGAGTACGGCCAATATTCAAATTCTTCTTTCTCCTTATAGAATGGATGTCGCAACGATCGGCGCATCAATACGAAAGTTTGAAATTCTTTTTGGAGGAGTTCATTATATCGCTGATGTCTGCCGGAACGATGGAAGAATAAGATAAAATTACGAGTGTCTCGACACGTATATGGAGAAAAATAATTTAGAGAGAACGAATTTTATGCTGTTGAAACAAATAAATGAAAATACACAGTGTTTCTTGTATATTTTCTAATATTTCAGGAGTTAGTTTTTGAGGTCATGTTATGAAAAAATGAATATATGTTGATACTTTTTTTTTTAATGATCTGAAAAATCAACTCCTGAAATATTAGACGGAACTTAAAAAATACTACCTATATTTATTTATTTGTTACGATAGCATAAAAATTTGTTATTTTTTAAATTATTATTTTTGTGCTAACCAAATTCTGGATATTCGTAATGTTTTGGTTTTTAAATAATTAAAGAATTTATTATTTAAATTTTCTACATTATATATATACACATATATTATCCTGTACAAAAATTGAATATAATAGGTACGTATATTTTTATTCCGTGTTCTGTTTTTAAACATTCATAATTATACATTGAAGCAATAAGAATGTCCAGAGTTGGATACGTGTTGAGATATTTTTAGTATTTTTTATCTTGAAATGCAAATCCAAATGTTGAAGATATGATTCGAGCGCTTGTGTATTTTGGCGAAGTAACTGTGATCGAAACATATCACCAAAAAATTGTGATTTGCGTTACGATGATTGTCATGACATTCTCATTGTGTGGGCTGCTTCTCATTATATTAATATTGTTTTATATAAAAAATCGTAAAATTGTTTCGAAAAATTTATTTCCAACACTCGTCCGTCTTGGAGCTTTGTCGGATAGATTTGAAAATTATTTTGATTTGAATATTCTGAACCTTTTAAAAGGGACAATCTCCAAACGGGCGATTTGTTCGATTACTGTAAGTTTAACTCGAAGGAAAGTTGTTGTTCTCCCTCGAATGAAACTTCGACCATAAGTTTAGCGCGTTTCCGGTGTAGAGAGAAAAACATCACGCGAGGGAGAAAACACGAAAGTGCTGACAGTGAAAGTAATATACGTAAAAATAATAAGTCACTATTGTAAAATGCGTTAAAAAAAATGCGTTCCATTTTCTACCGTCGAGACTGCAATATCCGCTCTCTAAACGCTGCAGAGTAAATGAAAATATATAGGCGATAAATGGTGATAAGAAGAATGCATTCGAAAGTGGACTTTTGTGTAATCACGATAGAATTGTGATTGTGAGATTATCAATTTAAAAGTAGCGGGCATAAGAATGTATCAACTGACTATAACTTATGTACAGGACTTGTATAAAGGGAATTTTTGCATGGAAGCGACAATTTCAGGTAGTTTCTCATTTTGAAGAAGTGAACTGTTCACGAAACGTCGGGAACAAATCTATGAAGGACGCGGTACTAATTCGATAGCTAATTTAAATAAATTAGAAACAGAATATTGCCATCAATATACAGGTCACTATAACGGGTTGTCTATTTTGATAACTGTCAGTAAGTACGTAGTTCAGCTCAAAGGTGAACTCAGCAGAGACTTATGCTGATATATATACTTGCAATTTAATTTGTACATATCCTTTCTTCTTCTCCATGTATTTTTCCTTGAAAATAATAAGTACGAACTGTTTTGCGGAAAAGTATACCGTGTCCGAACATGCGCACCTGCAAGCAATACGAGGTGGCAATTCGTGGTATTGATCTATATGTTGATGCAATACTTTGTACATAGAATGAGCATTTCCACAAGAGCATGCATATCGTGATTGAAGACAGAGTTAGCCTGTACCATAGAAAACCGATCGGTACGTAACTTCTCTCTTAAAATCCTTCTTTTCTTTCTATGCAAATGTGCATGCTTAGAAACATTAGAAGGGGAATATAACTATCCTTTGGTTTTGTTTTGCGAGCTATCATAAGAAGATGCAGTCCACGCGTATAAGTCTAGCAATCCGTTGAGAGAAAAATACTATAGGAAAAAAAATCGAAATGGTCGAAAGTTGTACTAAGAATACAACGTAAATCTCGAAATGTATGTAAAGGAATTGTCAAAATTCGTTCAGCTTTTCGTAACAAGTCACTTTCATCGTGTTGTTTCTCTCGACATTACATATGTTGTGCGATTACTTTACAAAATCGATATCGTTATCCTTTTTCTTTCGACAAACATTTCATGCATGTTCTCGTAATTTATGTATTATAGCTAGTATTTTGTTCTTTTCTGTTTGCGTAGCCTCATCTTGTTTTCTTCATTCGCATGTAATTCCCCCCTCCCCTTATTTTTTAATGAGATACAGTTTAACATCAATCGACATCACTTTAGACTGAGAAAGAGAGGTATTATTATTATGTCGCAATGTTGTAAAAGCGCAAACATTTTCTAGGTTAAAATAAGAGCAATACCACGACACAAAGCCATAATACGAGAAATGATGTGAATTATTATCAATTATTAATTGTTATTAATATATTACATTGTTGATGATGAATAGTCTAATTATTCATATTTAAAGAAATTTTTAATTGGTCCTAAAATAAACAAATATATATATAAATAAATAAATAAGTAAATAAATAAATAAATAAAAATATATAAATATAAATAAATAAATAAATAAATATATATGTATTAAATATTGTTATCAGAGACGTTTGACGGAAATTATATTGATATTTTTAACGAGGATATAAATATATTAAACGAAACAGCACTGGTTGATTGTTAAACTTTATGCACGCCTCGAAGAAATGTTGTGCCACGTTGCCTCGCTGTGACATTTGTTATCATATTATTGATATTATAACGCAAAAAAGAAAGACATGAGATAATTAAAATTATAGGAAGAAGCCTATTATTAGAAGTAAGACAAGTAGAAGCAATAACGAGCGTTGCGCTGATAAATTCGTAATTCGCAAGTCGTAGATTAGTAGCGATCTCATGGAAGAGCGAAAAAAAATGTAACATACATGAGAAATTTAAATACAATGTTTTATATGTAAACAAAATATAGAGTACTTCTTTCTTGAGGATACTGTAATTTAAAATGGTTTCCAAGATTAACAAAAAGCAAGGAATTAATTTGTACATTTCATAAAATAAATCTGTGAGTTTCATCCTAAGTGTTTCTCCTTTTATGAAGAGAATCTACTAAATGTAATAAAAGGGGAGGAGGAACGGTTAGAAGAAATTGGAAAAAAATTAAAATAGAATACAGAAACTCAACAAAAATAGTATAACAAATTTTCCTTTTGACTAAGAAAAATAAAGATTGTTATAGACAATTTCTTTTTTTGCTTTATGGAACGAAGACTGCATTCAAGTGAATGGTAACCAGGCTAGAATCCGGGTAAGGCTAGGTAAGATCTTATATAAAATATTCGACTTACTCACAATTGAAAGGAATGTTGGCTGAACGAATTTTCCACTGTGCAGATCAAACATGTGCTACTTCTCAGTACATTGAGCCAAATATATATTATTGCATTTTTCATTTCTGAGTTTTCCGTAATATATGGTTTACGATTCTTACTTATTTATCTCTGTTTTCTACATAAAATATTTTAGGTAAGTTATCAAAATTGTTCATTGCCTCTTAATAGGCTATCTTCTGTTAATATACTGACGTAATATACGTAGTTTGTAGACAGTTTTGTATTTTTCACGATATTCGCGATGTAGCTACACTCTCACACAGCGTCTGTAACAAATGAGGAAGCTCAAGAAATGTCAACACGAGAGAACGACACTGCCGTTCAATGTTAGAACTTCTATGTGTCAGTCTCTGTCGGTAAGAATGGATAACACAATAACAACTGATCAATAGTGAGTAAGTTAAAATTCTTGAGGTTGATAAGTTTTCAAGAATCGATAAGTTACCAGAGTCGATAAGTTTCCGGAGAGCGGTAAGTTACCAGAGTCGATAAGTTTCCGGAGAGCGGTAAGTTACCATAGTCGATATGCTTCCTGGGATTGGTGCGTTTCCCAGGGCAGGTATGTAATTTTATTGCACATCGCAGAAGCAAAGTGAGGTTCAAAGATTCCCATTTTTGGATATATTCAAATAAGGATGGCACTACCGACTTACCCAATGCAAATAATTCATACTATATTCTCCAAGCAATCGATGTCATTGATGTGCATTACGAAGGTCTGAGTAACCAGCGTAATCTCATAAATTTCAAGTGGCTTAACATTAAGTATGGCAAAAATATCTATGACTACGACTTTGAAAAAATATCAGCAGATCTTCCGGAGTAATTTGGCATCTCAGGCTGTGAAAAAATTACTGTGAGAGGATTGGAGAGGCACTGCATAGAATGTTCAATGTGAAGAAATTGATTGTTAGAAATCACAACAAATCTGCTGCGCCAGAGGTAACTTGTATGATGTTAGAAGATTTTATGCCTGTCTTGGCTTGTGAGAACCCTTGGAAATATCGAATGATATTAAGTAAGATTACAGTTTGTAATAATAGTTTCACAGAAATATTCATCTTTATTTATATGTAATACATACTATTTTTGTAATTTTAACTTCGTTTGTTTTAAGTTGTTTCTGATAGAGCATGCTCCTCATAAGTCTCCACTAGCAAACGATGACTTTTAGCAGCAAATTTCTTGAGATGAAAGAAAAATAATGCTTCCCTTTAAATGCTCTTTTCTTGGTACAAAATCCGACATCTTCAATGCAATAAAAAATGGTGTTGTTTGCATTACAATCTAATGTCACACATTGATTATTAAAGCCTGTTGACAGTACTTTCATATATATCATCAGTCATTTTCGACCATGATGAAATAGTTCAACTATTGACCTCTATTAGTCAACAGCGAGAATTAATTCAAATTCCTAATATATTTGTAGGGGAAATGTATTTTATCTTTATTGATTTAATAGTTACATATATATCATATAATGATGTAAATTTTGGTAGAACAACAAATTTATTAGAAGTTTTTTTCAGATGTTCATATTAAACGACATAGTCGTACCGTGAATCCATATATACGCATAAAGCAACGAACTCGCGACCGATCGTGTATATTTACACGACGACTTTAGTTGAACGCAGGCAAGATTTTTCGTTTGACCATAACGGCTGATCTGAGAATATTTTAAATGGGCTTAATTGATTCCTTGGGTTTACTTTTTAAAACTTATTACTAACTACTTTATAAAACTTATTAACTTACTAACTACTTTATAAAACTTATTACTTAATAAAACTGTCTTTATTTTTGTCCTACGTGTCCTAGAAGCGGAGTTATCTTAGCTCAAAGTCCGAAATCGTGAATTTTCACGTAAGAAACGTCGTCGTCTTCGTCTCCTCCTAATCAGAAGCTGTCTTTTTACCATTTTCACCAATGGATGGCGCCAAGATAATATGTTCCATGTCACGTTTCCGATTCTATTTGACGTTCGCGATCGTTTAAGTGGAACGCGCTCCACGGAGAAATCAAATTGTGAGATGAAGATATTTATTGTCATATCAAGCTACACGGTTCATGTCAATCTGAATCCGCGATGCTGATCGGTCGTGCTGTGTGTGATCAGCTTTAGGTACGTTCGAGGAGATATTATTTAGCGCTACGGCATCATTCTATCCTTGTTGTATATGTAAAGAGTAATAAAAATAGAATGACGCGATAGCGCTAAATAACGTCTTCTCGAACGCATCTTTTGAGCCGTTTGGTTATGGCTATATCGCTGATGTTGATATTAACGTAAATAAACGAGAAAAACGGAAAAGATCGCGCGCGTGAACAATCACAAAAATTAAAATTCCAATTAATTTATACTTTTTCCTTAGAGATCCTCCAAAAATTAAAAAAACTCACGAAAATAATTTTTTAATCGAATAAATAATAATCACAATCTCTTTATGTAATTTATATTATATTTAATTTAATTAATACAACACACTAGTGATGTATTATAAAGTGTGTTATAATGTGTGTTGTAATCTTTAGTGATATATATCATATGTACACATCACTAAGAGATTAATCAACAATTGCATAACTCCACGAAGGGGGAGGGGGAGGGGGGGTTCTATTAGCTTCCGTGACGACTGTGATGGCAGGAGGAGGGAGAGTAAAACTCCTGGAACATCACATTAGGCTGTCGGCACACGGTACTTATTTTCATGCTGGATTTAAAGAAATCTAATAATATAGTGTGATGACAGAAGAGGGAGAAGGGGGATAATTCCACGTGTGACATTTTTCTTTCAGTGTGTTACATTGAAATAATGTTTACTTAATCCAAGTGAGATAATTACTTCTCAGCAAGTATTTACTTGAATGTAGCACTTTTTCAGCGTAGAAAAATAAATATCGAACACGGTAACCTCGTGATCTTTTCGACCGCTTTTCAGATCCAACACGTTGCGTTATATGCTACTAATTCAGACGGCGTGGATTTTCTGCGGAGTCACGACGTATGTCGTCAATTATAGACACCGAAAGTTGACGTACCGGCAATGGGTGCCAGACGTTTATTACTCGTCCCACCTGTTGTACGTCGTCATCTACGTTTACCAACTTCTGAGCACGTTCTACTGCGCGAACATGAACATCGCCTGCGACGCACTCATATGCGGCCTTATGATGCACGTGTGCTGTCAGATGGAGATCTTGGAGTATCGCTTGAGGAATATCAGTCGAGATACTTTGGGCTACTGCATACGCCATCACAACAGCATACTCGAGTCGGTCACCAGCCGAATCTTTTCCTCGCTTACGCGCAATTATGCTATTACGGCGTTATGATGAAAATGAACCAAATAACACGCGTTTGCAGATTCACGGGTCTCGTTAACACGAGATTCGCGCAAATCATCGGGTTTCAATTTGTCATGAGCACGCTAGTGATATGCTCGAATCTGTTTCAACTCGGCAAATCGTCATCGGTAATCTCGATGGACAATCTCGCGTTAATGGCCTATACAGTCTGTATGCTGACGGAGATATTTATCTATTGCTGGTTCGGGAACAAAGTCAAGTGGAAGGTAACGTTTTCTAATCAAATAGGACGGTCTTGCACAAAGAAATCTGACTGAACTCATGTTGCCGTTCACGTTTCATTGCATACGTTTCGTTATCTCATCGACCGTGTGTTATTAATCACGAACAACCAACCGGAAATTTATAATCAACCCGAAATACTGTATAATCTATGCGAAATAATAAAAAGATTGTGATTATTTCAAGAGCATGTTTCGCGTGAGTGAAGTTTATGTTCGCAAGTGAGTAAGACAATTCTGCACGCTAATCTGCAGAGTCTTCAATTGTCGGACAGCATTTTCCAAATGCAGTGGCCAACGTTGGACGGTAGCCTCAAGAAGAGTCTTCTAATGATAATGAGTCGCGCGACAGTGCCTATCGAGTTTATCACTGCGTACGTTATCCCCTTGAATCTAGACTCCTTTGTAGCGGTCAGTATATAAAATTTACACTTATCGTACAATTTACACTGACGAAAAATCGGGCGTATCACTCCACGATAAAGAATTTCTCAGTCTTATGTTTTCAATATATTTATAATTATTGCAGTTGCTCAAAACATCGTACTCTACTTACAACCTGCTAGTGCGAATGCAAGAACAATAGTACAAAAGCGAGCGCGAACATCGAAATGTTTATGCCTCGGTGCAATTGCTTTCTTAAATCGTTGGCGTCACGACCACACGTGACGGCGTGATTTTAGATTCCAATTTGTAAAGTAGATAGAATAAAAGTTTCGAAAAATGTCAACGGAGTGCTGAGATGCAGCTGTGCCTTTTTGATTGCATTTATGCTCTTTCGAAAATGCACATCACGTGTTAAGTCGCTTGTAAGGAGACGAATTATCATTTTCGTCCGCGTGTAAGCCACATATATCGCGTGTAAGCCACATATATCGCGATCAACTTCATATTTTCAATATTCAACTGTCTTTCGTAGCTTATTTCCGAAACTAGAGAAGTATCATATGCGATCCTGCAGTCTTACCCGACGTATTCTTCAGTATCACACGACACGCGATCGTAATCCGATGCGCAGACATGCTATGGTAAATAAATTTAAAAGCAAACAGGAAATAGCAATCTACCCGTGTCGCTAATAACCAGTCAGGAGTCACGATCGTATTCGATCGACTGCGGTGTTACGGGAGCTATCTCAGATGCAATCCTCTTGCCGTTCGCTTTGCAAATACAGAAATCGATACGTCGTGATTCCTAAATAGAGACGTAATATGTTAAAATGTTTTGTCATCGATGCTAATGACTGATGACATACGCGAAGGTTTGACATGGAAATTATTCATAGCTCATTCGATATTGATGAACGTACAGGTAGAGAAAAGCAAAAGTCTCTCGCTCTTCGCCGTATTAATAGTTTCATCTGTTATATTCCGACATGTATCGAATGACGATATCGTTTTATTATCTAATTTTACGATGGAAGTTGAATGCGAAAATATTGCTGCTTGATAAGTATCGTCTGGCATACAATCCGAGCGAGAACCCGGTGTCGTGAAAATACGCGCACCAAAGGAGAAAATGAAAAAAAAAAACGCCGGTGAAAACTAATTTTATCGGTCGTAAAGTCGTGTCGCGTACTTATAGACGTTCTTAGATATGAAATAAAATTTTACTGCTTCATTTCTTACTTACTGCATTGGACTCCGGCTTGAGAGGCTAAAGCCCTCTCGAGAACATAAAGAAAACAGAGGTTGCTCGACGACTCGGGAAATTACTCAAGTGATACAGAAGCTCGTAACACATTTACATAATTATATATATATATATATATATATTTACAGGCATTTTTTTTTTAATTAACCGCTTTCTAGAGATGCGCGTTTTGAAATTGACGTTTATGATCGTCATATTCGCCGGCTGTTTCCGACCGTTATCGTGGCTATCGCGGTTCAAACGTGCTGCCTACAATATTTACAGAATATTAATAATCACCTTTTTATACACTTTCGCGTCGTTGCAATTCATGGACATCGTCCTGAACGTCGATAATCCCGACGATTTCATCGACAATTTGTACATGATGCTGAATGTGTCCGTATCTGGCTACAAATTGTTCATCATGTGGGTAAATTACGAGGATATCGTGGATATAATTAATAGCCTCACCAAGGAGCCGTTCAAACCGTTGGACTCGGGTGAAATGGAGATCCGTCGCAAGTTCGACGCGCTAATTAGGTAAATATCTCGATCCCTGTACACCATCAGATATCGTCAGACATAGTTCAGTTCTGCTTTTCTTTTTTTGACCGTTCTATTCGTAAGAATTGATATTTCATTTTTATATTTCAACGTTTTTCTCACATAACAAAATAAGTTATTTTTTTCAAATAATAAAAAGAACATTTATTTTTCAAGTACAATAAATTAATCCTTTGACTAATTAATTTAATTAATATAACTAATTTAACTAATTTGACACAATAGTATGTCTCGAGTTTCAAATACATAAAGTCTTATTCATCTTCCGACAGGAACTTTTCATCAATGTATATGTTCTACATTTTTTAACACGTGACATCAATCAAACGCGATAACTCCTCCTTCCCGATCATTTCCCAGGGCAAACACGCTGCGTTACGCGATTCTGATCGAGACGTCATGGACATGCACCGGATTGACGTCGTTGCTCATCGATTTCAGACAAGGGAGGCTAACGTACCGGGAATGGGTGCCGTACGACTATTGTTCATCTTACGCGTTGTTTTTTGTCACATACGTTCATCAGTTTTTAAGCACGTTCTACTGCGCCACCGTGAACGTCGCTTGCGATACCTTGATATGTGGCCTCTTGATGCACGTGTGCTGTCAGATGGAGATCTTGGAGTATCGCTTGAATAAGATCAGCCAAGATAATCTGAGCTACTGTATACGTCATCACAACAGTATATTCAAGTAAGTTGTCGCAATGCAGTCGAAGAGACTTTTCACGTTAATCGAGATCGCTATTGTACGCGAGCTGTCGAGTAGAATAATTGTTTAAGTTAATTTCGTCTTTCTCCTTTCTTCAACGACCGTCGTGACAATATAAAAGTAGAAACTGATTTGCAGACTTGCGCGCAAAATAAACGCGAAGTTCACGCAGATCATCGGATTCCAGTTTGTAGTGAGCACATTGATAATATGTTCCAATTTATTTCAATTGAGCAAATCGACGATGAGCGCGGACAATATCGAGCTGATTGTGTATACATGCTGCATGCTGACGGAAATATTTATCTATTGCTGGTTCGGAAACAAAGTTAAATCGAAGGTACGTCGCTTAGGTCGTTCTGGCGGATCTTTGTGGAAGGCAAATGTCGTGCAAAAAAATTGACGGAAATGTTTACATATGACTAAGAAATTCTGCGTGTCAATCTGTACCTGTAGAGTCTTCAATTGGCGGAGAACGTTTATCAAACGCAATGGCCAGCGCTGAGCAACAGCGTCAAAAAGAGCCTGCTGATAGTTATGAAACGCGCGATCGTGCCCATCGAGATCGTCACCGCGTATATCCTCCCTCTGAACTTGGACTCCTTCGTAGCTGTAAATTTATACAAATTCGTACATTACTGAACCGTCAAATCGACCACCACTCAGATATCACTTCCGGGTCTAACGAGTCTCGTGTTATTTCAGATTCTCAAAACATCGTACTCCGCTTACAATTTGTTGGTACGAATACAAGAATAGTAACAAAGACTCGAAGATAAACAGTTTGTTTTATAGATGCAATTATATATACATATTTGTGTAAATAAAGTATGTCACTGATAATGAATTCTACTGCTCGCGATATCACCATCGCATTTCCCACTTTTACAGCAGTGTATGTTCGATTACGATTTCTCGTATGCATTCATCAAGATGCGGTTTCTCCGATTTCTGCGTTTACGCAGAAAAATCGATGAAGGAACAAGCAGCGACCGCGAGAGTCGATAAGCGAACAAGCACGGTGATATTATAAATCTAACTGGCTGGACGGTACATACGAAAGCGAAAAACGTGATAACCGAGAGAGAGTGTACGAGGGATAACCGTGATTAAAATTTTACGACAGACAAGACTGAATAATAAGACTGTAACATATATATATATATATATTTATATAGCACGATATATTATTTGTACGGAAACGACGATATAGAGAAGGAGAACGAGGGAGGACATGAAAAAAAATCCCCTCGGCCGTTCCTCGTAGATCGTTCGTATATCTTTCTTTCATATTGCGAGTATCTCACGAGATATTATAACTTTCATTGACTACAACCATGTAAAATAAAGACCTCGAATGTTGCATAAGTTATAATCGAATCATTAGTGTAATTTACCTTGATGAAACTTTAGTATAGCCCTTGCGGTCGACAATATGGTAATAGAGATAGCTACAGAGAAATGCGTGGACAGATACGATATCACTATCAGAAGGTCGTGCCGCGGGACTATAATATCCGAAGGGTTTCGTTCCCTCTTAAAATTTATTTATACAGACGTATATTGATATAATCGGGCGTTTGTACGCTTCGTCGGACAAAAAGTCAATTGAACAATATCTCTGGAACGTGTGCGATCGAGTTCAATTAATTTCGGGCGACGGCAAGAGCGGTTTAAAGGCTGGTTATTGGCGCGGAAATATTGTAAATATTATGTATATTGTATACTCGAGAGCTTAACGAATGTATTCAAACAGTTAGCTTAGAAATTATGATTCTCACTTCGCACAAGCGAAATTCTTATCAAGGAATATAATCAAAGGATCGTTTTCGCACAATAAGAAAATCTCTAAAAATCCTTCGACGTTACGTCGTGATATTAACGGCAATACAGGAGAAATCACATTAATAAGTGAGCTCGAATGTGCGTGTTGAAATTCACACTCCTGATTTGCGCGCTCGCCGGATGCTGGCAGCCGTTATCGTGGACATCATTGTTCAAGGATATCGTTTACAAAACCTATGCGATGTTCTTGGCATCCTCGTTGTACATGTTCTCGATATCTCAGTTCATGACTATCGTTCTGAACGTTGAGAATTCCAACGAATTCATCGACGCTTTGTACATGATGCTGACCGTGCTAGTTGCAGCCTACAAGCAAACCTTCATGTGGGTGGATCGCAAAAACGTCATGATGGTAATCGACCAACTCACTGAGATACCCTTCACACCACATGAGTTGCACGAGGTGACGATACGACGAAAATTCGACAAAATGATACAGTAAGTATCGCATATCTCGAGATTATGCGAGCAAACAGGCATTTCATGCTTGTCATTCGTCAACGATAAAAGGAATTTTTTAACGAACAAAAAACATTACCCGGAAGCGAGATATATTAAGAGAGTAGGAAATATATATTAGGTGGGAGAAAGGGTCAGAAAGGGAGACAATCAAATCAGGGAACGTTTAGTAAATAGAAACGAGAAACGGAACAACAGGGAAAATTGGAAGCACAGCTCGATTTATCTGTTACATGTTTGCTCATTCATTTGATTTATACGAATGTAGTATAACCAATATAATCGATCTGAATGGGCGAATGCAAAAATATAATGTATTAAATAGAGAGATATAATACTATCACTTTACTGCTGTAAATAATAACGAAATTTCAAGACAATCGGGCGTAACAATAATGTCCATGGCGATTTTCTAGGAACAACACGTTGCGCTACCTGATTCTCGTGATGATGTCGATCACATCGATACTCCTAACGTCCTTCTTCACGGTGCTAACTGAGAGAAATCTGACGTACAAAGCGTGGGTGCCGTTCAATTATTCGTCGTCCTCCGTCGTGTTCTTTCTCGTGTACAGCTACCAGTTGATAGGCATGTCGACCTCCGGTATAGTAAACGTCGCTTGCGAGAGCATAATTTGCGGATTCCTGTTGCACATCTGCTGCCAGCTCGAGATCTTAGAGTACCGATTGACGAAGATCTCGCGGAACCGCGACGTCTTGGGCGACTGTGTTTATCACCACAACCGCATTTTTACGTTAGTTCCACAAGCCAGTCTCGTTAAACTCCGAAAACTTACGCTTCGAGCGCGTTAGAACGCGCTTTAGAAAACGCGTCCGTGAGATCTCATCGTTGTGATAACCCTGAACAACACGAATCCAACGATTTTCTTTTGTACCTCCGGTAAAGGCGTTCCTCGGGGCGAACTAGAAGGACCATTGAAATTCTGACATCTGAGAATTTTCTATCCAATCGTAGATACGCGTGCGAAGTGAATAACATGTTTGCGAAGATAATTGCTAGCCAGTTCGCGGTGAGCATGCTAGTGGTATGCTCGAATCTGTTTCGAATAGCCATGGCGGAGGACTACACGAGCATCGTTCCGTTTATATTCTATACCAGCGCGATATTGGCGCAAATCTTCATCTACTGTTGGTTCGGCAATGAAGTCAAGTTGAAAGTACATATCTTGCGTAAACGCTGATTTCATTCGCGCGGAATATCCCGCGGAAGAGGATAACGGCGGAAAATGTACGCGGAATTTTTTTCTGCTAATGTAATATTCAATCTCACGTCTTTATTTACAGAGCCAGCAAGTGATGAAAAGCATCTACGAAATAAACTGGCCAGGCCTTAGCAATAGCAACCAGAAATCCCTCCTGTTGATTATGAGGCGTACGATGATTCCGATCGAGTTCAGCAGCGCATATATTATCACGATGAATCTCGACTCGTTCGTGGCCGTCAGTATAATTCACTTAAGACGATGTAACATTTGTTATATGTAACAATACATAAAAATCGCTGTGTATAACAATTTATAACAATTGTTACCGATTGTGAATAATTTTCAATTTGATTATCTGTGATTTCTTTTGCAGTTGCTTAAAATGTCGTATTCGATTTTCAATTTACTACGTCAAACGCAAGAATAATAAGGTGGTTAATAAATAAGAATAATAATAAAGTGATTAATAAACGGATATAATCAGGCACGTTCATCAAATCACGTGTAACATGTAGTGAAGTGTGAAAGAAAATACATTAATGTCACCGTTTGCATTTTGCAAAAAATTTCTAAGATTATTATCCGGAATATTTGCTGATGTTTGTCCGGAAACTACAGTATGTAAAAAGAAGTGCTCATTTGTATGGAGAAACGGAAATTGTAAAATATAGAACATAACACTTGCATCTCGGTGAATTTATTTAGTAATGTTCGAGATACTACAATAAAATCATCATTTTTTACATGTCTTCCATTCTATTTTCTTTCGTTATATCGCGAATATCGTATTATTAGACGTAACTGTAATGGAATGAATGCTTAAAATTCCATAAAGATAAATATGTGGATGGCAAAACTAATATTTGCATCACTTTTGACTCATCTGAATAGCTTGCTTGGACAGATTTTTGTATATGAATTAAATCTTTTCTCTTCGTCTGCAGTGCATTCAACGACATGGAAAAACAGGTGAAAAACATAATGTTATACAGATATCTCACTACATACCAATATATTTAGATATGATATCAGTTCGTAGAACTATGACACATTTCAAGAGTAAAAGACGGTCGGACACTAAAAAAACAAAAAAACTTTTGTTACTGAAACAATATTTGTATAAACTGATTTTATTTTTCTCCGTAGTCAACATTATTCTCGAAATAATTGTGTATGAAGGAACAAGTTTTTTTATGTCCTCCGCATAAATTGCTGAATCTTCTGGACAGTGTAGGCATCAATTTCGATGGGAACATCTTAAATATCCTCTTTACAGTCTACCTCGCACTGAATGATTTTCACATCTTCCTTCACTTCAAGAAATAACTTAATTCTCAACAATTCGAGGAGAGTGAAGAGTTGAAAGTGACAAAGCTGAATTGACTGAATTCTCTGGTAACGGATTTTTATGCAGAAGACAGAGAAACCCTTCTTTCCTGGTATTAAAAGTATTTAGAGACCAATAGTGATTATATAGTAAAGCGAAGAAAATATGTATAAGTATTAAGTAATGTTACTAGCAACAAAAGATTTTTTCTCTTATTTTGTCTTTCCTTAATAAACGACCTGTCTTTACTTTTGAAACGTATGTCACACAATAAAATATAGAGTGGCTACTCATAAAAATTTCATATAGGAAAATTACAGTTAATGATCTACCATCTTTGAGATATATACATGTGCATATTTCATAAAATTGTCGGTTGTGGCAGAGAGGAGAGATTAAAAATAATATTACAGAGACAATGAGAAATGACGAGACCATATGTCAAAGTAAAAGTTCGTAGTGGAATATCGTAAAAATAAGAACGACGACGAATGAATTATAAACGAAACACGATGCGCGTGAAATTTATTACTTTGAATATTTATGCTCTGCTTCTTCTTTCTTCGCCAAAGTAATGACATAACGTACAATCTTCGAATACAATATATATCTCGCGTCAATTCTACGCGTTCCGATTTATGAAGATATTTTTCCGCGAGAATGTAAGTGCGTAAGTGCGGTGTTACGTGGTGATAAGAGGAGTGAACACAAGGGTAGTTTTACGGCGACCGTAAGACCGCTGTCGCGTCGTCAGGCTATAGACATTCAGGATATTCCGGTTTCTCGTAAATCATTTTGTCTCTTATAAAACGCGGTGCAAAGGTTCGATCGGAGACAGATGCAAACTTCGAGATTGGCTCGCGCATAACGGAGACTTCCTTGATCTATTCCAAACGATTTCACTCTGTAGAATTTATTCCCGATTCCTCAGCGTGACGTCGAACGGCTTTTACAATTAATTCGTGTTATGACATTTTAATGTTCTTTAGTGAAATTGTTTCGTGCTTTTAGTATGTAATCTCTATTTAAAAATACGCACGGATCGATCACGATCTGTTTTTGGTAATGATAGTATAATATCAACGGTAACTTGTGTGAGCAAAATCGAGCTAGAGAAGTTGAAATGCGCGTGTTGAAACTCACACTAGCGATCTGCACGTTTGCTGGATTCTGGCAACCGCCTTCGTGGACATCGCTTTTCAAACACGTCATTTACAAAACCTACGCGATATTCCTAATCTTCTCGCTATATACGTTTTCGATTTCTCAATTCATGGACATTATACTGAACGTCGATAATTCCGACGAACTCATTGACTCTATGTACATGATGCTGACAGTATTCGTCGCGGGTTACAAACAAATTTGCATATGGAAGGATCGCAGAAATGTCACGTGGATGATTGACGCCCTTAGCGGGAAAACCTTCAGTCCGTCGGAATCGGACGAAATGCTGATTCGAAGGAAGTTCGATAAGATGATACAGTAAGTACCGTCCGAAAGAATAGTAATGGATTTTTATAACAAAAAAAGCCTAAGAAAAATGGATCGCGATAATTCGCACAATTAACATACACACGATAAAAAACATTTTATACTTATGTTAAAATCAGCCCTTGTGAAAATGTTTTTGTGAAATTCTTAACATACATCATGTTAATTTAACATATTGCGTTTATATTATTTCAATATTTTGTGTTGAGTCCCGATATTCAACATCTACAAGTGTTAAAACATCTTATACTTTAATATTGATTAACATATTAATTTTGTGTTAAATTTCGACGTAATATTTGTGTAAATTTTCAATATACTCATCTTGTGTTAAAGTAAACTAAAAATACGTGTAAATCGTTTGGAAATATGTTAAATTTTACACCAAATTTTTTATTGTGCAGGGACAACACCTTGCGGTATTTAACCCTCGTGATGACGGCGGTCGCGTCGGTACTTTTGTCATCCGTCTTATTCGACTACATGAACGGCAACCTGACGTACAGAGTGTGGATGCCGTTCGACTATTCGGGATCTGCTGCGTTTACCTTCGTGTTCACTCACCAAATGATAGGCATGTCGACCTCCGGCTTGGTGAATGTCGCTTGCGAGAGCCTGGTCTGCGGTCTTTTGCTGCACATATGCTGCCAGTTCGAAATCCTGGAATACCGATTGACCAAGATCACGCGAGATCGAGATATCCTGCGCGACTGTATTCGTCACCACAACATGATATTCGAGTTAATTTCCTCCGAATGATTTTGTTCTATTACGTTAATAATTTTCGCTCCCATTTTCTTCGTAAAACAGTCGTCAGTTATTCTGTAAACAACATAAAAATTATTCGAAGATTTATCTTTACCGTTCGATATATTCGGAATATAACAAATTTCCAGCACTTGTTCTTTTTTCTGTAGATGCGTCGAATAACTTTTGCGTGATTTTATACGCTCCCGAATTTTAGAAACTGAAATCGACTGAAGGTTTTCTGTCCAATCGCAGATACGCGAACGCGATGAGCAACACGTTCGCGAAAATAATCGCTATTCAGTTCGCAGTGAGCATGCTAGTGGTATGCTCGAATCTGTATCGAATAGCTATGGCGGAGGACTATGTGAAATTTATTCCATTGATGTTGTATACAGGCTGCATGTTGGCACAGATTTTCATCTACTGTTGGTTTGGAAACGAAGTCAAGTTGAAAGTATATCGTACCACGTAACAGACATAATAAGAAGCATATTTCGTAAAAAGGAAGCACTATGTTTCTCTTATAATGTGCAATATTTTGTTTGTTTTTTTGTTTTGTAGAGTCTTCACTTGGCCAATAGCATTTATAATGTCAAGTGGCCGGAGCTTAACAACAGGAGCAAGAAGTCACTTTTAATAATCATGAAACGTGCAACGAACCCCATCGAATTTAGTAGTGCGTACATTATCACGCTGAATCTAGAATCGTTTGTATCCGTCAGTATCACAACTGGATGATATACATATAAAAATTATTTTTGTGAATCTAACGAATGAATAACTTTACATATGCGCCCGCAATTTGTTTACAGTTACTTAAAATGTCGTACTCGACTTTCAATCTGCTACATCAAACCCAAGAATGACAACATGGTGAAGGATTAGTGGAAATTATTTCTACTATCTAACGATAAGTAGACATTTTTTCTGTTACCTAATAATAAATAGACAATTTCTAGTCAGAGGAAAATATAATTTACATATATTTCGCTCAATGTAATTAATAAATTACTCATTAACTATTGCGAAATTTGTAAAATGGTGCATGACTTTTCTGTTCAGTTTAATTCATTCTACAGTCATATGTGCGTTTGGCGGAAAATTTGCGGACACCCTGTACATGTAGACAATAAAAAAACTTATATCCGATTGACTCAGATATAATTTTATATTTTTCATCATTTTTATAATTTATATTATTTCATTTTATAAAATTACTATTTTATATTTTATATTTATTATACTAAAAACTGTATTCTGTTTACCGTGCCATAAATTCGCTACAATATTAAACGAAAAACTAGTTATCATCAGCAGCCACTTTATAGGATCCTCGATGGTGATGTGCTTCCCGCTGTTTCGCTTAGTAGTGTCGACGTTCAGTGGCATGTATATATATAGACGTATATATCTAAACTCTAATGTGTCTGTTCTGTGTGTTGTTAGCGGTGTTCTATTATTGTTGATATGGAAACGAAGTGAAGTAGAAGAAAAGGAAAATTCAATCTCTGATAGACTTACTAAAAAACAAATTAATGTCCTCTACATGAACTGCTGAATCTCCTGAGTAATGTAGGTAGCAACTCCAATGGGAACTTCTTAAGTACCTTCGCAACGAATGATTTTCACATCTTCCTTCATTTCAAGAAATAGCTTAATTCTCAACAATTCGAGGAAGGTGAAGAGTTGAAAGTGGCAAAGCTGAACTGACTGGATATTCTGATGACGGATTTTTATGCAAAGAACAGAGAAAAACTTATTCCCTGATATTAAAAGCCCTTAGAGAACAATGATGATTATGATATAGTAAAATAAAGAAAGTATGTATAAATATTAGGTAATGTTACCAATATCAAAAGTTTTATTTCTTATTTTGTCTTTTCTTGATGACCGACCGGTCCTTACTTTTCAAACGTATGTCATACAATAAAACATATAGAGGGGCTACTGATATAAAATTTTTCATTTCATATAGGCAAATTACAGTTAATGATCCACGATCTTCGAGATATATACATGTGCATGTTTCATAAAATTGTCAATTGTGGCAGAGAGGAGAGATTAAAAATAACAATATGACAGAGACAATGAGAAATGACGAGACCATATGTCAAAATAAAAGTTCGTAGCGGAATATCGTAAAAATGAGATCGACGACGAATGAATTATATATGACACATGACGCGCGTGGAATTTATTATTTTGAATATTTATGCTCTGCTTCTTCTTTCTTCGCCAAAATAATGACACGACGCACAATCTTCGAATACAATATGTATCTCGCGTCAATTCTATGCATTCCGACTTATGAAGATATTATTCCGCGAGAATGTAGTCGTAAGTGCGGTATTACGCGGTGACAAGAGGGGTACGTACGAAGGAAGTTGTACGGTGAGTAAAACCGCTGTCGCGTCGCCGGGCTACAGACATTCAGGATATTCCGGTTTCTCGTAAATGTTTCGTCTCTTGTAAAACGCGGTACAAAGGTTCGATCGGAGACAGATGCAAACTTCGAGATTTGCTCGCGCATTCTCCGCGTAACGGAGGCTTCCTTGATCAATTCTAAACGATTCCACTCTGTAGAATTTATTCGCGATTCCTCAGTGTGACGTCGCACGGCTTTTATAATTAACTCGTGTTATGACTTTTTAATATTCTTTGGTGAAATTGTTATTGGCTTTAGCACGGATCGATCGCGATCTGATTTGGTAATAATAATATGATATCAGCGATAACTTTTGTGTGAGCAAAATCGAGCTACAGAAGTTAAAATGCGCGCGTTGAGACTCACTCGCGATCTGCACGCTCGCTGGGTTCTGCCTTCGTGGATGTCTGAGATGTGATTTTACACGCTACTATCTAACGATAAGTAGAAATTCTTTCTGCTATCTAATGATAAGTAGAAAATTTCTAGTAGAAAATTTCTAGTTGAAGGAATACATAATTGACACGTATTCACTAACGTGCGCTAACTTTCTGAAAGTTATGCGAAACTTCCGTTAAAAATTTGTATTGTCTACTTAAAAATAGCAGCATGTAAAAATCTAATGATTATGCTAATGTTGACAAATATAACTGAACATTGAAACACATTTATCTGTATAATAGTGAATTCGGTCGATTTGCACTGACACTGAACCTGTTACCAGTGTTGCACTAAACCAACTTCACGCAACACTGCGACCGTCCAGCATTCCACTGATGGCAAACAAACCGGGACGTTGAGAAATAAAAGCTGACGAGTGTAATTTTCAAAAAAATGAATATCAGATGAGAACAATCAAATAAGAGAAGTCGGAATTTATATTTTATACGAAGTAGACAATGAAGCAGGTAATACAACTTATATATAATATTTTTATATGCACGACTTTAATTTTTACCGTTAACACAAAAAAAAAAAATATATATATATATATATATATATATATATATATATATAGGATATAATTTATACGATTTTTTATTTTTAATTTTTCTTCTTTTAAAGAACTTATTATGAAATTTTCATTGTCATCACTACTACTGATCTCTAGTATTTCTTTTAGAGACATAAGTCGGTTAGAATCTATCATTTCTACTTTCTCGCTACTTTCTACTAGTGGCAGCAAACTGCACTGCCAAAATTGGCCGTGTAATAAACTTTACACTCCTTCAATTTGTTTTGTATGTTCGAATACAAAGTCAGTGTTACATTAGGTTAGTGTGAAACTCATTAGGTTAGTGTGACACTCTGACACGACATAAGGTGTGTACTATAATTTGCATCCAATGTACACTACTACGCAGGCAATAGAATTCGTTAAATAAAACAAAATCGCACATTAGTCGTAAAAACAAATAGAATTTCGTAACTGAGACATTGGTATATCTTTCTTTCCTTTTTGCTCCTTCATACCGGAAACATAGGTCGCATAAATTTTTAATTTCGATATTTTGAGTAACGATCGGGTTTATTTCTCACAGGTGGTACATGACAAGTCTCGTTTGACGTTATTTTGCTTCACGTACTTTATTCTTTGTATAAGTGAATGTGTCACACATTTTCATTCGCTAGTCGAAAATTTCTCTCACGTTAGAAGACAACGCACTGTCAGACGCACGCATACATAAATACACACATTACATTTAGATGAATACTGGGCCTCCACGTAAAAAAAAAAAAAGAGTTAACATTAATTATATATAATGAGCATTAAGATGTCTATGTCGGTCTATCGTAGTGATCCCTTTTGTTCCATTTTAATGGTAATATCAGCGGCGGAGAGGAAAGAGGGGGTGATAACGATACGTATTTACATTTCCTCGAATATTCTCCGATTATGCACATCGACTTTAGTCTCTCGGTATTCATTGAATCACATTTCCACGTATAATAATGAAATTATTATCTTCTTTTACATAATGATCTAGTCCTTTGTTCGTTCCTTTTTATCCACTTTTCTGTCGAAATAATCATATATAAAGTGCTGTAAGGTTCCTTTAACTTCTCCATCGTAACAATCGTGTTATTGCCTGGATGAGGAATAATTATGGACATGATGTATGTGTACGTTTGTGTGTGATTAACTGATATCTATCTCTATCGGAACGACATCGTCTTTTTTTTCTTTCGCCGATGGCGAATTAACGCGGCGTCAAGACGCGTTTGAGCGCGCGATAGTTCGGTCGTACGGTTTTCCTCATATGTACAAAGTAATCGGCCACTTCACGAATTTCACGGAAGACACTGACGGAATCACGACAAAAAACGGAAGCACCTCGACCGTACGGCGTCCATCTGCGGCCGTCATCGTTCCGCCGGGCTCGATTTGTAGATCGGCCTACTATTGAGCGGGTTGTTCGTGTAAACGGCGTTGGTCCTGACCTGCCTGTACTGCGGCCGCTTCTGCCGCGTGCTCCAATGGAGGTAAGTGTACCATCCCGCCACCAAAGTGCTCAGTCCGTTGCAAGCGGACGAGAAGATGAGGAGAATCGTCAAGATACCTTCCACATCGGGACAATTAAGGTCCACGTATCTGGTGAAACGTACAAAGCATTATTACACCTACGTGTTATTATAGCTTCGAAGAGATTCGGAAAAATCCGGTTTTTTTTTTATATTTTTCCTTCAGACTTTTTCGGTTTCTCTCCCAAGGGTAGAAAAATTCAAGTATGTTCGATTAAAACCTGCCACATTTACTTCTTTCCGTAAAGAAGACAATCACGCGCACTTAACGGAAGTTAAATGAAGTTAATATGTTATATGTTAAGCAATAATATATTACTTTCAAAGAATTGTAACGAAAAATATATTGTGAACAAATATATATAATATATAGTATAAATAATATATAACATATAATATAATATGTAGTATCATCAGTGCGCATAATTTCTTTCAATCCGTGTTAATAAAAAATAACTACTGAGTGGCCTATATAAAGTTTTTATAGACTAAAGAAAGAAATGCATTATTCGAAAAAGAAGTTTCAAACAAAAATTGTAAGATTTTATGGGAGTCAGAATAATATAATATAATGGAGGGAATGATATAATAACATGATGTGAAAGATATTAAAAATTATCCAACATATCATTCGAATAGCAGAAAGCAGTTTTTCGCAAAAAAAAACTGTTTCTTCTTGTTTTATCTAGCGATGAAAAATTCGTTTTTCTTTTTTTAATTATAGTTATTATTATTATCTCGCAACGCGCGCGATATCGCACGAGATTGTAATGAACGGTGATTTGCTTCGCTATTGAAATGATATCGGAAGCAAATTTATAATCATGCACCATGAATGATGTATGTTATCAGGAATTTTTAGAGAAATTCTAAAAGAGAGAGAGAAAGAGAGAGAGAGAGAGGGATGGAGGGGCACAACTTGGCCATGCAAAACTAATCAGTCGCTTGACTTCACGGCGTACCTGACTGCACCTTCGAATGAATCAGGCGGTGCGCCGCGCGGCCTGCACACGCACGTGGCATTCAGAACTCGTGCTGGAGTGCATTCCAGCTCCATGAGACGCGTCAAGTGCATCGCGGAAAATATGCACGCGATCATACAAGTAACGGTCGCCAGAATCGCCAAAAACACACTGATCGTCTGTTCGACGAAACGAGGTAAGAGTTATTTCGATTTTATAAGACATAAAATAACGTACATAATCACTAAGCCAGAAATCTAACGATAAAAATCTAATAATACGTCTAGCTATACGAGCTACGTAATAACAGCGTGTTAGAATAAAACGTGAGTCAAAGTCTAGATTAGAGTTACGTTAGAATAATTCTTAGTAAAGTATCTGAATAAGAATGCCGTGTGGATTTTTCCTGAAATTCTGAAGTGAGTCATAAAATAGTTATTACCTTGATGGTGGAAAGGCAGATCCCAGGTCTCATATTTGGGTATTCTTTCTTGAAGCAACATAGAAGACTGATCCCGAAGCTGCCCGACAGTAGAAGCTGAAGACATCAACGATAAAATTGTCGAATAAATAAATAAATAAATAAATATATATATATATATATATATATCACAAAAAGAAACTTAATATACTTTATGAAATATTTATATACATATACGAGACATACTTACGCGTTAACAAGGAAATTACGATTTTATTCAACATAAATGATTAAAAAATAATAAAATAACAATAAACAATATTATATTAAGAATTTTCATTCGAGAAATTAAAACTCGAAAGAGAGTTGTCGAAACGAATACAATTGCCAATGAGTGATCTCATTAACCCCACATAATAAATGCCAATATATATAAATGGACAGCAAATGAAACATAAATATAAAATATTTAAAAAACATCTTTTGTCAAAAGAGACTGGCATATCGTTCGTATGTTACAACTGCTACGTGCATATTAGTCATCTACTCCAACGGAAGTTTATAAGACTTGTTAGATAAGTGGAAAATGCCACTTCGATTCTCTTCGCATCATCATCGTCGGGAGTGCAAATATAATCGCCACTGATGAAATCGTGGTACTTACAAGTATGCCGCTCCAATACGGATTGTTGATGACGGGCAGATTGGGTGTCCATACCAGCAGCCATAACGACAGGACAATCACTGCGATTCCGAGGATGACTTGCAACGCGGCCAAGCATTGCGCCGTTCGTCGATAATAGACCAAAGGGGGCAGAAATTTCTCAGAACCTGATCGCAAACGTATTTCTCAATTGCTTGTTCCCCTCCCTTCTCAATCGCTTAGTCTATTGTCGTGTTACTCTATATCGTTCGGATAGCATTTTGTTATTCGCTACTGTTACACGGAAACTCAATTCCGTTAGTGTAACTGAATTTCCCGTTGCCTGGGAAGAATAGGAACCAGACTGAAAACTCGGTTCAATTATTCCCTAGAAAATATAATACAAATCTACAGAATAATTGAACGATCCCGATCAGAAAATTTTCCCGAGCATTTCCATAATAGACATCCTGTAGGAAATTAATAATAATAATGTTTTCGATCGTAGTAACAGAAATATCGCTTCTCGTCGCCGAATTCGTCTGGTCTCCATTCAACTACACGAAGAGATTTTTTTCCATGTACGGCTCGCGTGTGACGGAAATACCTGGTGTATCGCTGGAACGCGGTGAAAGTGAATCGCACTTTTTACCATCGATTCCGCGGCTTTCCTAAGTCATCGTGGGATCGTTGCCTACAGAATCGACGAGGATCGATCGTTTCGCAACGCAACTATCGCATCCTCACGTTATCGTCGTGAACGACTGAAACGCGCGGATCTTCTAAGTTCTGGAGAGCCGGGCGATCAGTTGCCTATTAGATAAGTCGACCTAGCGAAGGTAGGCACGTGCCATTCTCATCCTTGGGCGCGACACACATTTTCCCGTGACGTAAACGGCCGATCGTCGGCCGATACCCCACCGTGAGACTCGTGCGGATTTAAAAGAAAGGAGAGTTTCCGAACAGCGCGGCCTCACCGCTGTCCCTCCTTACAAGGTATCCTAACCGGATGATCGAACGTAGCCGTGCTTGTCGTATCAAACGTCAGGAAACTCGCCTACTACCGTCGTTTGCACAAGACACGCGGCAAACGTTTGTGCTTTCTGCGGGGCATCGAATGAGAATCCGAGCGGTAGCCTACAGCGATGATATTTCTTAACGATGTATAAATTGCAAGGCTCTTTCCAGCATGTCCTGTTGGCATCAGTTCCAATAAATCGGAAGCGCTTCGGCCGGGATCACTACAAACCACTTTATATTCTATTATGCAATTGTATGAGACACATTTGATTTGTTTATGTGAAAACAGAGGGAAAAATTATCACTGTCATGCCATATATGCACTGTAAGAAATTATAATAATTTTCGGCCTCAATTATACTATTTTTATGGTTTTAATCACAAAAATAGTAGTAGCAATCTCAATATAAAGTTATCACTGACATTAGATTAGAAAAATGGTTCTTCTGACTATAATTATTTCACTATAATGATTATAGTTACAAATATCAAATATTTTTCTCTCAGTATGACGCAAGTACACAGAGAAAAATGCTAGATTCAAATAAATAATTATCCTAATACTTCTTAATCAATTTTTATTTATATCAAATAATATTTACTTAATCCAAGTAAAGCATATTCCAAGTAAGTTATTTACTTGAATCAAGTGAAATTTACTTAATCCAAGTAAAATTTACTAAGGAGTATTAGAGTTAATTATTTATTTGAATCTAGCACTTTTTGAGTAGCGAAAATTTTAATAGACATATAAAAAAAATAGATGAAAAGGATTATACAGAGACAAAGTTTAACTATCAACGGTAAATGAACGGTGAAATTGAAGTTCCGCATGTACTATCATTGCTCGGTAGAAACTGATAAGGAGAGACTCTTCCACAAAACATCGGCGGAATCCTAATATTTCGTGATCGTCGACGTGAAAAGTGCGATACGTGGTCGGAACCGAAGGAACAATTTGCACCCGTGGAATCACGCGGCACACACGCACCTGTGCCTACCTGCCGCACGAGGATTGAATCTCGGACAGCTCTAACTGTACCGAGCGCGTAGACACGCACTGTAACTGGCGAATAAGGCAAAGTGCAACGGCGCAACGTAAACAGCCGTATGGTGTTGAAACTCACTACTAAGAGTCAGTGAAAATAAAAGTATGTTTTAGACCAGTTTCCCTCGTTAAATATTCCACAATGACGCGAAATTTTAGACGGCTCTTCTTCACGAAGTGACGCTGAGATCGAGCAGAAAAAGAATTTCTTATTCGTGAGTGAGAAGTGCGTGTGATTTCCTTCAGCAAGTCATCGTTGTCGTTATCTGATTTATTTTCTTGTTTTCATATAAGCGTGTTCTCTTGAATTGCGAGATTATTATGTTCGCGTCGTTTTTATCCGTCACGTTAATGATAGATTGTTAACTATTGATATGATGCATTTCAATCATTAGAAATAACGTTGTCTTAGTTAAACATATGGTAATTTCTTTATAATTGGCACTTTATTACATTGTGTTTATCCGTGTTGATTAACATTTATTATTACATACGTTTTCATAACATGTCGCACGGTCATCATACACAGCAGTCGAAACGTATAATTTATTACATTTCTTGCGCTAATTAATTTTAGTTGTTAACGTTCGTCTCGAATGACATACGCGAATTTAAAAGACGAAAAACATAAAGTTTCTCGAATGGCTTTGAATGTCTGCGAGATCCACAGATATTGTCTAATTTCGTCTCGAGAAACAAATTAACAGCGTGCCGCCGAAGGGAGGCTTATTTTTCTCACGTTTCCTTTTCGCATCGTTTTCGACTTAACATGCGAAATAATGACCACCACCACGGCCGTTAAGTGGAAGATATTGCTGCTCCTTAGAGAAGCGAGTCACACGTTGGCGCAAAATGCGGGACGTGAATGCGCGTCGTTTGCATTGTGTCGTCTCGCTGTGTGTATGTGTGTCATATTTATTGCACAGTGAGAATACATTGATGCGGGCATAAAGGGAGAAAGGGCCGTACCGAGAGGTCAAGTGATGACAACTGCCGATGCAACGGGACACGCATCTATTCGATATCAATTTATCGTTGAAACGTCATCGGCGCGAAAGTGCTATGCACAATTCCTAATAAAAATTCTATTTTGCATACCGTAGTGACGAGATCAAATCATTTTCCACGTCAATCGTTAAAACGACAAAAAATCCGGAATCAAATTCCGACGTAATAGTAATAATAATATAATATATAATATTGATTGCGTAAATGAGAAAGAAATATTCCTCTCGCATAACATCGATGATTAATTCCAGAAAATCGCGATATCAAGTGTGGAGACATTAATGACGTTAAATTGTATAAAAAAGTTGAAAAAGTGTATACGTATCATATCAATCACTTCAATTGAGTAACACGTAAGTGCGTAAAGAGTAAAACGTTAAACGAGAAGACGTTAACGCGTTCCATGCCGCGTGGGTCATCGGTGGCCCACACTGAACATTCCGTTCAGGCTATTTGATGTAAAACGAAATATATAATCAAACTTTGGCTGTGAAACGAAATATATAATCACGAAATACTTGAATTATTATGAGATACATGTTATGTAACGAGTAAAATATAGTTGATAACACGTCAACGTGGGTCGCCGGTGACCCACACGATGTGGTCGACAAGTCACGTAAAATAGGTCCGGCGCAGACGTGTTAAGTGAAGGAAGGCCGTAATAAAATGTAGACGAAGAAAGCCAACGAGAGCTGACGCAGGATGTAAATTGCTAAGCTCAATAAGCAAATGAAATGAGAGATAGAGTATCTCAAAATTTACATCTTGCGTCAGCTCTTCTTCCGTCACCATTTCACTGTTCATTTCTGAGAGCCGGATCACTTATTCACCTTTGCCGTGGTAAAAATTCAAAACTGAATTGTACGTTGCGACGCGCCCGGCGCGTAAATCCGCGAGCGTACCGGCAATTTGTGCCTCATGACTGCGTCGCAGGTATCGAGACGCGGTAACGACGACGAGCGAGTGTCCTCGCTCACGCGGATGAACGCAAATACGTGTATGTTATAATCGAGATAACAATGAGCAACGAGCTCACGAGGTCCTCGCTAATACTCCGTCGCATCGTTACGCTCGGCGAATTCGCCGTAAAATATACGGCCCACGTATGCGTAGCACAACATGGTAACGTACTGGGTGGTACGTTTTCATTATCCGTTTGGCCCCAATGCATGGATAATACTGATGACGTGGCGTACCGCTTGCGTAAGAAGAAATGACCGCGGGCTGTGATTGCATTGTGCCGATAACCGATGGATAAACGCTCATTAGATGCGTCTGATTTGCCTAATTGAATATATAGCATATATGGTCAACTCTCTCTCTCTCTCTCTGTCGGCCTTTAAAATGTCAAACGTGTCAAATCTGCAGACATCGAACAGTGATCTTCACATTTTACTGTATTTAATTAACGTGCGATAATACAGATCGTCTGGAAAGAATCGTCGCGTTGTTTGAGTTTATGGACGAGCCAATCGTCCTCGACGTGACGAGGAAAGTAGCACGATCTCCTGACAGCTTGACATCTCTAGACGAAGACCAAACGCGGAATACGCGTGTAAAGACGCCGAAAATTGGGCGTAAGAATAGCGAGCCGATTTGTAAGTCAGCCGCCACCCGCTACAGAAATAGATTTAGGACCGCGTCGGGAGCGGCCCTTGAGCAGGGCAGAACGGAATCACGGTACGCACATGAGCTCGTCAATTTCGACCCTCCGCCGTTCGCACGTGTCATTCCCCTTTGTAAAAATACGGAAACGACGCGCGGAAAGCGCTGTTTGTCGTAGTTAAGGCGAGATTATGTCCGTCTATCAAACACTGATAAATAAAAACGCAAAGCGGGATGAACGTCGGAAATCACGACGACGAGATCGTCGTCAAGTGCGTCAGGTCAATCGTCGAGCTCTCAAACGCACGTCCAAAAAGATCACACGATATATTTCCGGCCGGCTACTTCCGCTATCCGCGGAGAACCATGTGCATCCAGTTTGAAGTGTACATACGGTGGCCAGCGGAGCAAGAAACGAACGTTTAAAATCCAGAGCGAGACGTACGTACGCCGGTATCGCGCGGTTAGTACACGAGAGAATAATTCGTGAAGAAAACGCGGGAATTTCTTTCCTGCGGAGGAGCTCGGCGGAACAAAAATACGCGTGATTAAATGTAATCCTTACACCCCGATGCCTTTCCCGACGCATTCTCACGTGAATTATCACGGATAATTTCTATGTACATATGTACAGTTAGGAGGAGAGCGGATAACCCGAAAAGAAACGTGCGAATGTTTTCCAATGGAGAAATTGCACGAGACGAAAGTATCGGAGAAATTTGATTTCTCTTAAAATTTGACTCGTACGGCGACACCATTTCCGACACACCTTCGTCAATTATTACGGATAATTCTTTCTGTATCGAGTTAATGCAGAAGTTCGTCCGGTTTTTTAATTAGTTCTTCGCTTAGAATTTTAAAATTTCTAGGAGCATAGAATCATGCAGTTACTGAAGAGACGGCAGGTTATCGAATAAAGCGCCGTATATTTAATTGATTATATTTGAAAATAAATAAATGTTATATGTACCCGGAAAAGAGCATTAGATTCAAATAAATACTTGAATTAAGTAAATTTTACTAAGATCAAATAAATATTTTACTTGAATAATTGACTTGTGATGAAATATTACTTGTGATCCAAGTAAACGTTTGCTAAGGAATATTAATTATTTATTTGAATATAGTACATTTTTCTGGGTATACATTTTAACGAAAAAAAAAAAAAAAAATCAGACGAACTTTTGTACTAATCCAATAGATACGCGCGCTTAGAACGCGTTAGACTGATTCTACATTAGTCACGCAGTCGAAAGGTTGCAAGAAATTGACTAACCACAGTCGATTATTTTCAATCGCAAGAAAAATAATTGACTGTGATTGGTCAGTTTCTGGCAATTTTGCGATTGTGCGATTAATGTAGAACCAACTTTAGAGGATAACTCAGAAAGAAAACGCGCGACACTCTTCTTTCTGCGACGAAGTCGCGTGAGACAGAGCGATATCAGTTAAACCGGCGCGATAAAGTGTAACCCTTACGCGTGCATATCCGGACGCGTTCCCGTGAATAATCACGAGCAATGCATTAACACGAACATTAAACTAACTATCTCAATTTCCACCGCGACTCTCTTTCAAAGAGCGCTGCGGAGTCACCGCGCGCGTTACATTCTCGTCACCTCTCTCGCCGGCGCCCTCCATTAGCCGGCATTTCCCGCGCGCGCGTTTTACGCTATCTAATTACCGCGGTGATAAAGAACCATTGCACTCTCCTGCGTACCGCGACGGCGCTAATTATAATCTTCCTGTCTGCCTTGGTAGCAATTTCGATCCGGCCGGCCCGGCCGGCATGCATTAAAAGTGACAGTCGCGCGCGCTCGTTAGCGCGGCATTGCGGCGGGCGTTGTAATGCTGTCGCGCGGCCGTCAGCGCGGTGGCGATTATCGAAAGAAATCGAGAAAATCGACACCGGGCCGGTCGCATTCCGCGGCAATTCCCATCCCTCCCCTTTCTCCTCCGCGCGCCACGCGGACGAGCGCGATCATCCTTGGGAGAAATCGATCGAGAATCGCCGATCGCAAAAAGCGGATAATTATAACCATTTCGCCGCGGCGAACGAAGAGAGTCGAGCGAGGAAAGAGGAAAGGCGCTCTTCGCGTACGCTCGCCTAGCCGCCCTAAGTACTCGCCAATTTTTTGCCATCGTAAATACGTATCGCGATGATGAGTGAAGAAATCACCGCGTTCTGCTAATTGAGAGCCGTAAGAGCCGCTCGGACGCGCGGCTCGTTGCACAACGAGGAATTCGAATTACACGAAAATTAATTGAAGCAACGATCGGTGTTCGTGTACGAACACGGAGACCATGCGAAATGTACCGTGTGTGCGATGAAAGGGGAAAGTATGAGAGACTAGAAAATTAGAGATAAATTGTTCGCGAAATGCGAGTGCCGATACGGTCGCGAGCACAAGGAGAAGGAGAGAGAGAGAGAGAGGGGTGGTGGAGAAACCGGTGTCCACTTACGGTGGCCGGTCCGGTGCATCACGATCATCCTGCTGTGCCTTAGAGAATTTCTCGTGGGCGTGTGTCTGCCGGCTATTTGCGAAGCAGCCAGATTGACGGGGACCGTGGTCGACAAGCAGTTGGCCATCGACGGCGCCCGGCCGAGCTCCTTCTCCTTGTCGCCGCGGCAGATCCGGCCGATGTTCCCGGTCGAGACCGCACCTGTCGGAGCGCAATTCGCGACGACGCTTTGTGAAAATTCGCTCGCTTCCCACATCCTGAGACGCCACGAATTTCCTCGTACTTTAATCGGTGTCACTTAATGTATATTCTTTTTTCACATTGTACCCTCGCGTGATATTTTACTTTTGCAATTGTACTTGATTGTTGATCTGACACAGGACTCGTGTATGAGAAGATTCTCTATATTTTATTCTATTCTGTTCTATTTTATTATTCGTTTGATTATTCACCAGTGACTTTGACAATGGGGATCTTCGACACGTTGCCGACGCTGATGGCGTTGCTGACTCTATTATTGTTGTTGTTGTTGTGGATGCTGTTGCCACCGTTGATGTTGTTGTTAATGTTGCCCTGAGACACGGCGGACGTGCCCTTGTCGTCACGAACCTGGTTTAAATTGCCCACGCTCATAGCGGAAGTGACGCAAGGCGGCATCACCGGCACGTCCTGCGGGGTCGAAGAAGCGGTCGCGTTAATTTTGGCAAATGTCGTTCGTCGCATCGGGAAGGGACGGATCTCTGCACGGAGCGCTCCGAAAAATTCACTGGCGCGAATTCGAGGAGAACTACAAGCGACGACCGAGCTGTATGTTGCCCGTTAAATACTTCAAATGATTACCATTTGAGACTTCGGCAAAATTTGAATCAATTAGATAAAATTGATTTATTATTATAATATTAATAATGTAATTTTTTCCTAAGGCGGAAAAGTGAAAAGTGAAATGCTTTCAAATTAGAAAATTTACACTTTTCACGAGTTCACGCTAAAGGAGAAGATTCATGATCAACTCCTAGGGAATTATGAATCTTTTCTTGTAGTGTGAAAAGTATAAACTTTATAACTTGAAAATACTTTGTATTTTTCGCGTTTCTGCTCTAGAAAAAAAGTTACGTGATTGTTATTCAGGCCAATTAGTTTAATTCAATTTCTTTCAAGCCAGTTAGATACTTTGGCTCCAAAACGAAATATAATCATGAAATACTTTTGATAATCATTAAGAGACACATGTGTTATTTGCTAAATAAAATTCGGCTCATAACAGGACAATGTGGACCACGTACCACGAGAAATCACGTAAAATTAGTCCAGCATAGAACATGTTAATATTCTATTAAAGTAGTTTTACGTTTTTCTTATCTTTGCGTTTGTTTCCTCGCGACTCGCGAAGGCCACAAAAATCACGGATCGATGACTAATATATGACGGTCGCGTTGCGCCGTCACCTCGACGACGAGACACGTGGGTAAGGCCGTACCTTGTAATTGTCGTAAAAGCTCACTGGCCGGCTCCTTGGCGCATACTGAATCTCCTCGTCTGGCTGCATCGTGCTTACACCTTGCGACAGTGTCCCTAAAGGATGCGCGCGCACTTTGTAGGACGTCCTCCACGTAGATCTTTGTGCCTTCCTTTTTTTCAGTTCCGATGGATTTTTGCAACGGAGGTCGGCAGGAACGACATGACAATACATAACGAGATTACAACTAAGCGTCGCGAATTAACGTCGTGGTGCGTAATCACGTGGTAATTTTGTGTGCGTAAAAAGAATCGTAAACATTAATTATGCCGTGCTCTTTGGTGGGGCACTAATGATTATTAAATCTCCGCATTATAAAAATATTATGTTATCTCGGTTGTCGTGGCTTCCAAAAATGGAGAGCCGATATTTAGAGCAGAGTCGAGCAGATGCTTCGATAAATGACCGCTTATCGGTGAATGACCTCGTGATAATTTTTCTTACATTTATATATGGAAAAACAAATCTCAGTTCATGTAACAAAATAGAGACCAGACAAAAACTCGGTGTCGAGAAACGCTATCTCTGTTATCGCAACTGAAAACATTCGTCTGAACATTCAGCTACGTTAAAACTCGGCTGAAATAATAAAAGACATTTGTCTAAATAAAATTCCCAGAAAGAGAGAGAGAGGGGGGCGAGGAGAGGGGAAATCTTTTCGCTTTTGCAATCGAGTGTTTTATCTGGGCTCCATTCTCGGAGATCCCGTCAGGAGTCCCCTATTCTTAGGCAACGGAAAATTCAATTATACTACGGAATTGTTTCTTCTTCCGTGTACCATATATAATACAAACGGCTCGCCGTTATTTTACGCTGCTATAAGCCATGTTATTGCAAGTTAATGCGATCCGTGAACGTTAGTAGTAGCTTATCTGCCGACGATATATCCCGATATTTCCATTTCGTAATTAACTTGGAGCAGTCCATACCTATGTATCTTCGTCAGCTGAAACGAGGGTCCATGACGATCGTCGAGGATGCCATTCGGCGGCACTATTAGTTCCTCGTTACGCGCGCGTCCCCGCGCCTCGGTTTCCACGCACCCTCGCGAGATGCCTTCGCATCGGACGTGGGCAATGAGTCAACGGTCAATCCGCGGGCAATTTCGGCGGGTAACTTCCTCTTAATCCCATCCGATGCGACTTAAGTCACGCACCGGGATGCGTCTGTGCATAAAACAGGGACGAGGCGTCGTCTCGCGAGACTCGAGAAGATCGACGACTTTCCCGGCGCCCACGTGCTCGGTCACGTGCGTCGCGCATCCGTCACTCCATAAGTGTCTGGAAAATTGAGAATTGGTTGGCCGCGTGATATGCGAGACGCGTTTTGATCGACATCGATCATTCGGACGGGGTCGTTCACCGGCGGAACTTCACCGCGAAAATATCCCATTATCTCGACGTGTGGAAAATAAATGATTTCTCCGATGACAAGCGTCAGGTCTCGTCGGAAGACAATAATTTACAATAGTCATATCGCGCAGCGTTCGACGAAGAACGGAAGCGGCACGTGTGCAGAACGTCGGCCGATTTTGTATTCCTCAATGTGAGATAAATATGACTCATAATGCTCTTCCGCCGGGCCCAATTATCAGCATCAATTACTACCTCGCGATAACGTCGACGATATAAAGAAAAAGCACAAACCAACCTTAAGCGGAGCAAAAAGTCGTGTCAAGATGACGTTAAAACGATGACATAACTTTAACTTCATCTTAACTTTTATATGATTTTTTGTCTTACTTGGTACGCAAAATCGACGACTCAAAGTGAAGGGGAGCGGGAGGAAACGGGAACCCGCGGGATTGGAGCGCGACGCTCTGTAAACAATAATGGCCCTTCCTCCCCCTCCTCCCCTAGACGTTACACTCGGCGGCACAGAGGATCTCGATTTTACGGAGGTCGTTTCACCTTCCCGAGCTATCCCACGAGCCCACAGCCACCCCGCTGCTCGCAAAAAGAGAACGATATTTCTTCGTGGGAACTCCGACGCAAATTACAAGAGACGGTTGGCGGTTACGGCTCCTTTGGTCTCGCGGGACGCTTAAGTGCTGATGAAACTTTGATTCCAGCTTGGCCGCATGATCTCTCGAGGCATTAGTGCGCGGGTGGTGATACAAGACTCCCCTGTCATGCGCAGTTAAGGTCTCCCTGAAAGTTACCAGCTCGAATCCGCGAGACCGATCTCGGGAAAGCTCGTTTCCTCGCCGAAACACTCGCGAGTTTCGACATTCTCAGCACGGAGATACGCGGCAGAAAGGGATGCCGTCCGGAATCACTGATTAAAAGGGCCGGTGTCGCCTAAGAGGACTTAATGAAGAAATTACTTATTTCCAGCCGTATAACCCGAACTACACGTAAATAGGTCGCGTTGTTGAGCGGAGACCCGGAAGGAAACTCTTCGCGCCAGGGTGGCGCGGCCGTCGGCGATCATTTTGTTCATGATCGATTTATCGCCGATATTAGGATGATCAGAATGATATTAGGACGTCCTGTTAACGACGCAGAAAATTCGTTTGGACAGTATTTGCACAGTTATTAATAGCGATCTTGCGGGACACTCGCTAACCTCCGGCCGCGGCCTCATCATTGCCTCTCGTGTTCGTAGTATTGCGCAATATCGTATTAACGTGGGATCTCGCGCTCCGTGAAAGTAAAGCCACGCTCACAGAGCACACTGGGCAGATGACGACGAAGCCGCGGTTCGATGATCAGTCGAGTAAAAAAGGGGGTCTTGACGTAATCACCTGCCACACCGGTGTCACCTGTCGATAGTTGTTGCGTGCGAGCGCACGATTCGATATGCGATTGCCAACGAGACGATGTATATGTATGTCTCAAAAGCAGCCGGCGATTATGATCAAACGATCGGGTTTCCGGAATTGCAACGTGCAGTGTCACGACGCTCGTCACGACGGGTGATTTCGATGCGAACAATTGCGCCTGTCCGCTCGTTCGCCGGCCGATTGTTCGTTCGCACACCGCCGCCGTTTCGAGCGTACCTTAAGGTTCTATTTCCGTATTGTACGCGCGGCACCATAAACTCGGTTGCCAAAATGAAATTTACCGGAGAAGCGGCAAGAGGACAGGCAGAGAACTAGACGCGAGAACTAGTTTACAAGATTGAGCGGCAAAAATGCGACGACCTTGTTCGTCTTCGAATCAGACTGCGGTGCAGTAAACAGGAAAGAGATGATTAAATCGAATGATGAAAAATAAGAAAACAAAGAAAAATAAGAGTGCATGTACCTATGTAAATTACTTCTTTCAATAATAATATACAGAAAAAAAAAGTTTCTTTCTACGTGTTTGTTTAACTCGAGTTTATTCATATAAACAACATAATTTAATATCAAATGTCATTTTGTTTGAATGAAAATGTTGTTTCACTAAAGTAAATCATGTTGTTTGATAGAAAAAATAATATTATTTAGAAGAAATTATTTATATATAGTATATATTTGGTTTCCGATAAAACGATTTATTTCATTATGTATTAAATATTCTTCCACTGAGATAAAAAAGTCGTTTGATATTTTTCTAGTGTTGCTTCTTTTAAATAATTTATCGCTTGCGATAATTATTGTAACGTTTGAGTAAAAGTTCAAAAGAAATATGTTATTTGATGTAAAGATATTTACTGTTTGAGAAATCAAATAACCCTGTCTGTTGAATAAAATATTAGTTTGTTTGTTCCATTCCAAAAGACAGATTTGTTTCAATTAAATAAATTTTAAATCCAAAAAAATCTTTTTTTGTCTAATAATAATAATTATAATACATATATATTTCATGTGTATTGTACGTATATTGCTCCTGTAAGTCCAATAATGTTTACGTTTTAATTCTTATTATTCCTGGGCGGGCATTTTTTCTCACTCAACAACAGTTGTTGTTCATTGTTCTTTTTTACCGCATAATTTAAATCGGATTTACAAGTTGACAGTTTACGCGGCGCTACAGACTGCAAGAAGTGCGTCCAATGCTATTCGCTGTGTTTTACGACCGGTATGTAAACGACGTATGTAGGCTACTGACGTAATTACCACGATAACAATAAGCGATTGTCGCAAACCTAGGTAACCGTTTCCCGTGACACGAGATTCGCTTGGAGAACAATCACGCGAGAGCGTGATTTGAGAGCGGTAATCGGATAAAGCGACCCGACGATACGGAAAGGGCGCCTGCCTCGTGTCGTTCGCGACAGCAGCGATAAATCGTCGTTAAATTATTACGAAGGCAACGGTCACCGATGAGGAGTTACATCTCAATAACATTTTTTCGTCATGTGCTCCAGCAGGATGCATGTGTTCTCAAGATGCCGACGTCAGTGTTACGTGATAATAGTCATATGCGAGCGACGGCGTCTACATTATTAACTCGTCATTAATTGAGAAGTAGAAACAGAACAGAGAGAGAGAGAGAGAGACTGAAGTGCAATTAAACGTTTCTCACGGAAACTGATGATCGTGGCCAATAATACACACACACACACATATATATATACACGCGTGTTCATTCGCAGGTTGGGCAGAGCAGTGGTTACGAGCCGCGTCTCCCTCGTTTTGAGACTGTTTCACCTAATAAGAATAGTTCACACAAGCATTCTTCTAAATTACAGGAAGTACGCGGCAGACAAGTCAACCTCCTCGAGTGCTGTTGCCGTAATTTGCATTAATTTGCAATAAAATCATATTTGTCCGAACGTTCCATGCGTAGGAAAACAGCACGGAAACATACTGCACGTTGCGATAATGTTGATTGGAAGCCGTTTCAATCATGACTCTGTCGATTCTGTTGTATTCTTTAGCGCGAGCGCGCGTGATCAAATCGGCGTGTGGCGAATCGAACCGATCCGCGATACGGTTTCCCTTGCGCTCCTCTCTCTTTTCCTCTTGTTATTTTCAACGGGAATTAAGAGCAGCCGTCATGATCGCACGCGCGATCATGACCGAGAAATCAATAATTTTATATGCAATTAGAAGGGATATATAGAACTCAGACAGTATGAAATCTTGAAGAATTAGAAGTGAACGTTATATTACTGTCTGACAATTTATAGTTTGTCATTTCGTAACTGTAATTTCTTTTGTTTAACTATCAGCTAACATTTATCTAGCTATTATATAGCTACTAGGAAAAGTGAGCGTTACACTGCTGGCTAGTAACGACGTTACATACAGAGTTACTATCTCTGGCCGGACACACACGAGATTCAATTTCTATCGGGGAAAAGCACGTCGACCACGACAGCATCAGCTGATTCTCGGACCGGCTGCGTTCGGCAACGTTTTCGAGCGTCAGTGAAAGTTCACGCGCGTCGCGTGCATTTGCGCCGATGCACGTAAAAATTGTTAAAAATTTTTACGGCCTATGCCGGCAATTAGCGACTGCGAGAAAGTAGCGCTCGCATTCTGTCACGCTCTCAATTTTCATTAGATGTCCATTAGGCGATGGCGCGTCTCGAGAACCCGCTTGCTTGCCTAATTAGTTAGAGATGCGAACGGCCGGCAAAATATTTTATAATTCGAATGTGGGACGCGACGCGCGTCTACTAACCCAAATAACATGCGGCTTTTCCACTTCCGAGAGCGAAGCCCGAAGCGAAACTAGATCAAATAAATCTCAATGGGCGTATCGCGTCTCACGCCGCATACATTGTGTAAAATCTCACGGCAATATAGATTATTACAAATTAGTGCCGTAAATTGTCACGAAGTAAAACGACGCACAACGAATATAATAGAGAAAGAACGAACGATCCCGCGGAGAAGAGTGTGGAATTATCCGTGCTTAATTCGCCGAAAAATATAACGACCGCCGCGTCGTATTCGCGGCAATATAATCGAGAAAAGTTTGTTAAACCGCATATCTGTGTTTGCGCATAATGATAACGACGGTGTTATGCGGTCGCACATTAATTGCACATGTTCGAAAGGCAGCGACAGGTTTTTTCTCATTTGGAAATAAAAATAGCGATCATGTGTGGATATTGCGACGAAGTTTCTTGAGACGGTAAGTTATTCATTACATATACAACGTTCCAACAGAGACGCGTTATGGATGATAATTATCAGCTTCCTCGTTAAATTATTCAGTCAATTTTATCGTCGGATTTTTCAACGATTTCAAGGTGAACGCGACAAACAAGGTTGAGCATATAATTTTAAACGAAATTAGTTCATTAAATTTTATTCATAGCGCTGAATTAGCATTATGCAAACTAACGATATGTTAAGTAGCTGGTAACATATGTCGTAATCGTATTTTTCTGCTGGGCATAATACTGTTTAGGTAAAGGTGTCATGTCAGGATGATATTAGTTATCGAAAGATGGAAAATTATCGTTTCGGGAAGGTCAAATTTCACACACCGCATTAATAAAATTGAACTGTTCTCGCGTCTGTTGCATGTTTAAAATTGCACGTAAAAAATTTGGGGTAGATTGCGCGAGAACGTGAATATGTAAAAATTCAGCGAATGTATACAAGAATTTAGAATTAATCTCCGTTACATTATGCACCGGTGACCGGTTCGATGTTTACAAATATCCAAAAGGAACGTGTTATAGTTACCGCACAATAGCATTGAACGCGCGCGACGTGACGTTTGTTTTAATCGACGTACACAGATTGCGTTATCGGTCCTCTAGACTTTGCGACTGTCAGAATCCGCTCAAAGTCCCACGTAATTTATGAGACTATCGATTTGCTGATGTACGTGCTGCACACCGGCCGTTTCCGAAACGAGACCACGTGAAACCGAAATTAGATTACAAGCTCCGATGCAGCTTGAGGGATTTCCAAAGCGCCGAGACGCTGTCTTACACTATTTTGACATCGACACCTCTTCGGCCGGACTACTCACTCGGGAGTGAGGTGAACGAGAATAATACCGCGCACCCACTGACAATAATAATAACGCGACGGGCACTGCGACTCCACCGACGTCGCGATGATAACTGAAAGATCGCGTATGTACGTGCGTCAAGGCGGAGCTGAAGAGGCGCCCCCAGAATGTGCCCGCCGAAGTCGGAACACCAGGTGTGTCAGAACGCCTCAAACCGGGGGAATTCTGCCGGCAGGTGAGAACGACCGCGCGCGTTTGACCTGGCCAAGGATAATCATTCGCTCGGCGCTGCTCGAGCCGGTGTTTTCGGACCTATGCAATTTGTTCGAGCGAGAACTCGCTACCGAAAACACGGGGATTGCCAAAGTCGAGTTGTTTTCCAAATATCTTTCGACATATTCGCGTGACAAAGTCGCAGCGGTTGCAAAATGATGAATAAGTTCATACAACGACGTGAACTGATATTTTGTGTTAAATTTATGTATATTCATACGTATTTAAGTTTTTGGATATACACTAAGAGAACTTACAGTTATTTTCAGCCTCAACTATATCTTTTTTGGTTTTGGTTTTAACTACAAAAATAACTCAACAAAAGTAACAATATGCAAGTAAGGTTATCATCACTGATATTATAGCAACACGTACTAGCAAAATGGTTCTCTTGGATATAACTTCTGAATATAACTTTTTTACTATGGTATACAGTTATGGTATTATAGTTGTAAATATAAAATGTTTTTTCTCTCGCCAATTAAAAAATTTTAATTGCTTTTGTAAAAAATGCGGGCTAATATGTTTGGTATTTCTTAGAAATGTACAAAATACCATATACTGAAAATCATATAAATAAATACAAACAGAGAAACAAATACAGAAGTTTTTAAAAGAATAAAATATTGGTACCGTCTTCAATATAACCTATATAGCGTACTATAAACGCCCATCATTAGCCAACGACGTTATAGACTAGAAATAGACGTCAATATGACGTCTTTTGTCGTCACTCTGCTACTTAGAGTATAACCGAATTTTCTGTTACCTGCGAAAAATCGTTTTTTTTCCAGACAAAGACTCGATTGAATGGAAATAGAATATTCACATTTAAAGGGACCAGTGAAGTCGATTAATTGAGAAATCGTCAATTAAAAACTGCCTAAGGGCGAGACAAAATTTTGCGAGATTTTTTAATTTTTCTAATTGAATGTCTATATGACAGATCGCTCTCCGATGGAATGTAATTTTTTTCGCAGCTGAGTACCACTGTTGTTACTTTCACATCGCTGGATGATTCAGGCCTGATGAAAGAACTTATGGAAAGTAATAAAAGGGGCAAGAAGAAGGAGAGTTCTACCCACTGGTTCCTGTCTACCTTGAGCGGTTCTCCGCGTCACTCTATCCTATCCCTTTCGAAACATTTTTTTGCCGAACTGCTCTACCGTTGCCCGACCCTCCGTTTGCGACCATCTCAACTTCTCTCTCGTAACAGTATCGCCGAGGGTAACGTCAATGTATAGAGGACACCTCCTAGATTCCTTTCACGTCAGATAATCTTGTTCTTTTACGACATTCGGTAAAAAAAAAAGAAAATAAGGTATTTGTGTTAAGTATGTAAACATGTTTTTTCGCGTTACACTCCTTCAGTACATATTTTTCCCCGAAACTGGCTATGAAAAACACTTTTCCTATTCTTAGCTGACCTCGAGCACGTAATAAGTGAATAATAAATGTGGCGGACTTCAACAAAAAGTGAACTGCACACTCATGGTTAATCCCGCCGTAGAGTTTCGCAACGAGCAACGCGATGGTCGTCAACAAGAACGAGGTTCTTCGCGCGGCTCATTAGCGCGACGAATTAGTAAGTTCGGTTCAACGAGCTTCACCGAAGAAGGTGGAACAAGGAGATCACGCGAATGAGCACACATGCGTGTGTGTATGCGTGCACAAAAGGAATGCGTCCCTTGTCCTATGCAGACGATCATTATTCGAGGGTTGGAGACCCGTCTCTGGCACATTCCAAACGGGTCCGATTCGTCGTTGGGGAGGTGGCAAGGGTCGTAGTGTATCTCGTTGACTCGACAGGACCCAACGGAAAAAATAGAAAAGACTCGAAATCATTTTTGCGAGGAAAGGTCTCGAGTTTGCCCATTCGTGACAATATGAGAAATTCTCTTTTAGTCCATCACATAATACATATGGCAAAAAATCTCAATTGCGGTATAACTGAATGGAGACCAGACGCGAAAACTTTATGACGTTTCCGATATCGCAAACAAAAATATTCGACTGCATTCAAATTCGGTTGAGACAACCGAAGACAATTGGTTTAGGAGTCTTCTGAGATACTTTTCCTCCAATCGAGTTTCCGTTTGGAAAAAACAATCTTCCCCAAGCAACAGAAAATCCGGTCACACTCTAAGTAAAAGAGTGACATCAGAGGACATCATATCGACGTCCATTTCTAATTATTTTTAGTCTATGACGTTGGCTAATGATGGACGTTTGTAGTACGTCATATTCTAGGCCAATTAAAGACGTCATATTGAAGATGGCCAAAGAACCAAATATTTTATTCCTTGAAAAATCATTCCGTTTGCATTTATTTATATGACTTGCAGTGTATGGTATTTTATACATTTCTAAGAAATATTAAACTTATTAGCTATATTACATTTATTAGTAATATTCGCATTTTCTACAAAAACGATAAAAATGTTTTAATTAACAAGAATAGAAAGATAAATTTCCTCATGAATAGCATGAATTGTTTTATATGTTATATTACATATTATTGGTTCTTTGAATCACTAATTCGCAATATTATCTTATATTGATCCTATTTTTGTTAGACGTCATAAAATGACGTCTAGTAGAGGTGACATATCGATGTCATTGTCGGGTCTCCAAAATCCGACTTATGACATCTACTTGGTCATGACCAAAATATGCCATCGTCTCGACATCTCTTTTCTACCTGTGTCAAGCTAAATTTTTTTCGCCACTCACTATCAAGTATAGTATATAGATGTAATGCGTCATAACTGATCACGATGATTGACTTATTCATTAGAAACCACACACGTTGGAATGCTCGACATAGTTTTGAAACTTGAAATACAAATAATTTCGTTATGGAAAATGCAACTTACGAAATAGTGGCTCACATTTGTAACCGCCATAACGGGAGGAAGCGCGGGATTGCATTTCGGATGGTCCACCCCGACTCATTCCCGGCGACCACGATGTCTTGTCGTGACGAATACATGAAATTTCCTCTCATGACGACGATCTCCCGTGACGAAGATCATCATTCGCGCGTGAGGCTCGCTTTCGGCGAGCCGAGACCGCGGAAAATACGAAACGGCTTATCGAGCGCGTACTTACGCGCTGCTACTGCGGCCATTACTACTTCGATCTATCGAGACGCGAACTCGCGTGACTGACTTCATTCCGGTCCGGTGTAACGAACTTCGCGCGTGTTGAGTCTTCCTTATCTAGTAATAAACATGGATGTTTAGGTGACGACGTTGAAGAGAGACGTAGGAAGAAAATTGAGAAATATGTGCGGTCGAACTTGTTGGTGGGTAATTGTATTGTTATTTTGTCGTAGGTTATACCTTTGGTGTACACATGAAAAGAGCTGATCTCTATTCTATTTGTAATGCACAGTACATTGGACCCGGACACTTTGTGCTACGCTTGCGAGTACAAAGATGCCACTGGTAAGCAACGCAAAGTGACATGGGCTAAAAGTGAACTGGAGTACAATCCGTCATTTAACATGGGCCCACGAGATGTTCTGCCCTGTGTGACATCTGGTTCCCATTTCGAAGAGGAAGAGGAGGAGAGAGTTCTTTGCGCTATGATATGGGGAATGATTCCACCTTGGCATCAGGTAACTTGACATTTAAGACTCTCAAATTGTTTTCGTGAGTTGCCTGAAACTGGCTTCCCTTCTCATAGGGTGATTATAAGAAACGTGCTGACAAGTTATCCACTCACAACAGTCGTCTGGAAGGCATACAAACTTCGAAATTGTATTCACCCTCGCTGCAAAAGCGACAGAGGTGTATTGTGATTTGCGAGGGTTTCTATGAGTGGAAAGCTAGTACAAATAATAAATCTCCGAAGCAACCATATTACATGTACGCAGCTCAAGATAAAGGTGTAAGATCGGATGACCCTACAACATGGACTAATGAATTTTCAGAGACGGATGGATGGAAAGGTTTCAAAGTGTTAAAGCTGGCTGGAATATTTGGGATGTTTACAACTGAGGAGGTATATAATCTTCTTTCTATCTTAGACATTGATGATCGTTCTTCTTTTTTCTAGAAATTGTTATAGAATATGATATATTTTGCTAGATATAAAGATCATTGTCAAATTTTGAAATATTGTGACAAATTTCTAAGATATTAATAATCAGTGTTACATTATTTTAGGGAAAAATCATACATAGCTGCACAATTATCACAAGAGAGAGTAATCAAGTTCTATCTTGGCTGCATCATCGTATGCCAATATGCCTGAACGATGAGGAAGAATGTCGAGTAAGAGAATTTAATCAATATAATTATCTAATGTTTGCACAAGTCATTAAATAACTTATAAGCTAATTAAGCATAACTTATTCATGTTATTTTATATCTTATTACATTTCTTTTATTAGGCATGGTTAAATACAAATTTAACGACAGACGCAGCTATTAAAAGATTAAATGACATTATATTGCAAGAAGGAACCTTAAGCTGGCATCCAGTGTCCACAATTGTCAATAACGTTTTTCACAAAACTGCTGATTGTACAAAAGAAATAAAACCTAAGTAAGTAAGCTAGAAAATTATAGATAAATGCGTTTTCTATAGAAATATATTGGGACAGGGACATCGCATTGTTTAGCTACCTTTCATTTCTAACATAGTATGACAGGACTCGATAAATTATTGATTTTCTATTCCAAAGGGAAGAAAAAAAGAGCAATCAGGCATCCTTCATGGCTTCTTGGTTGCAAAAGGGGTCAGCTGTTTCCAATAAAAGGAAGAGCATAGACAATAAAGATACAGATATCAGTAACAAGGAAGAGGAAACGAAGGCCTCAAAGATTCGGAAAGAGAATTAAGATCTGCAGGGGCAGATGAAGTATTCGTATTATTTTTCTCAAAGTACCTCGGTTACTCTTACCGTAGACACATACCAATCCTAACATACATATAAATGATTGTACATATAAGTTATTTTTCATACTTATTGTAACCAACATTCAGGAACATTCAGAAGACAACTACCTCTTTGTAATTATAATTTTTTATTTAACATAATATACAGTTTTTCAATCGTGCCCTAACCGAGCATTCGAATAACGCGCCTCCGCTCGACGAGAGCGAGCTGAAGCGGCGAAACACTCCGAGAAGCTAGAGACTCAGAGTGACCGCGAGGTTGGCAGCATTAGGACGGTTTTCATGCCGCGTGCGGCCGACGTTGCGGCGCGGCGCCGCACATCCGCAAATTCAGTGTAGTTGGCGCGCCGCGGTGGATCACAAGATACGTGTTATATACGTGCTTCCCCGGCACAGGAGAGTTGCGCGCTTGTTCCCCCCTCGTCGTCACCGTCGTCGTGCGTTCCTTGTGCGCCTTCGGCACGACCTGTCCGCCGTGCCGTCGACGAGAGGACCGACGCATGACACTCGTGTTCGTCGACGCGGTCGAACGGTAGCGGAAGCAACGGTAGAGTGCATGCCCGCTCTTTCGTGTGTATGTGAACGGCCCAGCCTCTTCAGCGTGCGTGCGTGCACACACACACACATACGTCGTGTCTCTATTCGTCTCTAGCCGTTCTATAGAAGCGACGAGCCGCCAGCATGAGTGATAACGAGCAAGCGCGTGAGAAGGCGATCAGAAATGTCGAGACCGAGTACCACGAGATCGACTCCAAGGCCGCTTGGGGGATTCTCTATCAGGTGAGAGAAAGAACGAAGGTGGAAGAAAGGAAAGAGAAGAGGGAGAGGGGAGACAGCGAGAGAGAGAATGAGGAACGTTCTCTTCCGCTCGACGACGGCTCTTCCGCTGGCACTTCCTTCGCGACGGGATCTGAACGATGCGTCTATTCGATGCGCTGACACATCGTGACACGCCGGCTCCTCGTCGTGTCTCTCTCCTCGTCGCGTCTCTCTCCTCGTCGCCGTGTATTTCCTCGCTCTCCTCCTCCCGTCTTCCTCGGTCGCTCTCTCCATCTTTGTCACTTTCTC